GCAACTTTCGCAGTACTCATTGTTGGATCGTTAGATCGTTAGAGGTTAGATTATGATATAATATTGTGTACAATTCCATATAATTTAAATCAATAAACATATCTATTATTGAAGCATTCTATTATCAAAGGGTTGAGCTCGTATTGGTTAGGATCGGCCCTCTGCGTTGCTCCGGGCTTGGGACCGGCATTGGCTGCATTACCTACATGCAAACGAAAAGAATTGCAGTAACAAAGAGACGGACTATACTTCCCTGCGGTGTGGTACTTGTTGCTTTTTACAGTGTAGCTACCATCGGTACTAGACACCAAACCACGTAAAAGTGGATCCTCCCCGTCATCATGTCGCTTGAACATGGTTCCACTCATCAGAAAGAGATCGAAGCCGTCATAACTGAGATACAGAGGAACCAAGGTTTCATGGATTGCGTCTCACTATAGATGACGGCGAGTTTAAGGCACGATGAGCAGCTCATCTCGTGCGCATGGCCACTACTTGCAGAGAAGTGGCAACTATGAGAAATTCTTTGAGATGTATGTTGGGAAGCTCAACTGTACTGGAAATTTATAAGTTTGTTTGCAGCGAATGGTGGATTAGAGTATGTACAGCCAAGAAGCAGATTGGAGGAGACAGTGTACTCGTGGTACAGTTTTTAGCGGAATGGCGTGCAATAAGAGGAAACTGCAGCGCTGTAACTGCCCTATTCCACAACGTTACTAGTTAGAAACGTAATTAGACTAGTTGGTGACATACTTTAGAAACAATACACGGATTGTCTGCCGGAAGGCATTGGGATACTCAACGAACAATCTTCCGGCGTGTATGCTTATGCTGTATCCGGTTCTTGGCTGACTTGTTTTGAGTGGAACGTTGAGAACTTTATTTACATTCTTGCTAAGTACTTGCTGAATGGTCAGTTTTGGCAGACTTGGCTTCAGTTAAGGTACAATTTATTAAATCATCAATTTCATCTTAAATGTACTTTCTTGCCCATTGAAATTGATCTTCTTCCGCTGTTGTAGACATCGACAACACACAATCACGACTCAACAGCACGACTCTTTGAGAACCTTTACTTGATTTATTAATTGTCGGACGATTTCTCAACACCATGGCGGCCAATATCTCACCATGTGAATTCCCTGATGTCGTCCTGAACGAAATATCATCGTATCTGCCGAAAGCAACCTTAGCATCTGCCTCACTAGTCAACAAATCATGGAATGATCACGCAACACGATATCTATACCATAAGTTCCCACCTGTATTCAAACCAACTAGTAAAGCAATGCAGAACGCTCCAACACTTCGACACTTTGAGCAACGTGTCATGATGTGTATTGTTGCCACGCTCGAGTCTAAAAGTGTGTCGTTGCAACAGGTCAGGACGCTGAATTTGAATGAGATACGAATGTAAGTTTGTATGTCAATATGTCTTTGATGCTGTACCACCGTTGCTCAACGAGCTTGATTTGTAGACGGAGCATGAACGAGAAAGTAAAGAGACGTGTCGAGCAAATCAAACTGTTGGTGCTCAAGGCCTGTACCCGCTGTAAACACGTAATCGGATACTTTGGACTGGATCTACCGTCAAACGTCACGTCTATACTAGTCCCTGTCTCTATAACAGCCATAGACGCTTATATAGCAGCCACAGCTTCACAACACACCAACATCACCGAACTACAGCTAGTCCGTGGATTTACACGTCAAACTCGTCGAGGAGCTACAAACGCATGGGCACTAGCACTCCCATACTTTAAACTAAAGAAATTCACCGGATGTGGATTATCAGGCCTCTCTATCGCGACTTTTGAAGCACTACGCCAATCATCAGCTGCAAGTCTTGAAATACTGGAATTGTCTAACTTTAACGCTAATAGCTTGTCTTCTGGATGGTTTACTAGCATGACGGCTCTCACGACGATAGTGTTTGACTCTGTAGAACTGTCTGAACAGATACTGGACGACATAGGCAGTCTAAACCGGCTTAGCATGACGAATGTATCTGGAGTATCCCCACAAGACATACGCACCTTTGTCAAGAAACATGCCCCAACGCTCCATACCCTCGAAATCGACTCGCTCCTCTCAAAGGCTGGCCACGAAGTCCCCGCACTAGCACAACCTGTATTCACCGATACCCGATTCCCACGACTACACCGCATCCGAATAAACGCTGACGAAGCAATGCTGTCTGCATTCGACGTATGGCTGCAGCAGTACGGCACACAGCTAGATTACGTACATATAATCGACGTTGCACGGTATAACGCTGCAGGAACCAACACCACATTGATAAAACTAGATCCAGCAATCCTGATAACATCAACCCCGAATCTAAAATCATTACGTATAGCAATGATGAGAATCACGGACGAGTTCATGACGTGGGCTGTAACGTGTGTGAAACTAGAATTGCTGTATTTCGATGATATTCACCAATCTTACGACTCATTCGTGAGTGCTGCTACAACACGTGGGAGTATCACCCGTAACAAGCTCCGAGTCGAAGCGGGGTTTGATATCAGTTTTGATGATAGTAGGGATGAGTTCACGTCGAGTGCGGAGGTTGAGGCGTATAGTAACCACACTGTGCTTCTGGAGCCGGCGTCGGATTTGTGGCCGGGCTTTGATTATGATGTTTATAATGACGCGGATAATCCGCCTGATGGTGAGGAGAGGTTGAGGGTGCATGATGTGAATGTCAGGATGGGAGGGCTGCTGCTGGAGCCGGTGTCTGACTTTGAAGCGGAGCCGGAAACGGAATATGATGGGGTGTATGATGACGATGATAGTGATGCGGATTTCCATTTATAAAGTTATGACATTGCTGGCTCCTGAATGAATGTTTTCTTGGAATGTTACGCTCGCGTATAGAGCCGCTGGCAAAGTAGTCACCCTCGATGTAAATATTAAGCAAACACCGGTTCTAAAATATAACTATACGATTGAATTCAAGGTATTAAAATACAGTGAATTTATCTTTAAATGGATCATGGACTTGTTGTCCATAAGGTTCATAATCCTACAGACAGAATGTGTGAAAACGGTATTCGCACCAATGATCCACGCAAACCAAAAAAAAGCTGCGAAAAATTACCTCTGGATATGTATCAAAATTACTAGTATCAGCTGGTCCCGAGCTCTTTGGAATAAACGGAGGAGCAATACGTCCCTCGACCAAAGACTTCCAATCAACACCAGCAAAGAATTTATGAGCCTTGATGTCAGCTGCACCTCCACGAAGGTTACCAAACCTTCTGGTCAGGTCAGCAGTAAGTAAACGTCGTACAAGATCTTTGGCATCACCATCGAAATGAATTGGGAATCTTAGTTTTCCTGCCAGGATCTTCTCGTAGAGTTTGAAGTGGTCTTCGTCGTAGAAGGGTGGATGACCAGCAATCATCTTGTTTGGTTGAAAGAGGGGACGTGGAGTTAGTGAAGGGAGTATGAGGCATCAGTGCAAAGTTAGCAAAAAAAGTCTATGGACGAGCTACACGTACTTCGTAGAGGAGAACACCCAGCGCCCACCAATCGACAGCTTTACCATATCCTTTAGCCTGAATGATTTCAGGAGCCAAGTAATCAGGTGTACCACAAAGCGTCCAAGTGACATCTGGTACATATTTAGCAAATCCAAAATCTGTTATTTTGATGTTGCCCTTGCTGTCAATTAAGAGGTTTTCTGGCTTCAAGTCTCTATATATTATCTCTCGATCGTGTAGGAATTCAAATGCTAGTACTACTTGAGCAGCATAGTATCTAGCTACTGCTGTTGGGAACCTCTGAACGAAGAGAGACAAAAATGTCAACAGTTTGTAAGCACTGGTTTGTGACATCACCAGACGAAAGTTTATGCAATAACAGAGGGGCAACAACAGCAGAGTGAGTACTTACCCCAGACTTTCGCAGATAAGTAAATAATTCACCGCCTGGAATATAATCCAAAACCAAATACAGATTCTGACTATCCTGGAAGGTTCCATACAAATGAACCAAGAAAGGATGTCTCAGCTGCTCCAAAATAGTCTTTTCATTTATAGTATGTTCGACCTGTTTCAGCCGTACGACCTCACTCTTTTTCATGACTTTAAGAGCTCGATACTCCTTAGTAGCCAGCTCCTGCACGAGATGCACACGACCAAACGACCCAGTTCCTAGAGTATTCATAATCTGGAAGTCTGATAACTGAAAGCTATGGTTTGGATGTTGTTGGTTCCGTGCTAGAGAGTCATCTTCTACAGACATTGCGTCCGATTGTCGACGACTAGATACATGTATTAGTGATGGGACTGTTGATAATGGGGCAGGAGGGGTAAACATTATAGGATCTGGATTATTCATTACAGATGGTGGTCGAGTCTGAGGTTGTGGGTTCGATGTTGGAGCATGTGCATGATGGAACAGTCCACCATATAGTTGAGCTGATGCGTGCCAAAACGATGGACTCGATGGACTCGTCTGAGCTGGCTGTTGCTGCTGTTGTTGCTGCTGCTGTTGCTGTGACATTCCATTCGTTGGTTGAGTTTGAGTTGGCACTCTCAAAGGAGATGATGGATTGATCCAATTTGCAGCTGGCATTACAGGTTGCGGAGGTGAGGCATTGGATGATAAGGGCGGAAGCAGCTGATCACGTAAGGTTGACCATGGTATGGGTTGAGGTGCACTGTGGAGGTTGGCAGGTTGAGTTGTGCTGCTACCATTGGCATTAGATGGAGCAGATTGATTCGCAGCTCGGAGAGCCTGGTTACTAGCCTGAGCTTTCAGCGAAGGACTAGAAGGCACTTTGACAACTCGATTTGCGACATCCCTGTGAAAGTTGAAATGTTAACATCATGTTGATGTGCCACAAAACAAACGGATCGATAAAACAACTCGGACATTCCGTTGATCGAGTCAACTATCCGGCTGGTCTGCTGCAAGTATCATTGCCTCTCTCCTTCTCTTTACTCTCATCAAAATCTCCTTGTTTCAATCTCAAATGCTCAACTAGTCCCAAAATGTGTCTTGTTCTCTGCTTGTTCCAAGGACTTACCTAGACTCTTGTGGAGCACTCGGTATACCGTTCATTCTCCCTGCGACGTTCTTATGTGGCAAGATCGGACTAGACTCCTGTTCTCTCATTCAAACATGTGTTGGTCGAGAGCGAGAGCAAAAACAGTGCGAAAGAGACGGTCGTCATCCATGAATCTCTTCAAGCAGGAACTCCAGACCACCAAATGTTTATATTTACGTGAATCAAGCGCAAATTACACATTTAAGATCGCGTTCTTCCTAAAAATCATGCTGTTTCGCAAACCTCTTCGTTTTCTGTCCTAGATATAACACTCAACGTAAATGTCAACATCAGAACGGTCAGAACGGCCATAGAACTCACTAAGTGACCATTGGCGAGCATCGCAATCCCGTCGATTCACGACTTTTGCGTCGATTTCTCGTATTTGACGTGTCTTACTGCACACCAGGGACAGTTACAGCACTGAGCAAAGACATCAGTGCTTCAGAACATGCCTAACACGTTAATTCTCATTTTGCTGACGTGTTCGAGGGACCCTGCCTGCTGTTGGTGGCTGGTCACCGTTTTTTAAATCACGACCGCAAACAGAAGTGTTGACCAAACACCAGGACAGCGAGAGAACAAACCCCTCCATGGCCTCTTCTGCATCGTTGTCAAATCCTCGGCATCAGGGAACGGATGGTAATGCTGCGAAAAGGGAATCAGGAGCATCAGATGTTGGTGTCTACATATGGAGTCTGACTCAAAAACTGGATGCTGTGTCCAAGTTCGATGGGTTTGAAGAAGTAAGTCCTCTTTTATCTAATGACCGACTAGTTGCCCGGCTCACTTTGATCGTTTTGCATCGTTCTTTGAATCTTTCACATGGGACAACCAATCCTCACCATTCCTTCATATGCAGGTTTCGCCTACATTGTTGGCCGCAAGAAACGCTTTACAAGAGATTTCAGAGGTTTCTGAATGCTTTTCGTTGGTATGTCACGGTTTAAATACTGACAATCCGACTATCTCGAACAGAGAACGGTTCCTGCTGATGCTCATGAACTCTTTGAGTGGCTGAATGGTAATTCATTGGTTACATTGTTGACACTCTTTGCTCTATTGGATCTTTTCTCAATGTCGCTCGTTTGATTCGTACAGAAGGGTTTCCGGCCGGCCTTCTGAACAATATCAGTGTTCCTCCCAAACTTGTCGTTGACTCGACAGACAACTTTGCACTGGTGATCTGCGAAGTCTGTGCTTCGATTCTGGATAATCTGGATGATGGTATAATGGAAAAACTGTCCCAAAACGGGCAGAACCTCGCTAACGACTCGCTCACTTAGGTCTGCCTCTTGCATACGACGTGCTTCGAACACGTGTCAGAAATGCTGTTTCCCGGTTGCGTGGCAGTTTGACTCAGAAAGGCAAAGCATTGCCGACCAGAGAAGACTCTGTAAACGCTGCATTAGTACCGCCACCGTCAAAGAAAAAAATGGCGCTCCCGAAACGACTCAGCAACTCGTTACTTAGACAACCGACGCAAAACAATACCACTCCGCCGAGTCGAGGTAATGCTGTTGGTATGACGCGATCTATTCCACCAAACCGCGGCACCATCCCAGCTCAAACCACAACCACAGACATTCGACCTTTATCCAGCATGTCTGATAGCACGGAATATTCAACTACTAGCTCCGCAAGTTGGGCCATGCCGCAGGCGGTATCTCCGACTCCGAGATCTAGTAGACCAACGTCATCTCAGGCGGTATCTCCAACTCCCAGATCTACCAGAGCATTGTCACCGAGTAGCCGAGCATCAACACCGAGCAGCCAAGTTAGAACGTTCTCACCGCAGCCACAGGATGCATCGTCTACTGCACTTGTTTGGGAACGTCCAAGGTCAGGAGCTCCAGCACCACCGTTAGTGACCTTCAGGGCTCCACCTCAGTCACCGAGAGGCCCACCGACGCTCCAAATGCCCAAAAATAAACGTGTGCGCTGGTCTATGGATAAATGGAGGCGATCTAAACCGCTTTCGTCGCCCATTCCTGGTGTATATGACGCATATCCGGCCCCAATCCCGGAAGCTGATATCACGGATGCAGGAACAGTTGGTGGAATGGGAATACATAATATATCGCAGACAAACGAACATAATTTGGCGAATCGTCGTCAAGAGCAACGACGAGATGATGATGCTGAGAAGCCGATTGGTTCATCGCCACTTCCCGATGAGAAGAGGCGCTTGAGTAAACGTAGTAAGTGTACCATATAAATGGTTTGCAAAAAGAGCAGGAAACCGAAGCTAACTCGAATTATTTGGTAGAATGTGGTTGGATCTGGTGTGCTGTCATCACGTTGCTCTTACTCTTGGTAATCATACCAATTGTCGTTGTATTGCTTCAACAAAAGCAATCTAGTCCTAGCATAGGAACTGGAGCTGCAACGCCAAGCACTCCTCGAACAGCGAGTCTCTGGATTGATGCGACGTCTCCTCAACCACAGCCAGTTACATTGAGTGGAACTACCAGTTACACTAGCTTTACGACGATTAAACCGGCAGTGGCTCTTGTAGCGGACAATGTATCGGACAGCACAGTAAACCAGGCTACGATGCAGCATTTTACAAACTCGACGATGAATTGGGCGATACGATTCGGAGCCGGTGGGTCCATATACTCTATAATAGATAACAATGGGCATGAGATAGTCGGTCCGCAGTCTGCTGGAAGTGAATGGAATAGCCGGGTGCTTCAATTTACGGCTTCAAATACGACCATTACGCCGGCATCATCGCTGGTCCAAGCAGGTGCACCTGCCAGAGTGGTCACCACAACCAACGGGATCCTGCCGTATTACTCGCCTACTCTATCGTCCTTTTATGATACAACCACAAAGACTTACCGTGTATGGACGTGGCCGCAGCAGGCGTCGAATGCAACTTGGTCTACATCCAACTCTATATATGCCTCAAACATTATGCTGCAAACCGATATTAGGGACGTTGGAAGCTTGGCGCCAGGTGTCACCGCATTGGAAATCGCGTATACGGCTGTTAATTACGGAGATACGCCTCTCAACTGGTTTACACTGCCGTCGTTTGCATGGAATCTGAATTCATACAACACGTTGATTAATAGCAATAGTACAGGACAATACTACTATCCCACCAACCGTGACTGGCAAACTGGATATGATATGAATGACACTATGGGATGGGTGGCAGTATCATCTCTTCAAACAGGTCCCGTGTGTGCCATAGTGTTTGCCAGAACCGGCACGGAAGGTGTCCTGCAGTTTGGTCTAGATTCTTCGCCAGGGCTAGGTATCTTAACAGCTGCTAGATCAAAAATGTATGATTCGAATGATGCGTCTATGCTAGCCTCGTCAGGGATATTGCATCATCGATACTACCTGTTGTTTGGGTCTGCCATCGCTAATGTCGCTACAGCCGCTAATCAGCTTGCATCTGGGTATGCCGAGACGCTGCAACTCACGTACTCGATATCAGCTGCATTGGCGCTGGATATGTGTAAAGCTCTGGCATCTGTGCCATTTAGAACGTGTGCTTGGTCGGCTTTGGATAGGCCGGTTGCGCCATTCTTACCAAGTAAGACTTGTTTGCTCTTGTTCAAAGATGTAACAAAGAAACCGACTCACTGTCTCGATCTATAGTACTTCTAATGACCAACAAGACATCAAACACTGCTACAATCACCACAAACCCGTACCTGTATGCAGCTGTCGATCCAAACTATTACGGTCTCAAGGCCAGCAACGCCTCCGCAACAACTTTGCTTGGGTGGGGGATCAGATATAACGGACAGGGTGCTCCAGCTGCGAATATGGTCAAGCTATCTTCTGTATTGAATCCGGTGGAGTTCCCAGACCAAACTTTGGGACGTGACGTCTATGTGTTCCTGTCATCTCCCGCCGTGTAGCTGAACTCATTATCGAATTTAGGGACGGTAGCTGCTATGTAATTTCTGCACGCTTTTCTCGTTTAAAAAAATCTCAAGCACTGTATATACCAAACTCTCCAATAAATTACTGTTTTATTCCAATTGTGGCACCCCAATTATTCCATTTACATTCTTTGCTCCAACCTGGCTATACTTTAACAAACTGCATTCTACTGATGATCAAGAGTGGGGGGATACACCAACGTAGTGTGGTTCACTGAGACGATTAAGAAGCAGTTGTTGACGATGTTCTTGGTTGCTTGGCTTCATCTTGAATCTACATACGTGGTTCGAATATTCGTTTAGTAAACCGAAAGTGCCAACTAGTTCACTCAATCTCGCTTGATACATACCATACGGACAAAGTTTGCAAAGCTAGACGTCCGCATTATATGATACACATGTTCAGAAGCAAGATCAAACAAACTCCTATGAAACACCTTGCGTTCCAAAGCTTCACTTATAACTTTAGACGTTATAGATTTCGGCAAATTAACCTCTTGTGGCGAATCCGGCAGCAAGAAAGTATTAATAATTTCACCCGCTATCTGTTGCAAATCATCTTGTCGCTCCTGGTACTGTTTCCAGCCATCTTCGTTTGGATCGTATGAGGTTGGTGAGGAAGGTGTCGTTGAACTGAATACAGAGTCTGTGGGAAGTGGTAGGACGGATGAAGTGGAGACTCGTGATAGTGTGTCTCTCACAAAAATGTTTGGTGAGTGGGCTGATTGTGGCATGGAGGCGTCTGAGACGATGCTTGATGGGACGCTGTGTGGACTCATGCTGTTGTCGTTTGGGCGTCTCGGGAGGCACCTGTCAGCCGCATCTCGGTATTGAAGGACTGCTTCGTAGAAGGCAAGGTTTTCGTCAGCGTGCTCCATACGTAGGAATTTTCTAAACTCTATAAACGAGACAGGTTGGTGACTGATTTCCGTGCGAGATACAGGTACCACACGATTAATGTATACCTGACAAGGGCATATTAGGATATCCACCCCTCAGCAGTTTCGACAATGAGGGAGGAGCACCGTCCGTCACTAGGTTTGCAAACGATGTCGACGGAAAATTGCTTGAGCTAGCTTGATTCCGTACAACAGATGCTCGTTCGACTGCTGGCGACCTGGGTTCATACTCTGTGACTGATGATCTTGAATCTCCTTTCTTCATCTGCTGCACATGTGCGAGTGCGAGTGGTACACTGCCATTGTTGCCAGTGCTGTTCAATGCACCATCTTTACTCTTTGTTAATTTCTTCCTATCGGCTCCAGCAGTTGGTAGATTCACTTTTCTAGCTTGTGGTCTCTGCCCGACATGTGCTAATGCTAATGGTGCCAGACCTCGATTGCTGGAAGAAGTAGGTGATGTGGGCTCATCGGGCATGTCGATGGTGTGCTCAGAAGTTGAATTCCGTGGTATTCCCTGTTCTCCAGATCCCAATGCGAGCGAATCAACAGAAAACCGTAATCCGGTCTTGATTGATGACGACCTTTCAGCATTCGGCGACATGCAGTTTGGGGAAATGCAGTTTGGCGACACGTTGAAATTGAGCGACGATACCGAGGAGCGAGATGATCGTGTTCCCGTCTCCGTGCTGCCATCTGCAGCGACTACCGATTTCAAGCTGGAATCCTTCCGCACAGGGCTGCTGATAATACTAGCAAGAGTCAACGGCAAATTCGCCTTTATTTTGAATTCTCTCATATTGACCGGCATGAGAAAAGGTCAATTTCGGAGTCCCTCTCCAAGCCAAACAGGATACCAACTCTCAACTCAAAATATTGTTGCACGTTGTGTAGTCCACCGAAGGGTTCTGTTCCCAAACGTTGATTCGTCGAATCTTTGCGGGTCGTCTCCAATTTTCGGAAGAAGGTAACAAGGTCACAGTCACCGATTACTCGGCCTTAACTTAGCTAACAGCAAATTTATACTGTGGAGTGGAGGATTCAGAAGTGAATCGAGAAGTTGATTTATCGGAAATTGTAGCGGGTTGATGCTCAGTTAATAGACAACAATTATTTGACAACATCAATAAAAGTTGGTAAACACCTGCTATGAGCTTCGTTTAGGAGTTCTCTTCCCTAGCATCTTGAGGAGTAGAATTGTTTGTTGTTCCTGGACCAAAACTGCCGCAAATTTCACAAGCAACATCAAACTATACGTAAAAGGACTGAAAGCTGAGCAAGATGCCTTCCATTTATTCATATACACCACGAACTTCAGTTTGAGGGCTCGCTGCTATGACAGTCGCGTGCAATATGGTCTTCAAATAGCATTGGTTTGTTCCCAAACAAAAACACTGAAGCACCAAAATCGGATTTCAGCAAGAGGATATATGATTATTTTATAGCAAATAGAGACATGAAACACTTTATAACATCTTTCTTAATTATAGAACTTGAGAATAACACACAGGAAAACGTTTCTTCACACGCAGAAGGTTTCAAACACTTTTTTTGACTAGTGGCCCAACACAGACTTGAAAGAGAGAGAAGAGAGAGCAGCAGAGACCATGGTTCACTTGATCACATAATTGTGCAAACCATGTGGTTGCTTTGCTCAGATGAGCCAAATGCACTAAGGGCGGCACTAGCATCTCCGGTGGGAGCTGGTGCAACTGTTGGTTCAACGGGAGCAACGGTTGGAGTTACGGCAGCGACAGTTGGTGTGGTGGCTAGGTACAATGAGAAAGTATGTGTGAGCATTTGCACTATGCTTGTTTGCCAAGACCAGCAAAACATACCAGCTTGTTGACGTTTAATAAGAGCCTTGTTGATCATCTCGTCAACGTTAGCTTCGACATCGTCTAATAGAAAGTAGCACGAGAAAAGTTAGTTGACGCGCCAAAAACACAACAGGCTCTTTTTGGTCATGACACAACCACAGCACGTGGATGTAAACGTACCAAAGTTTCGTGCAGCCATCCTTTCATTCTCTTCGAGAGTAACTTGAGACATGAATGCAGCGGGTTGACGACGATCAAGAGCCAAACTTGAATCCGATTCGGGCAGAGGCGCCGTGAGCACGTTAGGAATGGATACTACAACTGCAGCAGCAGCGGCCAAAGCAACAAATTGTGATTTGGAAGACATGGTATGGGTGTTTGTGTTGAAAGAGGTAGTAGTAAAAACGACTGTTGTTGTTTGTTTTGACTTGGATCTTGGAGATTGATCTTGGCCTGTTGTTGAGATATAGAGAGTAGAGATGATAGTTCTAAGAGGTGCTTCTTTATGAGTCTTGTTGAGGCTTGATAGTATTGTATAAGTTCCTGATTGTGTTGAGGTTTGAAGGAAGGAAGAGTGAGGAAATGTGAGATATGGGAGGAGTCGTTTCGCGCCCTTTGTCATCACAAGAAAGTAAACAAGTTTGGTGACCGTCGCCGCAGTTCGTACGCAGCTCATCGATGCGCTGCATTTTTTACTTTTGGTGGGAAAAGACATGCAGAGGGCAGACGGTTAAATTGTTATCGATCAACGAACAATAGAGATTCTTTTGTTCTAAGAATATACTCGTGAATTTGTTGATACGTTCTTGTCTTCTCAAATGCTTCAAATGCAGTTATTTTCGGCTTCGGCGTTTGATGGCGAACGTTTAATATCTATGACGAACCTGCGAAAGCCGTCTCGCGTTCCAACCCAAGGATAACTTTTATTGTCATCGATCACATGTATCTGGCAAGTCCATAAATCCGTATGATCCTACGTGTTGTCTACGTGTCAGCGAAGAATGAGCCTTCCAAACCCCTCGCTCATATTTTTGAAACTACGCAAACTCGAGAATCACCCCATTTGACTACACGACATCGTTTGCGAAATGACAGTTTCTAACGCAATTACAACCACTACTCTTGGAAAGGGCGGCCCAGTGGTTAATCGGTATGACCACAGTTTTCAAAACGACCAAACGATGATTTCTGACATGTTGGGTTATGTAGTCTCGGACTTGGAGCTATGGGCATGTATGTATGAATGTTTAGTTAGTTAGAAAAATTTGCTTTTGGTGCCATTCAGATACGTGGAAAGGCTCCAACGCTGAGACATTTCAAGTCTCGGAACACGATCAACCTAAAGCTCTTGAATAACAAAACTTCCAAACTTAAAAATGTGCTAAGAATGCAATCCGAACTGACGAATTATCCCATAATTCCATCAGGGCTCAAGCGTATGGCGTTGCTGACGACGAGGAATCCATTACAGGTAAACAACCAACATGTCAAACTTTACCGCGTCTAATTGGCAGCCCGAAACTACCATGATCTTCACTAGTACTGAACCGTGCCGTCGACCTGGGATGCAATTTTATTGACACCTCAGACGCATATGGCTTTGGAGTGAACGAGAAACTCTTGTCGAATATCCTTAAAACCAGACGCAAGGAAATCTTCTTATGCACCAAGTTCGCCTTTCAGAAAACTGACACTGGAATTGTCATCAACGGGAATCCTGAATATGTCAAGAAGGCATGTGCTGCTTCGTTGGAACGTCTTGGAATCGATTATATCGAGTGAGTTTTCGCTTTTGGGAAAGTGACACTGTTACAAATGGAATTACGGTTGATCTCTTTACTTGCTACCTCTGTCTACTTTTAATGTAGTCTGTACTACCAGCATCGGATAGACCCAAACACGTAAGATGGTATAGCATAGTTTTTTTTGTTTGACTTCCAAAGAAACTCAGCTTTCGTACATTGTTAGACCTATCGAAGACACAATGAAAGCCTTGAAGGAGCTGGTTCAGGAAGGCAAAATTAAGAAAATCGGCCTCAGTGAATGCTCTGCAGAGACTTTACGCAAAGCGTATGCTATTCACCCTGTTGCTGGTACGTAAAGAAGTCGAAGGTTGCATTGTGAGATCCGATGATTGTTGCCGAATCTCAATTTACTGTTTTTCGCAGCTGTCCAAGTCGAATTCTCACCATGGACGCTCGATATCGAAACAAATGGGCTTCTCGCTGCTTGCCGAGAACTTGGTGTTAGTATCGTTGCTTATAGTCCACTTGGACGTGGATTCTTGACTGGGAGGTTCAAGTCCGTTGTGAGTATTGAGCAAAACTGCGCATAAAACGTACTGCTGTAACATGCTTCTCATACATTCAATTTCAATTTACATCGACAGGATGATTTCGAAGAAGGTGATGGCCGTCGTATGCATCCACGATTTCAAGGAGAAAACTTCCAAAAGGTATGCATGATGTATCAACTTTCTTCTTGGGGGGGTTTTCCCTTGGTTTGGTTGGAGATACTCACCCATTCCATTGCAAAACCAGAACTTGGAAATTGTGAAAAAGATCGAAGAACTAGCTCAAATGAAGAAATGTACTCCATCAGCACTTTGTTTAGCATGGGTGTTGGCTCAGGGGAATGACTTTATCACTATACCAGGAACAAAACGTGTCAAGTATCTCGAAGAGAACTTGAAGGCATTGGATGTCAATATTACGAGTGAAGAAGACAAGGCTGTGAGTTGTCTGGGAGAGCATTACACGCGGAAATGTGTGGTGCAGAACCGGAGTAGCTGTTTTTTTGCACTACTAATTCTTTTCACATAGATCCGAGATATTGTTGCCTCTCTTGGTGGCGCATCGGGAGACAGATATCCAGAAGCCCATATGAAAGCGCTAAATAAGTGAATTCCCACACGATGTAAAAAGACGAGGTTGTGCTTATATGAAGAAACCACAAGTAAATACAATGACACGTGAATAGAAAACCCTATTGAAAATGATCATGTCCGTATTGGGAGAAAGGTGCACAATAATTTGTGGAACATACAGTGAGCGACTTGCAATTTCGTGTTGGGGCCGGAGTTGACTATATGGTACCACACTGTCATCGATCGCGTGTAAGTGCCAAGTCCATATCGTTTCAACCTGGGTATCATCGCAAATGTGCCTTCCTGCTTGACACATCGTGTTTCAAAACTACGCAAAGTCAACAAGCTCTTCTTGTTAAACATTAACCAACGCATCCAAACTAAGCGATAACGTTGCCAGACATGACAGTCTCCAACACCGTTACAACAGCTACTCTTGGAAAGGGAGGTCCAGTAGTGAATCGGTGTGTCTAGGTTTTCAATTGAGCAAATGGTGATTTCTGACATATTCTGTTACGTAGTCTTGGATTTGGTGCTATGGGCATGTACGTATGAATGCTGTATCAGTTATTAATCTACTTTTGGTGCCATCCAGAAGGGTGGAAGAACTCCAAAGCTGAGACATTTCAAAAGTTGGAACTCGTGGAGTTCAATACTGCATAACAGGACATCCATATTATCAAAAGCACGAAGGCTTCAATACAAACCGATGAATTGTCCCATTAGGTCTCAATCGTACGGCGCTTTTGATGATGAGGAATCTATCGCAGGTACACAACGAACTTATTAACCTGAATCGTCAAATTGCAAATAACTGACCGAAGCTCGCCTTCCAATTAGTCCTTAACCGTGCCATCGATCTCGGCTGCAACTTTTTCGACACTTCAGACGTATACGGCTTTGGAGCGAACGAAAAACTCTTGTCCAAAGTGCTCAAAACCAGACGCAATGAAATCTTCTTGTGCAGTAAATTCGCATTCCAGAGAACTGACACTGGAATCACCATCAACGGGACTCCTGAATATGTCAAGAAGGCGTGTGCCGCTTCGCTTGAACGTCTTGGCATCGATTCGATAGAGTGAGTTTTTTTGTTAGAATTGTGACATGACCGTATAGATGTACTAATTCTATCTCTTCCGATATAGTCTTTACTACCAGCATCGTGTAGATCCAAACACGTGCGTTCATTTGTTCGGGGAGGGGGGAGATTGGCGTTTCCAGACCTCACATTTTGCAAAATGTTAGACCTATCGAAGACACAATGAAAGCCCTCAAAGATCTTGTCGAAGAAGGCAAAATCAAGCATATCGGACTGAGTGAATGCTCTGCAGAAACTTTACGCAAGGCCTACGTTATTCACCCTGTTGCTGGTGTGTACCAAAAGTCTAGTAGATTGGTGTTATGGCCTGTCTTGACTAAGATTGAATTACGCACATTTTTTTCGCAGCTGTCCAAGTTGAATTTTCACCATGGACACTCGATATCGAAACAAACGGACTGTTGGACGCCTGCCGAGAACTGGGAGTTAGTATTGTTGCTTACAGTCCACTCGGACGTGGATTCTTGACTGGGAGGTTCAAATCCATTGTGAGTATCGAGCAGAAAATTGCTTTCGGAGTATGGACGAATGTGACCTCATCTCACATCTATAACAACAGGACGATTTCGAAGAAGGAGATAACCGTCGCAACCATCCGCGATTCCAGGGAGAGAACTTCCAAAAGGTTGGCATGATACATCCACTACAACGAGACAATTCTTCTGGTCTTGACTAGATTCACGAACCTCACACATCACATTCAAAACTCCAGAACTTAGAAATCGTGCAAAAGATCGAAGAACTGGCTGAAAAGAAGAAAACCACTCCATCAGCACTTTGTTTAGCATGGGTACTCGCTCAGGGCGAAGACTTCATCACCATACCTGGAACCAAACGTGTCAAGTACCTTGAAGAGAACTTGAAGGCCTTGGATGTCACCATTACAAATGAAGATGATAAAGCTGTAAGCAAATTTGAGAAAGTTGTTTTACACTTAAAAGTCGTGTGTATTGAAATATTTGCACCTCCAATCCCTCAACAGATCCGAGATATTGTTGCTTCGCTTGGCGGAGCCTCAGGAAATAGATATCCGGAAGCCATGATGGCAGCGCTCAATAAGTGAAATGCCCATAGAATTACGATAATAAAAACTCCAATCCTATTTTTTCCACCGATCATGACAAGTTATATGTTGAGGTTGTGTCTATATAAACGAACATACAAATATATGATGAAAAGAAACGTGTGACAATGATAATGTCCATATGGAACAAATATACAATATAAACTTTTTGGGAATATACTAGGACTTTTGATGACGACTGCTCTATAATACTTTTGGGGGAATTTAAGCTATGTTGTAACTCCACCACGAGGAATTCGGACCTATCCAATATCAGAATAAGCTTTTCTTGCCACATATCTCAACCACGTCAAACAACAGTAAAGTTTTTCACATACCTTTCGAACGGTAAAGATGGAGCATCGCCCAACATTGTCCAACACAATACGAGCTCCAATAGGACTCAGCACCTCTTTAATGATACTCATTCGAGCCTTGCTAACACCATCTTTGCCCTTGGTATCAACACGTAATTGCTTGGATCGTGGATTGACATCTGGTGTGACTGGCAACACAGGATCCGCAGAATCCATACGGCCAAGCGATGCGAATTCAGCATCCTTCAAGTCTCCTAGCGATCCAATAGTGTTTCCATACCCATATGTACGTTCAGAAGCACTCAACATTTGGTCAGAGTGAGACAAGGCAGTGTTCCATCCATATCCGAATCGTCCTAGCATGACCATGGAGGGATCATCAGCCTTGATCTGTTCCAATACAGGCTCGATAGGATCTGAGTATTCAGGAGTCAATACGACAGTGACGATAGTCACCCGAGAAGGACGTTCAGAGCCATCAGCAGATTCTAGTGGATTTGAAGCCAATGCACGAGCACGATTCAAGATTTCTTCATCTTGTCCTTCGTGACGGGATCGAGATGCAGAGGCACGAGTAGGCTGGTTGTTGTTTTTAGCAGCCAAAGCAGCAAACCCAGATGACAATTTTCGGTACGACATGTTACCATCTGATGGCCTATTGGAGGCTGTTGATGACTTACGGAAGAGATCAGTCAGGGCTGTGACTGCTGGTCCCGAGACTGAAGGTACTTGTTGAGTGACAGTTACGTTTATGTCTGCTGATCCATCTACTCCACCATCCGAAGATTCACTGGCAGCAGCTAATTTGCTTGCCTCACTTCCAGTAGCGGATTCATCACGCTCGCGTGACACGTCCTGAGTACCATCCTCGATCACAAGTATCTTGAGATTGCAACTGCCAGCAGAAGCTGAACGTAATGCAATACTCAAAGCTTCACGATCGTCAGGACCGCCATAGAATACAGCCAATACATCCAATTCACCACCTGTCTTACGTCCTGGCCATACACCTGTTGTTGTTTCGTCTAAGTTGGTCCTATCTACAATCACTCCAACTCGACTCTTTAGACGTCGTACTAGTTGAAGAGCGAGATCATCAGTGAAGCTGAGCTCTTCATCCTTTGATGAATCAGTATCGGTTTCCTTGGCAGAGTAAGGCAAAGCAAAGGAAGTGTGGTGTCCAGGTGAATGAGGCTGGAAGGTGGACAACCAAGCTGGTCCGCTGATACGACGATTGGATGGTGTGGCTGGTGATTGAGGTGGCATTGGGTGAGAGCTGCTAGCTCGTGCACGAGTCGGAATACTGGTGAATGGCTTGAAGGGAACTACTACCATTCCACAGGCATTGTCATATGCAGCATCTCCGACATCTTCCGCAAACTGGCCTGGTTTGCTGACTAGAATGTGAGGAATGATTGGGATGCCACGCAGGGCTGCGAATGTTGCAAAAACACCCAATGCGGCATCATCTAAGAACAGTAATAGGTGTCATTAGTATGGATCTGGGGCAGGGGGGTGCTTTTCTTAACTTACGAAATTGAGCAGCTGATAAAGGATCAGCAGCAGCAATCATAGTACTCGACATCCTATCAGAGTCTAATATAAGACGAGCGACATGGATTGGTGTTTGTTGCGTAGAGACAGCCAGATCTTTAAGATCATTTCGAGGTGATAAACTGCGTCGTCGGAATACATTTGCGAAGGGACTCTCTGGTCGTATAAGTGTCAATAGCGACATCATCGACGGTACTACAGTCGGCTGCGTGAGACATAGCAGTAATGGATAATCCGATTGCTTGCTCATGTCTTCGGTAGATTCTACGATTTCATTCTTGTCATTAAAGAAGGTTTGAACGTGAGGTGGATAGATCCATGAAACCAGGGGGGTAGTCATCATAGTTGTAAGAATTGCAAGTAAGACCATTATAGCAAACGTCTGAATTGAAAAGTGTCAGCACATTACAAAACATAGAGATCAAAGACGAAGCGAAGCAATTCGTACTTGTTGACTGATGATACCAGCATCTAGTCCAATATTGAGGAAAATCAACTCGACCAGTCCTTTGGTATTCATAAGAACACCAACAGACAATGCTTCTCGCAATGGCAATCCTGTTAATCGAGCAGCAGTACTACAACCACCAATCTTTCCAAGACACACTCCAACCATGACGAGCAAGAGGTATGCGAGGCTCATTCCATTCAATGTAGAGATGTTGGTTTTGAGACCAGAGTATGTAAAGTATAGAGGTAGTAATACGATGGTGACTAGGTCTTCAATACGTTCAGTGAGTTTGACGTTGAATCCATTGTCTCGTGGCAATGATAATCCAGCTAAGAGAAAATGGGAGGTGTTAAACCTGAGTAGATTTTTCTATGTCCTTATTTTTTGCCCAACGCAACACTCACTAAGAAAAGCACCAAAGATGGGATGAATACCCAGCGCATCGGTAAACCAAGCGGCAGCAAAGCACAAGACAAAAGCAACCACCATCATGGATGGACTGATATCTCTATTGCCACCAGCAAACCATCTAAACAATCTGGCAACAGACAATCGCATCACGGTCAACATGAAGATTGCGAATGCCAGACCAACGAGAAACACCCATAGAGCTGTCAGTGGTGTTGATGCGTTGATCAAGGATACCACGAGAGCTAGGAATGTCCATCCTAGTGCATCATCTAGAGCTGCAGCGGCTATTACGGTGACACCGACAGGTGTTCGTAGTAGTTTGCGGTCTGTCAATATACGAGCCAAGACGGGGAATGCCTGAGATAGGTGAAGGTTCTAGTTTAGACATTCATCACGTTCGTGTAGTATTTTTCGTATCAGGAATGTGAGGATTTGCGAGTTTGATTTGTCAGTCCGTTTTTTGGATCAAAGAAGTGAAGGTTTGCGAGTTGGATACACCTCATGTCCAGACGACATCTCATCTCTTTTGGCTTCATATTGGTATCACAGACTTACCGTAACTGACATGCAAACACCAATAAAGAGTAAAAAGTATCCATAATTTTGCCCATCGTTTCCAGGTATATAGAGATAAAACACACGACTAGTACACAAATCATTAAGCATCACACCAAAGCTATACTATAAAATCCAAACTTACGAGACACCAAGCGAAAACAAAAAAGTCGTGCAAAAGCCAGTCAGACTAATAGCAGCACTACTTCTAGCCCTCGATCTCACATTATTCAAATCCAGTTCAAGACCCATTAAGAGCAAGAAGAGCACCAAACCCAGATTAGCCAAGACGTTCAAGAAATTGACACTTGTCGTTGGAAAGAACGTGCTTGAAAACCACGTCCATCGTCCAAGAGCTGTTGGACCGAGGACTATGCCAGCAATGACTTCGGATATGACACGTGGTTGGCGGATGTATGTTAGAGGTATGGAGATCAAGCGACTTATACCGAGAATCAAGATGATCTATTGTGTGGTAAGGTTATGGTCAGAGGTGTTTTGAAGAGTTGAGAGGGTGTGAAGGGTCAAGTACAGACTAGTAATTGATTCCCCTGATGTAAATCAAATAAACATTCACATTTCTTCGGAAAAACTTGTCCTTTGCTTGATGCATGTGAAAATGCGGCTTTCAAACCTGCACAACAAGATGTTGACGATGAAGATGGAAGATCTTGTCCCTTTTGGACTGATCTTACATGCCACATCAAGCTGAAATCATTATCAATCATGATCTTTTTGAGATAGCCATGCATTGGTAAGACCAACGAGCAACTTGACTCAGATTTCATTCTCAGCTAATCTCTGATGAAGGTGCGCGGTAAGTGTCTTACCTGAATCAATAAGAGGCCTAGCCCGTCAGATACCGGACTAGCACCTGCTATGAACGATTGTGCCGTCGTATTGGCCATCGTTCGTCGTGCTTTCTCGTTGTTTTGGAAAGAAGGTCCGGAACCAAGTTTGGTGTTGTATGGATCAGGGTCTAGAGAAGAGGCACTGGAACCACACTGAATCGCTTTCGTGACAGTTCGCGTTCTATACTTCTATTGATGAATATCTAACGTGGACACTGTAAACAAATTCAATGCAAAGTTTTATGAATGTGACAGTGATTTATACAAGTTATTTATGTCCAAGAGTCATGCGACGTATCGAGTTCTCTTCAGCTTTTTCACGAGGATCTACATCAGGAATGTCTAGGAGGAAAAGTGGTGTTGAGTCAGACCAAAAAAAAAAGCTTCATCCAACCGCCTCACACGCACTGTTGACGTCCGTCATATCATAGTCAAATTCATCATCCATCTCCCTGTCTTCATCAGCACCCTCCTCATCCTCATCATCTGAGTCCTTGCGTGCTTTGAACACTCGACGAGGTGGATGTCCATTCTTGTTGATTTGCATCTCCTTCATGACTTTAGCTAGATTGTCTTGTATACCAGCTTGCTCTGCATTTTTTCGTCGTTGCATTGAGCGTTCCATTTCAGGTTTGTAGTCTCTGCGCAACAGCAAGCAAAAAAAGTTGGTATAGAAGGAGACCAGGATTGCAGACACCAATCAAAACTCACGTGTCGTATTCCTTGACAGCATCATCTACTGCGTCAAAGTATTCCTTCATGCCAGCACCAGTAACGGCAGATACACCCGCACTCTATGATTCAAAGGGTGAGTTGGCAATTGGTTGAAACTCAAAAAGATGTGAGAGTCCACTCACACGTAGATGCTGATAGAACTCATCAAGCACCAGAGCCATAGACTGTATATAACTATCCATAAAGCTTCCATCATCCTTCAGAGCAGCAGAAAACACCTCATAGCTTTCCATCCAATCGACAGCAAACTGATGAGATACGACATCCGTCTTGTTGAATGCAAGCATGAGAGGGAGCTTTGTCTTGTATAGTATACTGCATGCGTACAACATGTTGCTCATGAATGTGGCTGGAGCGGATGATCGCGGGGTGTCGACTATATAGCACACCACAGTTGGAAAGGTTGCTGCGAGTGTGTCTGTTATGATGGATCCTGATGCAGACCATGTAAAGATTTCAATCTGGCCAGGAGTATCCAGTAATATGTAACTGTCAGAGTTGTAGGTTAGTGTCTGTGGTTTAGCCAAGCTATCAAACGACTCCAAAGCTCACTCCAAAGTTGGTGCCTTCTTCTCAATGAGAGTAAGAACTTGATCGAATTTAGTAGTGAATAGGTTGAGTGATGTTAGGATGGCTCCGTTAGGTCCCAAGTTGTATCTATTTGACAAATATGTAAGCTTTTCTTCTGTTTGTTACCGCACTCTCACACCAAATGTCACTCGTACTGTTTCATGACTTGTTTATAGTTTACGGTATCTCTAATGTCTATATTGCAGCCGAATGGCACATGGGTGACTGCCGGATCCAGATTGATGATGTAGACTGACTTTTTCTGCGAATGCAAATAGGAATTGAGTCGCTGCATCAGAGTCGTCTTTCCTGAGCCTGCCATTCCTATACATATTATCACTGTGGGCCTCTTGGCTGGCACTGGGGCTGCTCCCATCGACGCACTACTTGTAGTAGGATCTGCCATGGTCGTCTGTGAATGTTTGTGATGTTGGGACAAGCTCGACGGACGCAGCACGAACAAGGTTCCCAGGTTCAAAAAGGATTCAGTAGATTTTTATACGTGCTGATCGCTCATATTCGCATATTCGCTTGATCATTGAGGTAGAAATACTAATAAGTTCCTGCTTGGGCTGGGAAGAGATTTCTTTTCCCATTTTCAAGGATACGCTTCCGAAATGACGATCTATTACAGATTCAGACGCGTAAATAAATAGAATATATCATCCTGCACGTTGACTCTTAATGGCGGAAGAACGTATGGTGTAAGCATAACCCGTGACTTTGCAAGCCCCAGATCAACCGCAGACAGATTTGCGCAAAACCAAACATCGACAAAGAACTAATAAAGAGACACTAGCAGCCGGATCAGCATCAGGACGCTAACATTCAACAGAAAGAACTAATCGTCCATCATACAACTCTGCTGTGCATCACAAGCAGACCAAACCTTGTTTTTTCTTCACAGACAATCACAACACACAACATCAGGTAGGCGTACGCTCTAAGAAAAGATGCATTCGATCATTCGCACTCATGTATCAATTAAAATCTAACCGTATTGATACGTTGTAGAAACATGACTATCAGCCAAACATGGCCAACATCTGGAGTAATGGAGAAACAGACTGGGACAGATATATCATCATCAACATGGTCTCCAACTAGACGTCAACCCAAGCATGAACCTATACGTCATATTCCATCCAGATCATCCATCTTCACGGTCGACGAACCAACCATGCCACAGCCACTGCCAAACACACTTCTATATACAGATGATGCTACTATTACAACCTCTCCTACAAAGTCAAAGAAGGATTTGGACGCTCTCTTGTCTGAAGTGAATGCCTTTGTCGAGAGCTTGCAATTCGATGGGAGTGGAAGTCCAGTGACTCCTATATTGGGAATACCTCGGACTACAACCGCAACAATATCTCCTGTCGATCAAGCAAAGTTGGTCACCAAATCGGTCGAACGAAACTATTCCGCAACTATAAATAATAATAACACCGACATAGTCAGCTCATCATCAGGAAGCAGCTCATCAGAGTCCTCAGTCGTATCCTCGGATCAAGATGAAGAAGAAGAAGAACTCATTGAAGAGTACTACTTTGAATCATATATACCTGCACCATCTCTCAACAAAATATCCAAACGACCATCGGTAATAATGACTAGTAATAGCACTCAAAAGTCACCAATCAATTACGAACAATCACCAGATTCCGCATCGCCAACGTCCCCCTCTGACTCGAAGTATAATAGTATTGATTCCAAAGCTGGTGACTTGAGCTTGAAGTCCCTCGACAGTGGAGAAACTAGTCCGGTATCACCTGTAGAACCCGCAGAACATAGCACAGTATCCACAACTATAGTATCTTCAGCACCAAACGGAGACTCAAACCATACCAATACACAAGCTACATCCCGTCTCCTTCCAAACATCTTCAAACCTCGATTTTCAATGTCGAATGAACCACGACCAAGTAATTCATCTACTCGTCCAAGTATATCATCAACCACATCAAACAAGTCGGTATTCACAGCACCAGGTCGAGCACTGAAACGTATCGTATCGAGAGTCAGGAACGTAATGAGAAGGAAGAAGGATACATCTGAAGTCATATTGGTCCAATCTGAAATTGAAGTCGTACGGGTTGAAGATGTTACTGCTCCCAAATCTATGGCTTATGATAGCAACGAACCACCCAAAATGGTTGGTATTGCTGAGGAAAAGACTGCTGCTCATAGGTTGTCGTTTATGGGATCGCCTGCTCATAGGCCAGAAAGAACAAACAGAAGCTGGATGTCTCGAATGGCTGGAAGATAAGGAGGTCGGTGGTTGTTGAATGGGCATATAAAGTAGTAGAAGATGAGGTTTTGGCAAAAATGGTTGTTTTTGGGAGGATTTGGGAGGACGTGTGGTTTGTAGTATATATGAGGAAAAGTTAGGAGGGAGGAAGTATAGAATTAAGATTATATCCAAACAGGCAAATATTTCATACTCGCAAAAAAAAACACAAACAAATAGTCAAACTAGTTTTTAGATTCGTTGTATTGTACGATTACAAGAATTATATCAAGATTACCCCTTATGCTACTACTACTACTACGACTATCAGCCTAAGTTTTTTGTTTTGGCAAGCCCTTCTACAGCTACAGTTCTATACAGTTCAGTCATCGGACGTGCCACTCTCACATGGATACATCCTCCGTATCAAACCTTGTTTTTGTTGTCGCATGCACTTATAGAGCTGTTACTCTATATTGTTCAGTGATCTGACTTGCCACTCCATCGTGGGTACCTCCTCCGTATCTGCTCTCCATACCTGTACACATAAAACACACACCCCAGCGCAAACACCTGCAGCACACAAAGCACCGAAAAGAACGGCCCGATACCAAGCGACGACTCGCCTACAAGCACCAGCACAGCCGCGAATGCAGAAAGCAGTGATCGAATCACGTTATTCACAGCGGTTACAGACGCACTGTTTGTCGGGAATATATCGATTAGGTATGAGGATGTTGATGTGAAGAGGAAGGTTGTTGATATGCCGAATATTAGTTGGCCTATGCCAGGGATTATCCAGTGGGTTCGTCCGAATGTCCTTTGAGAGGGTAAGAGGTTGGGCGAGGAGGGAGACAAGGAAGGCAATTCGTCGCTTACCAGCCGTGTATCAGGAATCCAACAATAGTTCCGGGACCGCCTGTTGTGAGAATTGAGAGCATACGGGATTCAGGCAGTGATTTTGCGTCTGGTCCCTTTGCCTTGCGTTCATGCTCTACACACCAGTCGCTAAACCATCCTGCGACTAGGATACCTACAAAAGATCCAATCTGTTGCAACCGTATCAGCGTGCGTGCTCGTCCCAACATTTACAAAGCTAGAATACACTCACAGTACACGGCAGAAACCCCAGCCCAGTCTCAAACACCGTAAATCCATACACGTCCTGCAAATTCCTCGACAAGGAAGTCATCATGAAAAAGAAATTGGCAAACACGACCACACTCTGAACAATAATCAGAGCCACCACCGGGTATCTCAAATACGTGATTGGTTCCAGTAACGAGACTTTCTTATGCGACCCAGCTTTCCGTCTCTTGATGAGATACAGGGAAGTTATTGGTGGTTCGGTATCTACGTTGTAGTCACTTGGGACTAGTGTTTCAGGGGCGAGAAACACTATAGCTGTTATAGCGATGGCTCCAAGGGCTGCGATGACGACAAAGATGTAGCGCCAATTGAAGAAGTTGGCTAGCACGCCTCCAATGAGTGGTCCAAGTAGTGGCTGTAAAGAAAATGTGAGTTTTGAATAAGTTCAAAGAGGCATTCTACAACTTACACCCAGTTGCGGAGCGAGAAAGTATAGACCGAGAGCTCTGGCACGTTCTGCAATCGGAAACACATCTTTGGAAAAAACATGGCGTTAGTTTTAGTTTTGAATCGCAAAGCTCGACGAGTCTAACCTGATATCGTTCCTGCGCCTATACTGACTATTGCCGAACCTCCCAGAGCTTGTAATCCCTGACAGCTGATATTAGTACAAGATAAACAAATGCGACAACAAAATCAAGGACAAAAACTCACCCTGAACAGTATCAGCACAGTGATACTTGGAGACAACGCGCATCCAACAGCATTCAACGTAAAGATTGTAAGCGTGCACATGTATATAAAGCGGCGTCCCATTGTGTCTGAGATTGGAGCCCAGAACTAAAAATGAATTGTAGTGAGAATTGCAATGAGATGTGTGCAGGTTCTAGCTATTCAACAGACGTACCAATGGTCCAATCCCTTGCCCCAGGACATAAATCGTCACAGTGAAATTCACCCAAAAGTCAGTGGTGTTGAGATCGTTTTGTATGTCCAGCAGTGCTGGTAGATAGATGTTCTGCAGAGTGGAATGTTGGTTAGCATAGGATCACTTGTCTCTGTTGATTATGGAGGGAAAACGAAATTGCAGACACTGAAAAAAATGCAGGCATGTATCACCACCAGACTTCCTTACCATATTCAACGGAATCAACAACTGCGCTACAGACACAACCATAACAATAATCCATCTATACCCCTTCGGTCGATACCTCGTATACTTCCACTCTAACAGTTTCGCAATGCGTGCTTCTTCACCACCATCCAACCGACAATTCTTCAATTCAAGCTCTGTCGGATCCTCGTCAATCACCAGTGTGTTTGCAATGTCCAGAGTAATGCTTTTTCCTATTGGACGTGAGAGGTACAAGGTTAGATCAACTGTCATGGGCCTGACAAAATAAATTGTTTGTATACTTGATGCTGCAACGGATGATCGTGGAGGTGCCAAACTTTGCTGGCTAGGCCGTCTTTCCATGTCATTGTGAACGTCTAGGCTTATTGCTCCAGCTGACAGGAGGGTTGATGAGACAGAACTGTCGGTTTTTTCGTCGAGACTTTGGTCTATCATGCTTTTACAGCTCGAATCCGGTCAATGTCGGTTGAAAGGGAGAGACAACGAGTACTTGAAAGCAGTAACGATGTTTGAAATGTTCAGGTTTGGTTCTTCATGACGGCTGATTTCTGTTGACTGATTTGAAACTTGGATTTCATGGATTTTCTAAAAAATTGTATTCAGCCAGGTGTGACTTCGGCTGGATGAGGTTTTGGACCTCCTGACATATATTAAGCTAGTGGCGATTCTTTCATTGTTGTATTATTACTGTCGCGTCCATCGTGCAGAGATGAATCTACCCTTATTCTCAAACCCCAAACTCATATACAGTCTTTGTGCACGTTCATTGTGCGGCAGGCACGTCAACATAACATCTCTTCCATTAAGATCAGCGAGTGCGTGATGAAGCGTATAGTATGCGAATCTTTTGCCCCAGTGGCTATTGCAAAGAGGTCGAAGTTTAGTGAGATTGCGGCAGACAAATGTCAAGAACGCTCGAATCACTTTACCTGGGGTTGACCGCGACAGACGCAACGTCGACCACGTGCTTTGAGATCATTGAGATCACGATGACACATACAAGCTCACCATTCGAGTCACGGGCAACATATGTCGTGCTTTGAGTTGGTGGCAGCTGCAAATACCTGGTCTGTCGGTCAACCAGCCAACTAAACGGATCCTCAAACTCGAATCCAGCTCGAATGACTTCAGCTACTTCTGGAGCTTCCTCTACTGTTGCGACACTAACTCTAATATCGGGATTGGTTGCAAGATCTTGCAGTTTCGTATTGGACGGTCGAAACATGATGTACTCGTCCACAACATCTGACTCTGGATCACATTTGTATCCTCTGGCAGTTAATAAGGATTCCCAATCGTTTTGATTGCGTAAATTATCGTCAAAGTCTCGAAACATCTGTACTCTAGCTGCGCTGTTTGTTGAAGTGTTGGATGATGCCTGTTTCACCAGCTTTTCTAGAGCATCTAGAGCTTCTTCCGCTGTCTCTTTTGCAGATTCGCGAGATAAATCTATATAGAGCTGATTCCCATCCCACCAGTCAAGATTCGCTGGAGACGCGACCAAGTATCCGCAGCTAAGTGGTATTATCTGGTCAACTACACGAGCATGCTTGACTGTCAGTGGGGTAAAAAGTTCGGCAGTGGTAAATTCCTTGACTTTGTAATCGTCGTCGGCCCAACTCATAGACATTGTTCAAGTCCAGTTGATGTTTCACGTTTTCACAACGGTCCTATCTTGAATTATGCGATGAGAATCGACAAAATAGCACGGGAAATGTAGACTGCTTACTTCAAACCCAACGATTCTATACTAGTGTTCAAAGCTTTCGACACGTTCACGTTCAGCTTCCAAACATCGAACACAAAATGAGCTCCCGCAGAAGAATAAGGATGGGATGCTTCATACAACTTCCCAAGTAACAACGAATAAGTCGTATACGACGAGTCCATTATTCAACCCAACCAGTGCTGCATTCAATAGGGAAATCGTACGCATCATTATGCACTTTGCGAACCCAAAAATGCAAGTAATACCGTCATAATGGAACGGATGTTTTGCTTTCATTAATGTCGGCAAATCAGGTATATAAGAATCAGAAAAATCTATATATCAGCAACTTTCAGCAATTACGTGCGTAGCACTACATACTTCCACTTATTGTTGCTCTCTTCTGCCAATTCCTTGGTGATGGTACTCTAGTAAAAGAGAAAAAGTCTTCAATCACCACCGTACAGATTTACAAACACTTACTACAGCGTTTTACAACACTAACAACATACCTTGCCTACAGCATACGCGCCTTGAAGCATCACTGGACGCATTTCATCATTGAGTTTCTTTCGTATTGCACGTTTCTCACGTAATCGTGGGAGATGTGGATGTGTGGTTGGCGTCAGAGGATGGTCGCGTGAGAAGGATGCGATGTACGAGTCAAGAGTCAGTATTTTGGGGTGAACTACCAGAGAAGTCAAGTTTTGGGACTGCCAATACAAGATGATTTTCTTTTCTTCCTCCTCTGAGACAGAGGGTGTACCCAAGATGATTCTGACATCCATATTATGCTGAAATCGAATTAAATTGAGTCAAAAAGAGCCAACCAGAAGACTCACACACAAAAAAAAAACTCATGTACATACCTGGGCGAAAACATCAGCCAGTTTCTTAAACTTATCCACACCTTGTGGCTGCAAAAAGTCGGAGCATCTAATCTTCAAGTTACCAATCATGACCTTTCTACGTTCACTGGACAGCAGATCACTATATAGCCTTTGTTCCACCAGCAGAAAGTCAGCATCGGCGCCTTCGTAAGAGAGATATAAGAGTTTCCATTGCTGAAGTTATATGTGAGACTTAGTTCATGTGTGCGATGAGCTAAAAGGTGATTGCTTACCAAGTCACAGATACCGTCTTCATCAGGAACAATATTAGCCAACAGTCCCTCATTTACCGAGGATTCAAGAATATTTTGAACTACATTCTCGAATGCAAAACCACGTAATCGTAGAAATGCATTAGGCATCGTTACGACATGTTGGAGGGAGGATGCATGAAGATGGTGCTATCAGCTATGTTAGTTGAATACCCTTGTCAATTGAATATGGCCCATGTAACCTACATAATCCACGAAAGCAAGGCTTTTTGCTTGCACTGATTGATGGCAGTACTCATCGACAGTCAGCACCTTCCTCACAAGGCTCCTATCAAAGAGTTGCTGCAGCGGTTTATGGAATTCTCGGTCAATGATGCTTCGATCTGATGAGGGTAAGTGGGCTATCAATCCTGGATCGACACCAGTAGCGTGGGGTCGTTGGTGAGCCTAAACTAGAAGGATGAGCAAAAAGTCTTGAGAATGAAACAGTGTAACTTACCAATTCTAGCAACCACTGAAAATGACCATCTTTGCCTCGTTCTGCCAAGTCCAACTGCATCATTACAGCAATTTCGTGCCGTTCCGTAACAACACGATCTAAAAAGGATGCCCATAGGGAGACTTCAGCGCCGAGGCAAGTCCACAGATCTATGAGATCGAAAGCAACTATATTACGTCCCAGGCTGCTGCGTAGGACTGAGAGGATTTCGTCACAAAACAGTCCATCTAGTGTGATGTTGGCGGTTCTAGCCTGAGCAGAGCGATAATCAATAGCATCTTGACCTGACGGGGGTGTTCCAGTGATGAGGAGTTTGAGTTTTTTCCCACGTGTATCACAGTGACGCTGGCGCGAAGAAAATGAATATCATGACACGGTGGGGAACGGAAAGATTTGGAAAAGATACCTTGACAAAGTCCTCTAAAAAACGAATATCCCCTTGAGCCTCATCTATCACCAAACACTCAACCCCTTCTGATTCCAAAGTGGCGAAGAACTTCGAGAATGCCATAGCGTCAGCCTTGTAAGCTAGTGTCTCCGATCCAGAGTCGACTTTGACAGACAAACCAATATCCAGTAAGATTTGGTTTAGACGATGGAGATGCATTGCAAGTGGACAGTAGTCAGTGGTGCTCGCTGTCAAAATGTCAAAATGATATAGTTAGTTTGATGAACATGGGAAAAAGCCAAGTACATAGTAGACTCAAAAGCAGACTGACCTTGTGATGTGCTCTGTAATGGTGGTAGTTGAGATAGACATAGTGGTGATGAAGCTAAAGAAAGTGTGAAGAGTGGTTAGTTTTATATAAATAGACAGCGATAGATTAAAGTAGCAGCAACACAAGAATCTGAATATATGTACATAATAAATACCTTTTGGGCGAACCACTTTCAATGGTTTGTCCTCTGACGTCTTGATGAGTTTGAGGAGAGTGCTGGATTTGAGTGGGGTCTTGTATTCAATGTCTGTATCTAGATACGCAAACAACTCGGCAGCATCAATGCCATGCAGTTTTGCCTTGAATGTCTTGTCCAAGACTTGCTCCAACAAATGATCGATAAGATCAGATGCTGGGATCTTGACTTGGACAGCCCGCATATTCTCCACTTCTTCTACTGGACCATCTTTGCCCACTCGCTGGAATAGCTTCACCCATATTGTCACTGCGTCCATGCTGTGCTGTGTTGCGTGACGCTTTCGTTTGATGTCTGATGCAACATGATGTTTCGTGTTTTTGCAACGGTCCTATCATTAATTTTGCGATGAGAAACGACATGATAACACGTCGAAAGAAGATTTATTACCTCAAAACCAGCGATTGGTATACTAGAGTCTAGAGTACGAAGCTTTCACACACATTCACCTTCCAAACATAAACCCAAGAATGAGCTCCACCAGGCTAAATACAATATTGTCAGCATTATCAAGCAGACTGGCAACATCGATACAAGTACCTACTGCCGATATATCCTTCAATCCCCCACCACCATCATCGCCCTTGAATATCCTGATTCTCGACTCGTCGTATAATCCACCAACAAGAGCACACGAATCCCTCGTAAATCATACTCTAAAGAACGTAATTCCTAAAAATGGACGTGCATTTGATGCAGTACTCCTACTCTTCGCCACCACAAACGCCGACAAGATTGGATATAAAGGTGCATCCCCAACTCAACGAATAGGCATGATGGACGCACTCGCCAACCACATTACACACCAACACGAACATAGTAGTCTAGCTGCCACGCTCCCCATCGGTCTCGGTATCACATCATCGCCCTACTTTATCGACAAGGCATCAGCACTGACATCCCACTTCCCACCCAACTCGACATTTTACTGGATTCTAGGATACGATACTGTCATACGCTTCTTTAATCTAAAGTACTATCCAGATGCACGGGACTTGAGAACTGCGCTCGCACCCTTCTTTGTCAATTCACGATTGATTTGTGCGGATAGGGATCAGGCTACGGTTGAGTCGTATCTGGCGAGAGATGATATGAGGCCGTTTGGGGATTATGTGGCGGTGCTGCCCGGGTGGGCACAGTTGGACGATGTGTCTGGGATGAGTAGTACGGCTGCACGGGAAGCCCTGAAGAAGTATTATAGCATTCGGGAGTCTGGTGACGAGAGGCAGGATGAGATGCTTCATAAGGCCAAGGAGCTGCTACTGCATCTTGTGCCACCTCCTGTGTTGGATCAGATACTTGCACAGGGTCTATACGCATAATATACCACATAACCAAACTCATAGATCATTGTATAGTATTTATAGTCTATTAAAGAGCATAGGCAAGTATTACATGGTTGGGAGAAGAGCATCAGCTATTACAACCACGTTTAAAGAATTAGAAAATCAATACACTATCTTGACTTGAGCCGAGCGGCCCCATTCCCGCAAAATTTTGTGGTTGCTTAACAGGTCAACGTGGTCGGCAACAGCGGTAAACTCTTCGAAAGAGACCTTGCCGTCCATATCTTTATCGGCAAGCTTGATTAAAGCTTCGGCGTTCTTGGCGATGATTAGCTCGTGTTCTGCCTCTGTTACATTTTGGGATCTTGGGCCCATTTCCTGGTGGAAGGAATCGAGTTAGCACATGGACAGCAAAAAAGAAGCTGAAAACAGAACAAGATATGCCTCTAGCAGAATGTAAATGACTATTTTCTCACCTTCAACACGAGTTTCAAATCATTGACATCAATCTTCTCGTGCTTGTGTGCAAAAAATTGGAAGGCTGATTGCAGTTGTAGTTCACGGACAATCGACCGGACTTCCTTTGTTGCATACTTGTACTCGATAAAGGAGATCTTGTGGTCGTGGTCGACGTCAGCTACCTCGATGACTAGAAACGACATAAGGGTTAGTTCGTAGGCGAGAAAACGTATAAGGATCGTGTAATATTTAGCCTTGGCTCGAAAGAACAAGTAATAAAAAGCAGCATTTCCATCCATGACATGAAATCCTTACCTCGATCAGTATACAGCTGGATTAATCTAGAGTAATCAGCTCTAGACATGTTTTTTGGTGGTGGAATAACGGTTTGTAGAGCATTCGATAGTTCAGGTACATTCAAGAAATTATCGCCGTCAGAGTCAAAGGTTGCGAATGATTCTTTTAGGTCTTGGTTGTCGTATCTATCGAGCAATGACCGCCTGAAAATACCCAGGAAGACGAATGTTACTAGCGTTTTGGAAAAGATTGTTAGCATAATGCAGGCAAAAAAAAGTCGGAACCTCAACAACAATGTATACTCACAACAGAAGTGAGGTCCTATCCTCAGGAACTGGGTGATTAATCCCTTGTAGAAGGCTCCAGGACCTTCCTGGGCAAAGATCTTTTTCACTGCATCGAATCCGGAAGTGTAGATGGTTCCTTTGCCATCCACGTATGGCTGTTTAAAAGGATATTAACATTTCAGTCTTCTGAAATGAGTGGAATATACGAAATAGCTTACCTGGTTGTAGTACCGTGTTCTTGTTACGTCTATAGGACTCATGAACAAACTGGAGTAGACAAATAAAAATCAGTCGCAAACCCAGAGTCATTTTGCGTCCCAAACGACTCTCACCATGAGACGACACCGGAAGCTAGACCAGCAGCCATATCTGTCCAAGCACTGTCTGCCCACCCTCGTTCACGTTGCAGCCACTCCTTGATCATGGAGTAGCTGGCCAAATTGGAACCACTTCCCACCACACTTCTACCCATAGATAAAACACTCCCTAAAATTGAATTTGTAAGATATCATGCAAATGCACTTGATTCCACAATCAATAATTCATTGGTTTGATATTCTCGTTTTTATGCTTACCTCTGTAAAGTCCCTTCAGACCCTCAGACACATAAATGGATCTCAAGGCATCCCAAACACCTTTATAAGAGTGTTGTGTTCCAACAGCAACAGATTTACCACTTGATTTACTCTGCAGTCGAGTCTTGACCAGCTCGAACGGATTACAACTAAACGCTCCCATCACACCGCACATACTGCCCGCTAACATTCGTTTCCAGCCTGGTGCTGGTCCTGACTGTGGATCTATATGTGAAATGGTTTGAGTACTCGCACCGTAAGATTTGCTAAAAAAAACTTATCATACCATGCAGGACACTCATAATCGGTTCATACATTCCAATACGAAACAAGTTTTTAGACGATTCACGTAGCAATGCGGGCGTTAAACCCTTTTGGAGACCTTTTATGCCCTCATTCATAAAAATCTTGTAAATTGTCTGGAAGGAATTCGTGTATACGAGGTGGTTCTTTTTCACTAGTGCGATTGCTGCGGGGTCTTTGCCAGCGGTTGCGAGAGCAGCTTTGTAACCTTGCCCTTGCAGCTGCAGCCTCACTCTATGTAATGTAATGGGAGTTGTGTCTTAGCGCGTGGTTTCCATTGTAGTGTCACCCCTGTCAACAGCGAGTTCTCAAATTGCGCTTGTGACAGTCGTCCACTACACTTACTTTGCCGTATCGAATGGATTGGTGAAAATCACAGCACCTAGAAGCACGAGAAGAAGTTCAGACACCCAAAATTCTCAAGTCAAATTGTATAACATCTGCATCAACATTCAACCCCTCGCTCCACAAGTAGTAGAGCCAACCAAATCCTCAACAAATCAATTGTTTGACCTCTACATCAACACTAAAACCCTCTCTCCACAAGCATAAACGACCGGCTCATACACATTCCCGACTTTTGACGCAAACGAAACCTCCAAAAAAATTTTGACGCAAGCTTGGAGATAAATCCAACCAGCAAACAAGTCAAGAGAGGCGACATCCTCATAAAAACATATTCATAAAAACATACATGCTGGAGACAAGGCAGAGATCCCAAAACTTTCAACAGCCGAAAGTGTCCTTGGTTTACCGCTGTTTGGCAGGATGGTGATTTTGTTTGTGGAAGCTGCCATGATGGAGACTCCAACGTTAACCAACGTGAGGATACTTTAAGCTGCTGTCGTTTGTTGGTAACTCTCTTCTAACAGCTGGCTCTGAAAAACTTCGAAAATTTTAGGGGTTGAAAACGCAGGAGCGAGCGAGGAAGAAACCGGTTGAATTTCGTGGACTAGATCATTCAATCATGTTCGCTAAATTGAATTTTCAGAGTCTCAAAAGACAAACAAAGTGATTCAGAGATCAGAGTTAGTTTCATGGTCCCGCCTCGTAGTTCTGTACACGATCGTCATATTTTTCGCACTTTGGAATCACAGTAGAGTAACAGTATTTCTCATCCGTAGGCGAAAAGAATATATGACCTATTACCTGTATGCAAAAGAACATTCTACAGCTTGCGTGCTGCTAACATACTCCTAGGAGTACCTCTAAAAACCTAGTCGCGTCAACAATGTCGGTCTCAAGTGAAGTGCCAAAGAAGCATGCAGTCCAAGTCAAAGACGAGGTGATAATACATACAGCCACAAAGCTACGAGGAATATATTCTTCGTTTACGTTGTTTTTCAAGGCTAGATTTCAGAGTATTGACCATAAATTCCTCAACAAGCCTTCAAACTCCTTGTTTGGTTTCCAATACACTTGAGCGACGCATCAACAGATTCGTTTTTTCGATCACTTTGAAAGGCATCACAGCTCAATTCCAGAATACCACGAATTGGTGTTAACACAGCAGGCCGGGCCTACAAAGGAGTTTGTGAAAGATGGCAAGTCGAAAAAAATGCCACCAACAGCAACACCAATTGCATCGCCGCAGGCGATCCACGCGATCATATTGCCTACATCATCCTAAGCACTTCAATAATTCTCATTCGACGCGTCCACGCGACAACAACGTGATATAAATCAATCTTCTGACTCGCTCCATAGTTAGTCAACAGTTCACGTCCCCCCTTGGTGCAAACCTCCCAACAATCTCACGCTGTCAAGTTTAAACTCTCTTACAAAATGCAGCAAAAGTACTGACGCTGCTGCAAATCCACTCAAAAAAAAACTCAGCTGCCACAAATAGCGCTGATGGAAATAACCAACCCTTTATCCGGAATAGGACAACTTATTTTGATGGACTTTGGCCTCGTAGTAACAGTTGTCGCCATTTGTATGCGAAAAGAACATATTACTTGTATGTCAAAGACCATTTTTGCAGCGTACATGTTTTGCGTCATATTTCCTTTTATCTTTAAAAATCCAGTCGCGACGAAAGAGTCTCAAACACTATCAAGCGAGAAAAGAAAGTATTACTAACAAGTGAACAAGTGAGAGACGCACTTTTACTTACGTTGCTGCCCACGACTAGATCTCAGAGCATTGACTATAAATTTTCTCAAATCTTCAACCTCCTTGTTCGTTTCCGTCAAAAACTGGAGCGACTCATCAACAGATTCCATTTTACGATCACGATGAAGGAAATCACAGCTCAATTCCAGAATACGACGAATAGGTGTCAACACAGGTCGTGCCTTCAAAGGTTTTCGGGAAACATCGTAAGACGAAAAAAAAATCGAAGATTTTGCGTTGGCATCTTAAAGTTCTTACCCGAGGATGAAGCAGACATTGATGATGCACAGTTTGAACAAAGCGTGCATGAATTTGAATCATCTCATCAAGCTCAACGGCTTTAGACATGTCCTGATCAAAAATCTTGACATTCTCAGCTATCGCCTATTATGCGTCGATTGATGTTAGCACCAATTCCTTCAAGACACACAACACGATGTTGACCTACATTGGAAATAAAATGGCTCAACAAGCCTTGCACAAACTGCAACATTTTCAGCCTCAGACTCCTTGTATAACCATCCACCACTGAGGTCAATGGGGACTTTTGCTTGGTTTGAGAAACTGCATCCCGTTCTAGACCCAATTGCACAATTCTAGCCTGAACGAGTAAACGTGCTACTTCGTTATAGACGGAAATTATCGACTTTGATACTAGGAGCGATGTGGGCCATGGAGGCTAAAAAAACCATCAGTCAGTCAGATCAAGATTGTTGTGGTTCAACACCAAGTTACCATGTAGTCGATATGCAGATCATCCAAAGCAAGAAATGATAACGGCAGCATCGTCCACTTTTCAGGAAGAGATACTCTAATATTCTTCAGACCCACACGAGTGGTACTATATTCTGTCATAGCAGAAGTAAAGAAGAGATTGACACTATTCGAATCATGCAACACACGTTTTGACTCAATCTAGTAAATAATGAAAAAAGATCAAAAGACCTCATTGGTGAAAAATGGAATTTATTCTAACCCACCTGCTCATAAAGACTCAGACAAAAGGCACTCATAGCTTCACCCTCCAACATGAAGCAACACCTTGGAAGGATTCGAATTTGATTTTCAATGCCAAACTTGTTGCGTAAGGTCTGTGTCAATAGCCTTCCAACTTCTAACCGGCGTGAATGCATGAGTTTCTTGAATACACTAATCATAACGGTTTCAAATGACACTATAGGTAATGGGCTAGCATCTGTGTCACTACTTTTGGTTAATGGAGGATGAGTTGCTACGACATCCAGATGATATTTGACTGATATAGGGAAATCAGTGTTGTTGGTGTCTTTCACAGTTGGTGATTGTTTGAAAATCATTCCCATGTCCAGAGCCAAAGCTGAGACGAACTCTCCATATAACGGTACGGGCGCGACGGGATGCTGTGGACGATTCCCGTTAGAATTCTGGTTAATGGACTTTTTCTCTCGCCCTCCTCCTACCTTGATTGCCATTCGACACTCATTCAGCAATATTCGGCTCTTCCCAGTCACCATAGCATCCTCTGACACAATGCTCAAGAAGGATATAGGCACATCTCGTGCACAGAATGCATCAAACCAAAACTTGGTAGACTTGGTCTGAGCATCCGTCAACCTAGAGCAAAAGCAAACGTTTACAAACATGTAAGTATTATCAACATCCAAACGAAAGGTTACTTCTCAATCAGAGAGTCCTCAGGCGATGTAATTGTTCCTTCGTTCATCCATTCCTCAATGTTTTCCACGATAGGACGAAGCGTCTCGACAAGCAGTTGCAATATGGCTGGACCGTTCCTGCTGTTGACCAGCAGATACTCGTTAACCAAATCACACAACATAGAAATAACGATGAAAGGGCCTAGAAGGAGAAAAGCTTTGGCTAAACAAAAAACAAGCGTCACATGAGTACATGATACTTTGAGAGTCCAGCCTTTCGATCAAGCCATGAATATCATGTATAAGAGGAAACTCCTTGTCGAGCGTCTCCCAAAGCCGCAAAAGTGATGCAACATGTACTCCATCTAAAGCCGGAGGTAAGGTCAACTGTGAACAAAAAAAAACATTAATTCGATGTTATATAAACTTTGCATGTCACGAAGATAGCTCTGATAATGCCTCTGCAAGTCAACGATCCTGGAGTCGAATGGCCTCAAAAGGTTGGTTGCAGCATCAGCAAAAGTCTGTATAGTCCTGGAATGTCCATTGGTTGAGACATCCAATTGAACTTTCCGATTAAAGTCCTTGATTCGGGAGATCATGGATCCAACTTCGGCGAATCTGGATAGAATTTGATATACAGCACCTGGCGTTGCATGTGTCAGACTAACATCCAATTGGACCTATCTCGCAAGAGCGTGAGCTGAGAACCCTCGTCTGCATCAGAAGCATTCATACCGTGTATGAAGCGGATGTATGTCGTTTGAATACGAAGCTCTCTGTACCAGATAACATGAAGAGAATTTCACGAATCAGATCTATCTCTGAAACATAATTTAGACTCCCTCGTGGACAATGAAAATGGTTGAGACTAGTTTGTTCATGATGTGCTAGGGCAGGGCCTATGCGAAGAAAAAGGTGTTTAGTTGACGTCGAAATACAGCGGGTGAGCTATTCTTACTGAGAGTGGTAGGCTGCTTGAATACAAAGGGTTGTTCTAATTGCGACAGGTTTGAGTTGGCGAAAAAAGGACACCATTTGCTTCCCCATGATCTTACCACAAACACTATCTGGCTTTCGATTCCAGTACTGAATAGTCTTCAACTCTTTCAGAACCTCCACTCTGCAAAGGGTTGCAGCAGAGTTTTTGATCTAGCGAGCACGACTTGGTAAAAGACTTTTTCGATTGGCAACTGCGTGCACCTTCCACTCACCAATTCCATTGACTGAGCTCGTTCATACGACACATACGACACATGATCTTCAATCACAACACCCTCATCGTAGCCTTCATCATCATTCTCATACTGTGGCTGTCGACTCCAGTGATACCCTTCAAGAGGTTCACTTGCAATTACATCCTTCCATTTAAGAATCGAATGTGGGTCTTGTTTGATTATTGCATCTGGAGCATCCCATGCAGCATGAGTTGGAGATTCCGACATGGACAGAATGAAGCTCAATAGATCGTATACATCAAACGATTTCGTGAGTTTGCAGATTTGTTTGACTAGATCGTCTAGAGCTTCTGACTTTGCGTCCAGTCCGGCGAATGAGAATTTATTCACCATGCTAAATTGGAGAATAATAATAAGTAATAGTAATTATCATTTTTGCGTGGGTTAGGCTGGCCTTGTCGTTTCGTGTTTGATGTCTCACCCTTGCAGACGACGTTGAATATCCATATGGTCAGTAGAAGGATATTTATGAAAGCGCAATAGCTTTTCATAGTGTGCCACATGACTCTCATCGTTCTACATGGTGTTCAACTCAGTAAAATCTAACAAAGCTCCAGAACATCAAAAACGAAGAACTTACTTTGAATTTCCTGACAAGATCCTCAAGAAGGTGAGTTCGCTTGGAACCAGTCAGCGATGTAACGGACGAACGAACGCTAGCTTGAGATGGAGAACGATTCATCCTGGCACCAGATCAGCTTTTCTAGGTATAAGCAGAGAGCAGCTTTCTTGCAAGTGTTAGATGTACTGGAGCTGTATTTGAGCGTAATAGTGCTGAACGCGTCGCCATTTGAAGCAATGTGTCGAGATATAATGATATAATTTGGAATATGTGGATCGTTGCTATATATGAGAAACCAGCACAAGAGTTACCACAGCGGCGTTGCCTTTCACGGAAACAGTCACAACAAAGAGGAGAAAAAAAGTGTTTTATGGCAAAATTTATGAGTAGTATACCGATATGATATTGCCCAACTAGTCGCAACACTTGGAATTAAAGCTCGTGGTAAAACATTCAAACTTGGAGAAAACAACATGTTTTGGTTGTTTCAGTGCCTCTTGTTTGCTAAATGAATCAAGATGCTTCCGTATGAGGTGCTGGTCAGCTGCTACACTCAATCGGGGTGTGTCAAGGCAACATCTGGAGTTTGAACATTTCGAGCTACGAATTGGAATGTCTTCCGTGAATGGTGTAGGCTCATGCCAATTCAATATGAGAATTTATTGCTTTGAATTTGGCCCAAACTGTGGAGAGTTGAATGCGTCGTTTTAAAAGCACGTCCTCTCAAGACCTTATCTCGCCACTAGCACACGGAACTAGCACACGGAATAGACACCACAAGCACCCTTAATACGTGCTTTATAACTTCTAAATACTTTACAATGTCTGTTGTTGAAGTTGTCTAACAAATTATGATCCAGAACCGCCACTTCATCTGTAAGCCCCATTTGGATCTCCATTACACTCTGCAACAGTCACGAATCTATATCCTTTCTGCTTTCCTAATGTAACGACTTGTTGCAAATATGATCCGCCTGGCAGATTAGCCTCTGCTTGAACGTTGCCCGTCACTGGTTGAACTAAAACACGAGCAACAAGCATTAGAATCAGATATTTGGTGTTTCTTGGCACAACTTGCTACTTAATGTACATACCATCATGTTCCAACACAATCCAAGAACTAGACACTGCCGAAGCACGATCCAAAGCATTATGCACGTTTTGCATACTGTTGGCTATGTTTGCAGCCGTTGGTTGTGCATGGTTGTAATCCAAAGTATCAATACTCCATAAAACTGATGCTCGATACCCATAGTCAGCTAGCAATGTGAGTAGATGGGCATTGTAGTCGCCATATGGAAATCTAAAGTCTATAAAAAAGGAGTTGAAATGAGATCGACGGCTGTGGCCAAAAAAGCATGCCAAAACATTCGCATACAAGCTGGACGGATTCCTGCAATAGATTGCAATGCATTTTCAAGCTGCGTAATTTCAGACTGGAATTTGGCATCGGCCATGTTTAGGCAGTCAGTGTGATCCCATGTATGAGATCCAATCTGATGGCTGTAGTATTCGATGTGTGTGTTAGAGACTTAACAAACTGTTTTGAGCAATGGTCGTAGCAGAATACACTCGCTCCGTACCCTTCGTTCAACATACGGCGAACCACATCTCCATAATCCCAAATCGACGCGTAATTCTGGCCCTACGGTACCATCGCCCTTATAGTGAGAAAACATGATTTCAGCGATAAGACGAGACTTTCAACGTACATTGACGAAAAAGGTTCCTGGAACACCTAATATCCTGAGTTCGTCCAAAACTGAGAATTCAATGTTAGTTGAAGAGGCAGATGAAATACCACAAAACAAAGAAAATCTGACCGTTTCATACCTTGAGCAGTGTATTGATATGGTCCGTCATCGAAAGTTAATGCCATCAAACCAGGTTTCGTACAAGAAGTTATCGTAGGCACTGAAGCCAACTTTGTCGTATTGGTAGCTGCTGCATTAACAGCCGCTGGTGCGGCAGCAGCTCTCGACACATCTCCAAGTTTCCTTGCAGGTACGAAGAATGAGCTATATAACCAGTCTGGACCTAAGATTACAAAAACGATTAAGCACGACAGTTGGAAACATTGATTTTGCACTCTCGTGCTATATAAGCCTAGTACATAAATCAGATCTAAAAATGCACCTTCACGACCGGAAGACCAAGGAGATGGCATCTCTTCAGCGGATACCAATCCAAGCATAGCAATCGCAGCCGTCAATACGGAAGCTACCTTCATCTTGTTTCCTCTGTTGAATAAACTTCTGGATCTCTTAAGCGTGTGTCGTCCGCGGCTGTTTGCAAACTGATTGTTCGTTTGTCAGGCCAAGCGGCCAAGTCGTTCGTGTGTTTTCTTTTTCGTTTTTCCTTCTTGCGATGACTGATTGATTCAGCACAGATCGATGGCAAAGAGCAGTAATCTTGGCAGATATGTCTTTGAAACAGATCCCGTTGTGTTCCGGTGTACCGATCGCATAGAAATTTATCCCAGTTTTTTTCCCACAGTTTTGAGGTTTTCTGTGCTGTGCATGGGTTCAGACTATTGCACACCACACAAGGGTAAACAAATAACGCTGAGACAGTATTTACTCATTAAATAGATGCAGATTTTATGTTTAAAAGTACAGTTACAGCTTCGCCTGGCACATACGTTTCTCCTCATTATCTAGACAAATCTCAAAGAACATATTATGGTTGCAAACTCTCCTAGGGGCTTCCTCTTCACTTTGATAATAAATTTTATGAAGCGCTTCCCTGCGAATTAGCACCTGCAGCAGGAGTGCTTGGGACTTCAGTAGGAGCTGCACTTCCATCGTCAGGACTTGCGAATGGAATAGGTTGTCCGTTGAATGGATTATCTCCTGGTGGTGGAGAAGCCACAATTTGACTTGGGAATGCTGGAGATTGTGGTGCTGCTGCTGGAGATGGTGCGGGAATCTAATATTGAAAGACGTAAGTGACTTCAACGCGTGCTTTTTTTTAGCTTGCTGAATTTGGGACTTTTACAAACCGTTGTCATAGCCATAGATGGAATCTGTACGGCAGATGGTACTTGAGATGGCACGACCTAAAGTTTTGAAACCAGATTTGTTGACAACGTGCTGGCTTTGAATCGGGTGCAATCACAGAGAAACGTACTGGTGAGGCTGGAGCAATTGATGCAGCCGGAGATGCCACTGGAATATTTGCTGAAGATGGAAGTAGCTATTGAAGGGTTTTGTTTGTTCAGCTTTCAAGCCGTCCAGTTGCATTCTTTTGTGATCACATAGACTTACTGGTGAAGCAAGAATAATTGGCGATGCAACAACAACAATCGATGCCACTGGAGATGGAATCACTGGTGATGGATTTACTGGGGACGGAATCACTGGTGATGGAATTACTGGGGATGGAATCACTGGGGATGGAATCACTGGGGATGGAATCACTGGGGATGGAGCGTTCTATATATGTATGGTAGCATGAGCGTTTTTTGTTCAGATTTCTAGACGAGTGTTTGTCCTGGCTATCGATTTCAGACTTACTGGCGAAGTAATTACGGGAGAGGCCAGGACCTGTTGAAATGGCAAGACAATATGATTAAAAAGATGGGTTGGCATGGAATTACTGGGGATGGAATCACTGGAGATGGAAGCACTAGACTTACAGGTGATACAGCAATTGAAGCAACTGGTGATCCAAGGACGGGTGACGGTAGGACCTTTGGGTATTGGGGAATACTGAGAAATAAGTTTGACTTAAACCTCTTTTCCAAAACTTACCACAACGGTTGTAGTAGTTGTAGTTGTACCAGTTGTACTAGTTGTAGCTGTTGTAGCTGTTGTAGTAGTAGAAGTGACAACCACAACTGGTGAAGCACCGACCGCTGACGGCTGCGGCGACGGCATCGGCAGAACAACTACTGATGGACTAGGTACTGCAGCTGACTCAACCACTGCAACAGGAGATTGAACAGGAATTGCTGGAGAGGCAGCCGGTGGTTGAACTGCCGGGGATGGTTGAACCATAGCTGATGCTATTGGCTGCACTGCTGGAGCTGCAGAAGGTTGAATTGGCGGAGATGGTTGAACATTAGGAGATGCTAGTACCACAACAGGGCGTGCTGAAAATACTGCAGCAGTTGGAGATGGAACACCAGGAGCTTGGGTCGGTGCGATTTGAGCTTGTGGTGAGGGCTAAAGAAGATTTGAGAAAAAGTGTCAGTTGAAATGTGAAAAAAAGTTTGCTGTGAGGAGCGAGTACCATGATTGAAGGAGAAAGTGCAGGCGCCTAGAATTACACGGTTTTTAGCAACGTTTGTTTCAGTAAAGTTCACAACATACTGCAAAGGAGCTTACCGGAATATTTGAAGGAGTCGCGGCGTCCTTGTAAGCACCCTGAGCATCACCCAAACACTTTTGCATCGTAACGAACGTGTATCCATCGTATTGAACCATCTTGATCAACTGCTCCAAGAAAGATCCGTGAAGACGATGAGATGTGTCACCAGTCACAGGTAGTGCTATCATGATTTCATGAGATTCAATTCATGTGAAGATAGGCGATTACCTTCGCAGATTTTACCTTCTTGGCTGACTAGAATCCAGGATGAAGACAGAGGCGATGCTCTATTTAGTGCTTGATCCACATTAGCAATTGAAGCGTCAATGTTGTCGTTATTAAGAGCTGCGTGGTCATAGTCCTGGAACGAGTATGAATCAGTATTTGGCCAAGACATGCAATCTGGGTGGGCCACATACATGAGTGTCGATGTTCCACCCAACAGCATAGCGGTATCCAAATTCGTTCAACAAGTGAAGTTGTTTCACAGATATTTGCTGCGAAAGAAGATTCAATAAGAAAATCTATAGCACAAACGATGCTTCCGAAACTCACTCCACTGTTGGGTCGAAGGTCTAAATTTTGAGGGAGGTTGGCGAATTGTTCACTATGCCTCACACAAACCAAAAATCAATACGCACATGCCGGCCTGACACCAATAACCGAAAAGATTTGTTCCTCTAAATTGTAAACTTGGTTCTGGAAGGTGTTGTCATCCTCGTTTGATACAACACCGTTTGTTCCAAGGAAGAGAGCAATTTGATGCCTAACGCAATTCGAATTTCAGAAACCGAGTAGGTCTAGGCATAGTCCGTAAACTAAACGCACCCATCAGTCATCATTTGCTGGAGCAGGTACTCGTTATTCGTGGTACGATTCCCCTGCGACCAAATTTAACGTCAGTTCTAGTTCTGCTGCGAAAACACCACATTCCGAGACTCACATCCACAAAGAAAGTTGCCAAAACACCTTGAGATCTCAGATATTGAAGCAGCCCCGGTGTGTACTGGTTGACCTGTGAGCGATCGCCTATGTCGGAACACCGAAACCCCACAAACTTACCGAGCTTGGAGTTGCATCAAACGTAAGAGCGAATTGGCCAGCAGAAGTGCAGCCCATCACAAACGGTACACCTTGGCCATCTCCAAATGAGTTTGTCCCGACAGCAGCAAGTTTTCTGGGTGCTGTGAAGGATCCGGACACTGGAACGCCCAAAACGAGATCAGATCTTAACGGTAAGTTCCCGGCATCGTTCAGCAGGATCAATGAAGCTAGAAGAGACCCGGTGAGAAGCCTCTTGACCATTATCGCAGTAGTTCGGGAGGTTCGACGCTGAACGGTGCTGGAAAATTCTTGGAGGAAGAAGACAAAAGAGAAGACGCCGATATTTCAAAAGAATACTTTGCTCCGACATGTACGAAATGGTTGGGTTTGTATAAAGGTCTGTGGGTGGCATTATGAGCAATTTCAGTATGCGTCAAGTTTCGGCAACTGTTGTTTGTGGTCATAATTTTTTAAAATCACACGATTGAAACCACGACTTGAACTCACTGATTATGGTGTCAAAGGGGTGCAACAAAACGTTGATATTGTATTTTCTAGCATTTAGGCAAAAGTTTGGAGGCTGTCGAATTCTGTTTAGATCTATGTTTAGATCCTCATCATGTCACGAGGAATGACGTGATGATTGGCATCCCTCAAAAAATTCTTGGAAAATCACTCTTCATTTTCAAACAACAAAACAACAAAGGAATGGCCTCTCCATTAGCTGGTGATATGGTGACTTCTCCTTCTATTGACTCGGTCGCTACTCAATCTCTTGACAGTGTCGCCGACTTGCCAGACAAAATCGTACATCGCCCTCAGGGCGTAACGAAAAAGAAGTCATTCAATCTACTCGACTCCGATAATGAAGAATCCGTCGCAAATCCATCTCCCACTCTCAAACAATTTCGATCAAAGACTCAAGGTGGCAGATCTGATATGGGCAAGCTGCTCAGTGGTTTCAAGTATGTTGTGTGATTTATTGAGTTTGTTTGAATTGCCGACTTTAGTAGTATGACGTAACCAAACAATCACTATTTCTATTGCGTTTCTAACTCGTATATTTATTATCTAATAGGAAATTCCAAAAGGTGACCTAGTTAATTGGTTTTCCCGACGGGCTCCAAAACAATACCTAACACGTCAAAAATGCAACTGTTTAGAACTTCTTCCAAGACAACAATGACCTCTACCGCAAGCTTGCCGGAGGCCAAGTGAGTGTATCTTATCAGGGCATCCACTATACACTCTTATACCAACCACATTCGCACAAACTTAGAACCCCAAAACTCTCTTGGTTGGATGCTGTGACTCTCGAGTTGATCCAGCCATGATTACAGGCTCTGACCCAGGTGACTTGTTTATAATCCGTAATGTTGCCAATCTCGTCGCTCCATATGCTCCTGATGATGGACATCACGGTGTGTCCGCTGCTATCGAATATGCGGTCAAAGTATTGAAGGTGGAAAACATTGTGGTACTTGGTCATGTACAATGTGGTGGTATTCGTGCTCTGATGTCTATGAAGCCTGAAGAAGCTGATACTACGGAATTCATTCATCATTGGATGACAATTGCGTGGCGTGCTCGTGAAAAAATTGCCAAGTAAGTGACAACGACGGGGTGCTGTGAATAGATATTGAATGTCGAGACACCATCCACCACGTATCTAATCATTATTTGTGATTCAGAAACTTTGCAAACAAGGATTTGGATACGCAATGCACATATTGTGAGCATGCATCCATCCTTGTTAGTTTAGAGAATTTGGTAACGTATCCTTTTATAAAGGAACGTTTGAACTCTGGAGACCTTACAATCAGCGGGTAAGCTTTTTGAGTTTTTATCAGTATGCACAGTAACACTAGAGCTAACATAAAACAATCATCAAAGCTGGTACTTTGATTTCATCACAGGTCAATTAAACGCCTACAATCCAGAATCAAATGAGTTCGCTCCTCTGAACCCTGATGGTAAGTGTGATGCATCCATTGCATCTATATTTCTGTTGCTTACATTTATTTCCTTAGACTACTCCCCCACAACCGATGGAGAAAGTCGCAAGTCCCTGGATGCTGGTCGAAACAGTATCGACAGCGGCAAGGCACTCGACGGGCTCGCTCTGGCTGTTGCTGCCACCACTTTGGGCCCTTGATGCGACAAACTCTAAAGACCTCATCTATCTAAATAGCAAAAAATAGACGTTTTATATATTCTACGATCATGATCACAAGACGCGAAGGAAAAGTTATGGTCCACAGGTTGGTTTTTTAAGGTTCTTTGGCGTCGAAATTCCGCAGGCAAAAGTTTAGTTACCAACCCGAACAACATCACACAAATTTACAAGATCACCGTACTGGGATCAATTGCCTCTACCGCACAGAGAAACAGACCGGGAGCCGGATAGCCTCGTGGTAAGTTTTACGATTCATCGCGAACTTCAACTTGATATTGGAGCAAAACTACCACACAACTTCAGAACAAAGCAGCTAAATATCGACTTTTATAACCACAATATTCAGTTACGGAATCTATACACGCTCTTGTGAGCTGGAAAGTGCGACTCGAAGATGGCCATCATTTTCTCAGTCCGCTTGTCCAACGATGGCTCACCTGAAGGATTGAAACGCGTATGTCTACATAGAGAACTAAGACGATTATTATTGTAAAGAATCACCGAATCTTGCTGCTCTTCCAGATGATCCGACTGCCTCCACCTGTCGGTACAAAACCCTACATTTTGCGTTTTGTCGTTACTGCTGGATCTGTTGCTGCTCGAGATGGTGTGCTATGTACCAATTATCCATCTGACGGGTAATCTAGCTGATCGCTGCAATTCCACCCATCCTGTTGTCAGTGTGTGCTTACCTCGTGTCCTGTTGTTTAGAGCTTCGTTTTCAAGAAACAAGTTCTACTCTATTCCGTATGTGATACCTTTAGTTGGAACTCTTGTCTAGACTATTGGAAGCTCGCAGCTCATTTTTTTTGTTGCTGTCTAGATTCCAACATGACAACTTGACAGACGCTGTAGCTCAAATCACTGTACACAGCTCGGGCGTCTTCCAATACCATGTCAACTATACCAACTCTGATGGCCAACACGCAGTCTCTGAAACACCTGGATCCTTCATCGTCGAACCACGTCTATACGTCCCCTTCCCAGTCGAAAAGAGAAAAGTCGATCCATACGTTGTAAAACGTGTATTACTCCCTCTCGATGGAATCGTTATAGTAACCGTGATACCCAAATGGATGCCCACAGTCTCGCGATGGCCAGAGTACTATGCATCGTTTGCTGACGCCGGATACAATATGGTGCATTTCGCTCCTGTGAGTACACGTGGATCAAGTAATTCGCCATACTCTATATTTGATCAGTTGTCGCTTGCAAATGACATGTTTGAGGGTGGTGATATTATGGATGAGTCTGAAAAGGAGAATGTATTGTCTGAGATGTTTGATAGAGGGAGAGAAGAGTATGGGATATTGAGTGTTACTGATGTGGTCTGGAATCATACTGCTAGTAATAGTGTGTGGCTGCATCAGCACCCAGAAGCAGGTATCCAAATAGCCGTCAATGTTTTTTCCCCCGGCTGTTGGCATAAATTCAATGTGGTTATCACATCTCACACGTTGTCCCCATAGGATACAATCTTATCAACTCGCCCCACTTACGACCAGCATATGAAGTCGATGATGCCATAATGGCATTGTCTGAAGATCTCAAGATCGTCTATGACATTGACCCTGCACCAAAGACACCAGGTGATTTGACCAGAATCATGGAAACATTCAGAGATGTCGTCTTGCAAAGCCTCAAACTATGGGAATACTATATCGTTGATGTCAAAGCTGCCATGGCAGACTTTAAGGTTGAATGGCGCAAAACTACTGCTACAGTAGCCAACTTTAACGACCTCGATTTGGCAAAGCTTGATATTAAAGGTCGTGCAGAGATCATCAGGACTGAGTGTATTGAGTACGATCCTACTTGGAACCGCTTCCGTCGTAAAATCAAGATCCCATATGCTGTTGCGTTCTTGAAGAGGCTTGTTAATCAAGGTGCAGTCTTGAACTCTGAAGAAGCAGTGTTTAGTGCATGGAAGGCACTCTTGGATGAAACCAATTTGATTTGGTATGAGGAACACGATGATGATATTAAATCGATTCTGGAACAAACCCATAATCGTGCTAAATTCTTGCGTTTGGATCCCAACGGTCCTAAACTTGGTCCTATATCGAAATCGTAAGTTCATCCAAAGAACACAGTAGTTTGGTTTTGTTCCTTTGCAAAGCACTTGAAACCGAACTCTAAACACGTCATGTTGCGATAGAAATCCTATTGTAGACAGCTACTTTACTCGCCTTCCAGATAATGAAGAGACAAGACACTTCCATCCCGATGCTCTCAAATTGGCAAACAATGGTTGGATTTGGAATGCCGATCCACTGAAAAACTTTGCTGGACCGCAATCCAAGTCTTATATTCGTCGAGAAGTTATTGCATGGGGCGATTGTGTCAAGTTGAATTATGGCAAGGGACCTGTACGTGTCGCTCGACGATGTCTTCTTTGATTGTTGCCTTTTTTGCCCTCTTCAGCTCACAGTACACCCTCTCTCGTCTGCACGCAGAATGAAAATCCATACTTGTGGAAGCACATGACAATATATACGAAGAAAATGGCATCGCTATTTGCCGGATTCCGTATCGACAATTGTCACAGTACGCCAATCCACGTTGCTGAATATTTACTAGATATCGGTCGACAAGTGCGCCCTGATCTATACGTATTTGCTGAGCTCTTTACTGGGTCAGAAGACAAGGATCGTATCTTCGTCTCGCGACTGGGAATCAATAGTCTGATTCGAGAAGCGATGAATGCATGGGATGCCCAAGAGCTCTCTAGGCTTGTTCATCGTTATGGTGGAGAACCTGTTGGTATGTTCATCGTCAACCAGTTTCACCTTTACGTTTTGTGACATGCTTTTTTGGCCTAGGTTCACTTACATTCCCACCTGAACATTTTCCCTTACAAATGCTGGGCCACGAGATGGATTCGTCTGTATTCTCAGCCTCTGACGATGCTGAAGATCTCATTATCCACGTACGAGGATCTCCACCACATGCTCTCTTTATGGATTGCACACATGACAATGAAACACCACATCAAAAACGTACTGCTGAAGACTCACTGCCCAATGCTGCTGTTGTTGCCATGTCGGCTTGTGCTGTTGGATCTACGAAAGGATATGATGAGATTGTACCTGAATTATTGAATGTTGTGACTGAGACTCGCAAGTATCGAGTTCCGGAGAGTTTTGAAGGGATTATTCCAGGTATGTTGTGGGAATTAGAAACACGTCGTGTATCTCAAGGCATCAATTGAGAGCTTAATTTTTTTTAGCCAAGGCTATATTGAGTGCGTTGCATTACAAGATGGCCAAGGACGGGTTTACGGAAATCTATGTTCATCAGCAAGGCGATGTAAGTGTGTGAAAGACTGTGTCTAGGGATACGTTGATAAAGCGCAAAAAGCGAAGCCAGCCAGAACATATTCCATGACGGACCAACGATATACTAACTCTACACCACACATTTTAGTTCATTTCCATTCATCGAGTGCATCCTGTTACTCATGATGGGTATTTGATGATTGCACGCCATGCATTCAGCAAGAAACCCAATCCTGAAAGTATGCGTTTCTTGTTTTGCATGGATGCATTGTAATAATCGTGTGGTACTTGTTTTGCTCACCTCCTCTTTCTCCGCTCGGTAGTCCATGCACCCATAACTTTACGAAACCAAGCCATTATGCTGATGCAAGCAGCAACGTTGCGTATTCAGGTCAAATCAGTCAACGGACACAAGTTACCCCACACAGATGCCGAGAAGAAGCACCACGAGCGGACATTCTCAGAAGGTGCTATGGATGGCTTCATGTCTCCCACATCACCTATAGCATACTACCATCATATGGGTGATTTCCCAGCTGATGGACAGCAGGGTCCTATACAACCCAAAACACCACCTCGTGACAATTCTGCGGCTGCTTCTAAAGATCGTCCTACGTCTCGACTCAGACTCTTGACTCGACGACGCTCTACAGTACTAGGAGTGATTACAGGTCTACCATGCTCGTTAGACTGCTCCGTATCCGAAACCAATATGACCAAAGTCAGAACTGAAACTGGTCCAACGTCGAATGACATCCACTCGATTATTGAAATCGATGGACAGCATTTCGATCCTGGATCTATAGTCTTGTATCGAACGTGGGCTGTTGGATCCAATATTGATCCAGATGTTGACGATTTCGATGATGCAGATCTCGAGATTGTAAAAGAACAGGATCAGATGGGTGTTTTGGCGCAACTATGGGAGTTGCTGGGTTTCCAGAAACGTAGTACTGCTGTTGAGTATGCTGTGAAACTTGGTCGTGAAGGGCTTGGAACACTGGATTCGTGGTTTTCGTATGATGTGACGCATGGATGGCCACCTGGTCTATGGGAATCAGTCATGGATTTGGATATGGAGGCTTTGAATGTGGCGCTTTATCGTATTGCTGAAGAAGAGTCTGATATGACTGGTGTGATTCCGCAACAGTTGTGCGGATTTACTTCAAATTTTCAATACCTGCTTTCCTTTTGCACAGGTGATGGTGCCTATGAAATACCTGGATTTGGAAAACTTTCATATTGTGGCTTGCAAGGATTTGTCTCTGTATTGGCTGGCGCTGCTAGTAATAATGAATTGGGTCATCCTTTATTCAATAATCTACGAGCTGGACCCTGGATGATGGATTATATTCTCAACCGTCTCATCAAGTATGTGTGGTTCTGAAAGCGAAAAGATCAACCCGTTAGAACATCATAATAATCATTTTTTTGATTTTCTAGGTATGCTCCTCTCTACACGTCGCTCTCAAAGTTCGTGGATTGGTTGGACGAACGCCTATCACTTGTAAAACAGCTTGGACCATCCTTTGTGCCCAAATATTTCACCATTATCGTATGCTCTGCATACCAAGGACTCTGCCATCGAGTAGCTAGTATCCATGCTGAGCAAGCAATAACACCTCGTGGTCTTACTAGTCATGCGCACACCGCGTCCAGTACCGAGGGCTTTTTGAAAGCATTGGCTCTTACCACCGTCCAAATGTTTGGACGTGTCTCGTCGACAGGACTCTTCCCAAGAGTATACCCACTAGATCCACCAATTCGACTACGTAGTATCCATGACCCCAAAGTCGCTGAAGCGCTCACACGTGAAGCCAGCTTGGCCGCAGGTCTACCCCATTTCGCAACAAACCACATGCGAGCATGGGGACGAGATACATTTATAGCATTACGAGGACTACTCTTGTGTCCAGGCCATCACCCACAAGCACGTCGCCTACTGATTGCATTTGGATCTGTATTGCGACATGGTCTCGTACCCAACTTGTTGGATCAAGGTATCCGCCCACGATATAATGCGAGAGATGCTAGTTGGTGGTGGGTATGGGGTGTCCAAGAATATTGTCGTGCAAGCACGGAAGGGTTGAAATTCTTGGGTACTGAAGTTGCGAGACGATTCCCACCTACGCAACGATATAGGAAGGAGTCGTTTGGACTTGTTGGTGATAATATGCCTGGTGATGATGGTGATTCGTATGTAGAGGCGAATGATGAGCGATGTTATCAGCATCGTTCTACTGTTGCGCAGATCTTGCAAGAGATTCTGGAACGACATGCACGAGGGATTCAGTTTAGGGAATGGAATGCTGGTGTGAATCTTGATGAACATATGGCTGATGAGGTAAACGAACATGATTCAATCGAGTATCTAGAATTCTTTCGCCCCCAATCTCACAAATTTTCTTTCACCTCAGGGCTTCAACATCAGTATCAAGACTGACTTGCAAACTGGTTTCATTCACGGTGGCTCCAAATTCAATTGTGGAACATGGATGGACAAGAATGGATCGTCTTCCAAAGCTGGAACCAAGGGTGTTCCTGCTACACCTCGTGACGGAGCTGCTGTTGAAATCATTGGGTTGCTCAAGGCTGCTCTGCGATGGATTAGTACTGATGTTGTGCAGAAAGGATATCAGTTCTGGCCTTGGAAGGGTGTTATGGTTCCGTCAGGTTTGTGGCATACGTTTGGAGGAACGAAGTGTCCTTTTAGCTAAGTCCCCATTTTTAAAATAGAAGGTGGCAAACCAGACACGCTTCTCACGTATGCTGAATGGGACAAGCTCGTTCAGCAAAACTTTGATCGATGTTTCTTTATTCCGAAAGGTGAGTTTCGAATGATTCTATGAACCGAAAAACACGAAAGGTTAATCTGTCAATATTCAGATCCAGCTGAGGACAGCAATTACAACATACCCTCTCCAAGTCTCATCAATCGACGTGGTATATACAAAGATACTGTTGGTGGTTCTGCCGAGTATACAGATTATCAATTACGACCCAACTTTTGTGTTGCTATGGTTGTGGTAAGTACGATACTTCATAAGCCGACGAGTCTTTTCGCTAATGAAATACGAAACAATCATTTAGGCACCAGAACTGTTTGATTTGAGTCATGCACGAGTTGCTTTGAAGATGGTTCGAGATGTGCTTGCCGGACCTATTGGTATTCAGAAATCTTGTAATGACTTTTTTTGGTTCTCCATCGAGCATGATCGTTTTTCGAATTAGGTATCAAGACACTTGATCCTTCTGACTGGGCATATCGACCTGTATATGACAATACCAATGATTCGGCAGATCCAACTATTGCTCATGGTTTCAATTATCATAACGGACCTGTAAGGATATCTGTTGTGTTGCTAAATGGTCGAATGCAAAAAAGATATTAGTGAAAAGTCTCTATGAAAGGTATTAATCATTAAAATCTTCACAAATAGGAATGGGTATGGATTTACGGCTACTATCTACGAGCCTATCTGCACTTTGAGTTGAAGGCAGCTGGCAGTAATTCTGAACAGGTAAAAAAAGTAGCCACTGACCTGACACTCGATCGAGTCTACCCAACTGATTCTCTTTACTGTAACACGTAGTCCAATCGAGTGATTTCATACATTCAAGCCTGCATCCTCAAACACAAAGCGTTGATTGCAGACACGTCAATCAACCCATATGCAGGTCTTCCAGAGTTGACGGACGCTGAGGGTGCAGAATGTAAAGATTCGTGTCCCACTCAGGCATGGTCGTCAGCTACGTTGTTGGAATTGTGTACTGATTTGATTGCTGCAGTGACAAAAAAATAAGTGGAGAGATTTGTATGTAGAGGGATGGAGGTTACATATATGTGTAGTCAGCGTGAAAATTTGGTGCTGGGTTCGTCTTTGGTTGAGACGGTTGAGATATTTTTGTGCACACGCTAATGACAATATTTATACTCTGCAGCTTTTCTCGACCTTTTTGTGGTTTGCAAATCACTTGAAACCGAAATCTACACAACTCCATTTTTCATTAGGAGTCCTGTTGTAGAGAGCTACTTATACTTAGCAGTTATTGCATGGGCTGATTGTGCAAAATTTCAATTATGGCAAGGGACCTGTAAGTGTCGCTCAAAGATGCATTCTTTAATGGCAGCCTTTTGTTGCCCTATTTGGAGGAACATTTTGTCTTTTTTGCTGAGTGTCCTTGTCAAAATGGAGAGAGGTAAACCCGACACGCTTGTCACGTATGCTGAATGGGACAAGCTCATCCACCAGAGCTTTGGACGATGTTTCTTTAGTCCTACAGGTGAGTTTGGAATTATTTCATGAAGAAAAGATAATGGTCTAATGTTCTACTATTCAGATCCCGCTGAAGGCAGCAATGACAAGATTAGCTTCAACCCAACTTTTGTGTTGCCATGGTTGTGGTGAGAACGACACTTCATTTTCCAATCTACAGCTGACGCTTTGTTCTGCCAATGAAATACGAAACAATTATTTAGGCACCTGAACGGTTTGATTTGAGTCATGCACGAGTTACTTTGAAGATGGTTGAAGATGTAGTTGCTGGACCTCTTGGTATATCACAGATGTCGTGGTCTTTTTTGGTTCCACCTCTTATATGATTGTTTTCTCCATGCAGGTGTCAAGACGCTTGATCCTTCTGACTGGGCATATCAACCCGTTTACGACAATACCAACGATTCGGCAGATCCAACTACTGCACACGGCTTCAATTATCATAACGGACCTGTAAGTGCTTCTGTTGTGTTGCTACATCATCGAATGCAACAACAACTGAATATAGAACGTCCACACGCAAAACAATACTCATTGAAATTTTACAACATAGGAATGTATATGGTTGTATGGCTACTATCTACCCGCATATGTACACTTGGAGTGGAAGGCAGCTGGTAGTAATTCTGACAGGTAAAAAGAGACAGCTACTGACTTTCAATACTCGATCGAGTATATCCAAAGTGATTCCTCTTCTACAACACGTAGTCCAATCGAGTGATTCTATACATTCAAGTATGCGTCCTCAAGCACAAAGTGTTGATTGCAGACATATCAACCCATATGCTGATCTACCAGAGCTGACGAATGCTGAGGGAGCAGCATGTAAAGACTCGTGTCCCACTCAAGTACGGTCGTCAGCTATATTGTTGGAATTTATGTAGTGATTTGATTGCTGCTGTGACAAAGAAATAAGTGAATGAAAGACGCATTTGTATGTAAAGTGCCATATCTTAGTAGTCACAAGTGAGACGATCATCGGTTGGTTGAGATTCTTTTATTCACACGACACTTACAATATTTACAATCTACATCTTGTTGAGCACTCATTAAGCAGCTCGTTGCGCACGCTCAGCAGCCGACACCATTTCCTCCATCTCAGCAAGAAGCTGGTGATAGTGTATAAATAACCTCGAAGTAGAGTCAATCTATAGGAGATGGGTATGGGTAATGTTGAATGGCTTCAAATGCATCGCGACGTACAAAAGAATTGTAAGAATCCAGTTCACGAAGATATCGCTCCCGGACACCCCACACGACTTTGCGTTGTTCAATGTGCTTGGATTCCAAAGGACTCATGGTTGGTATCAAGCGACTTAGGTCTAGTGAATTAAATGGATTAATATATATAGCCCTCGTATCACTTGTGCATTGGATGTACCCTTCAACACAGTCGAGTCGACCTCCTCCTTAAGAGCCTCCAAGTCCACCATTTGCTCGGCAAGACGATCCAGTCCATCCTCAGAAGCCAGAACTATTTCCTTGATTGATGCAACGTCCAGTGCGGTGCGTTCTAGCTCGTTTGTGTCTTGGCCTAATGTATCTTGTAGATCAACATCTAGGAGGTGAATGAAGGGTAAGAGGGTATGTTTATAAAACTATCAAATTTGTTTTTGGCCACTGTACATTTCCGTAGAAAGTCGTCGATGGTTGAATTTTGGTTTCGGATTTCGTTGAATCGTGACAGGGCAGTTTGGAGTAGTTCTGCTAGTGAAGTGGATGTGGATGGTGGGTGGGTTGGAGATGATATTAGTTCTAGATGTAGGAGCCGCTTTTCGAGCTCGACTGCAGAGTCCTCGGCCAACATTTTTGTGACAATTAAAGTTTGAGCAAGACAATGCAGTTGAACGCAGCATTCAAACTACGTCCACCAAGATCTGAACGTGAAAGACTGTTAGATCTTCAACGCTTTGAATTCTCTTGGCTGTCTTTCACGTCTGCAGACTCTTTCGACTCCTTGCTCCCCTTCCGACCGGTCGAGCGATTTCGTAAGCCTTGCCAAGACCACTATTTTTCACAAAGCACGTTTCAACAACACTTCCCACTACCAATCGTCCGCATCCACTAGTCTCGAGATCGCCTTTATACTCACAATGCACCGAAATATGGCGGCTGCTCTACTCCTGGTTGCGTCTCTGCTCTCCTCTGGTAAGCAAGTCGAAACTCAGAATTGTGCGGTGCCCCAGGACTTGAGAGGGTTGAAAAAGTTATTTTGAACGTGTGATATCGAGCTTGCTGCAGTGCCAACGCACTAAATCATTGATATTTCATTGTAATGTTGGCTGTATGTTGTGTGGAGCTTATATTTCATCGCCGCAGTCAGGACATTTTTGCTGCACCTGGTTTTTAGCGGTTGAAGTTGAAGCATCTGCAGATCTAACGTGCTGCAGACTTCCGATATGTTTTGTTTCGTTGTGATTACTGACTGTGTTGCTTGTCATTGCTGTTTGTATCTGGAACTAAGCGTTACCTACTCCATTTATCTAGTCGTTGCTCAGTCCGTCTCTCTTGGCTCTTACGGTATCACGGTCTATGCCACCGATCTTGGCACGAATGTGCGCTTTGAGATTACCGGTACGCAGTCTTGTTACGAACTAGACTTGGATGACGTGCCTCACTAACCTCTCATCTTAGGTCCATCAACTATGGGCTGGTTCTCCATTGGGCTTGGCAACAGCATGAGCAGCGCTGACTGTCTATTCGTTTATCCTTCCTCTGGCTCTATCGGTGTATCTCGTCGCTACAGTTCTGGCCAAAACAGTCCAAATCCATACTCTACCCAAAACGTAGCTCTTTTGAGCAACATGTCGTCCATATCTGGTTCGACCATGACTGCGGTCTTTTATCGACCGAAAGCTGCCGTACTGACAAACGAGAAATCTATAACTGGCTCGCAGACTTGGATTTGGGCATACTCGGGGTCCTCTGTTGGAAGTACCAGCAAGTGAGTGTATTTGTTTGTTTGATGGCACATATCATGTTTCTGACATATTCCCTCTTGCTTGTAGTACTGCTGGACTCTCACAGCACGGCCGCTCGGACTGTGGCAACTTCCAAACCAACTTTTTGTTGTCAAGTGCAAATCCATCAACTACTTCAACGAGCGGTACAAACAGCACTTCTGGATCTGGAACCACAGTCAGTGTTGGAGGAGGCTCGTCTTCAGAAGACAACTATCAGCGCTTGATAATCATACATGGTCTTCTCATGTTTTTGGCTTGGGCTGTGTTGTCGCCTTTTGCTATTATTGCGTCTCGATACTTTAAGGCTGTTTTGGTAAGACAGTAAAAAACCGTACGTGACACTCTTTGGATAAGCTCCAGTACTCATACTCTCTAAATCGTCTTTTAGGGTATCTGGTGGTTTAGAATCCACTACGGTACATTGTCACTAGTCATTGTCTTTACCTTCATTGCTTTTGGACTGGCGTATATTGGAATTGGCAGTGGAGACCATTTCGACTATGCATCTCAAGGTAGTCAATACTTTAATGTTCCTTTCTGCTTTTTTTGCCAATTCCAATTTTGAATTCGTTTCCTCATCGGTTTCCTGTCTCTTGCTCATTAGGAGTCCACACCGTACTTGGTTTGGCCATTGTAATTGCCGCTCCATTTCAAGGATTCTTGGGCATGGCAATCAATGCCTTGTTCAACCCTGAACGAAAAGGCATACCTGCACATGATATGGCGCATTGGTGGATTGGTCGTCTTATTATCATTGCTGCCATGATTGATATCATCTTTGGGCTACTCTTGTATCAAAACCGTGGATATAATGTTCCTGTCTGGATATGGTGAGTAATTCCTCCTATGCCTTTTGTTTGCTTTAAGTCAACAAAAAATCTGATACTCAAAACCCGAAACAGGATTGCCGTCGTCGTAGTCCTAATTGCCGCCTTCGCAACCTACTTCTTCCTGCAATTCACAGTCGGCGTACAACACCACGTCGCTGGCACCATAGGCCACGACGCAGCCATCCACAGTCCACCCGCACCACAAACAACATACACCCGTCCACACTTCCAAGGTGATGCAGAACCAGGATTTTTGCGTCAGCAACAGCAGTATGCCCAATACCCACAGTATAATACATCACCACCACTATCCATGAATCAACACTATAACGGAGGAAGCTATTTTGTTCAACCACATCAACCATACCCGCAGGGAAGCATGTCACCACGAGCTGATGCGAGAATACCATCTGCTCCGGCTGCTACTGCTTCGATGGCGAGGAGTCAGGGACAGAGAATGAGTCGACAGCAGCAGTATTATGATAATTGAACAAATGGAGGATGTGGATTAGTAGAGTAAAAGTGTCGATATGAAGGACTGATGCTGACCTTGTGTAATTATTGTGGATATGAGTAGGGAAATGTAGTAAGATCAAACATGGTTATAATCTGACATTGCGTCGTGTTTCACATTTAGTTTTTTGTCGCGAATCACAAATTCATCGAATCGCTTAGATCTCAGTTACGTAACTGGAAGTCCTATTTCTAAAGCTTCGAACGCTCGTATTTGCGATATGAAGTATAACATTTCCTCCAAGCTGGAATACCATCTCTATAGCGCTGATTTTTTTGTTTGTTCCAGCGTCACAACCTACAAAAGGAGAACGATCATGAACGTCAACTGGTATACACGTATACACCATCGATATGATCGCATTTCTTGTAACAATTCCTTCCCGACTCGTGAACTTTTTGTCTGAAAAAGCAAAGCCGCCTGCCAAGAGTCTACGCAAAGTCAGCTTTCTTGTTTTCAGCTCTATGAGTCGATGACTTTAACAGCAAATCACATATCTGCGCTCAACATGCATGCAAAAATGTTGTATATGCTGTCTCTGTTGCTTTTGGGATTGCTTAGTACTGGTATGTGAGCACCGTGGGTGTTGGAAGGGGCCGTGAAAGACAAGCAGAGTTTTTGTATGTGTGATCCAAGGGACCCAAAAGTTCCAAACTTGTTTGGACCTTTGTGTTTTCATTGCAATGGGTTATTGGCGTTGCTACGACGAAGCTTTAGAACATGCAATTTGGGTACTCTTTTTTCGCACCTTCTTGGAGTTTCGCCAAGACCAAACATTTTTGCAGAGGGCAGTCTTGGAGTACCAAGAAACCTCTACAGAACGCTCGTATATGCCAATATCTCGTGCATCGCCACACTGTGCTGACAATCGCATGCCTTACAAATAGTGCTGGGACAATCAGTCACGTTCAGCAGCTATGGTATCAAGATCTATGCGACCGATCTTGGAACTAATGTTAGATTTGAAGTCGTCGGTAAGTTGGTTATCGCATTGTATTGCCATGTGGTCCAGATGTCCGATATTTGTTCGTGTCGACAGCCTGGCAAAAAACGCTGTATTGGTCTGAATGCAAGTGTTGAACTGCCACATTCTCGCATAGGAACGACATCGATGGGCTGGTTCTCCTTTGGCATAGGAAACAGCATGAGCAATGCAGACTGTCTAATAATATACCCAAGCTCTGGCTCCATCGGTGTATCTCGTCGCTATAGCTCTGGCCAAAACAGTCCAAATCCATACGTTACTCAAAATGTAGCTCTCTTGAGCAACATGTCGTCCATTTCTGGATCAACCGTGACGGCCGTGTTTTATCGGCCGAAAGCAGCGGCGTTGACAAACGAGCAGTCTATTACGGGGTCTCAGACATGGATTTGGGCGTATTCGGCTTCGGCTGTTGGAAGTACCAGCAAGTATGGTTTCTGTTTCTTGCCTTTGTAAGAGCTGGTGTGTTCGGGTTTTTCTGACAATATTGGGATTTTTTACGGCTAGTACTGCAAGTATCTCGCAGCACGGTCGTTCAGACTGCGGGACCTTTACCACCAATTTCTTGTTGGCGAGTGCGAATCCACCGGTCACGAGTACAACGACTAGCAGCAATGGCACCACGACTGCCACAAACAGCACGTCATCAAGCACTGGATCTACAACCTCCTCAGGATCTGGTTCGTCAGGCACTACAGTCAGCGTAGGAGGAAGCAGCTCGTCGTCCGACGATATGTACCAGCAGTTAATTGTGTTCCATGGTATCCTGATGTTTTTGGCATGGGCTGTGCTGTCTCCGTTTGCGATTATTGTGTCGAGATACTTTAAGGCTGTTTTGGTATGTGCGAAAAAAACCGGAAGCTACCAACATGGATGGAGTTTAGAAAGTGAAACTCACGTATTGTACGTTAGGGTGTCTGGTGGTTTAGGATACATTATATCACTCTGTCCGTTGTCATCATCTTCACATTCTTTTCCTTTGCACTGGCGTATATTGGAATTGGTAGCACTACATCACATTTCAACTATGCCTCACAAGGTACGTGTTGGGCCCACCATGTTGAAACCACGGATATTCTGCACTTGTCGGGATACTTTTTTGCGTCTAACTCTTGTAACTTCTTTTTTCAGGAATCCACACAGTACTTGGACTGGCTCTTGTAATCGCTGCCCCTCTACAAGGAATATTAGGAATGGTCATCAATGCGTTATTCAACCCAGAGCGAAAAGGAATCCCAAAACATGACATGGCACATTGGTGGATTGGTCGTGCTATCATCATTGCTGCAATGATCGATATCATCTTTGGGTTGCGCTTGTATCAAAACAGAGGATATGACGTGCCGTTGTGGATGTGGTGAGGAGATGCTGTTGATTCGAGTTGGCTCTTTGAAGTTACTTCACGTATCTTGAGTTGGCTGCTATGCATGTGCTTCACATTGGACAGACCTCTAACAGCATTTTTTCGTAGGGTGATCGTCGGCCTAGTCTTGATTGGCGCTTTTGGAACATACCTTATCTTACAACTCACAATCGGTGTGGAGCATCACGTTGGCGGTGAAATTGGACATGAAGCAGTACGACCTGAGTCCCCCAAAGACGACACAGTGCGAAGGCCACGACTGGCTGATGCGGAACAACCAGGATATACCAGACAACAAATCCACGTACAGCATAGTCAAGGGCTCTATGGCCAGCAGGAGCCACAAGGATATAAATCGTATTCTGGTCAGCCGGGGACATTGAGTTCACCACAAAAGTCGATACCAAGACCTCAACAGCAACAGCAATCAATATCTAGGTCTCAAGGACAATCATTGTCGAGATATGATGCTCGGTATTATGCACAGGACTAGAGCAAGAGCTGGAGGTTAGAAAGTAGAATTATGTAGATTGTCACCGTCCTTCGTCCAAGTATAGTTGAGCACAAAGAAAATAAATTCATGTGTGTATCATCCTCGATCTGTTGCAAATGACGCACTGTTGATTCTTTACAGGTCCCATTGTGAGTATTAGGGAAAGTGGAGTTGTATCTAACCGGAAAACGATATTCGGTTCATAGTGTCGGGTACAAGAACTCTTCAAAACGGTGGCTATCTGTTGGAATGGTCTTACATCGAATGTGGCTTCGAGTTTGGTGAATTGTGGTGGCAGGAGGGCTTGATAAATTATAGGAAATTGATCTGAAGCTGAGATCCATAGTCAAATCACGATAATCTAGTAATAGACGCGTAAACATTCTAGTGCGATAAGTAAACAAACCCAACGTGAATTCTGAATTCCGACAACATCCAACAATACCCACAGAAGGTCCCGAACGAGAATGAGTGAAGCCGCACTGTCATCCATCATCAAACGTCTCGAGTCCGCCACGGTCAAACTGGAAGAGATGGCGAGCAAGGGATTTACAAGTGCATCGAATGTGGCAACATCTGCAACAACAGGAACTGGAGCATCTGCCAGTGGACCGACCTCTGCTGCCGTGTCTGCGTTCGATGAGTTCATGCTCACTACAAAGACATACGTCGACCTGAGTGCTAAAATCGGCGGGCTTGTCAAGGAACAGGTATACATTGCAAGTGGCGTTGGAGTTGATGCACGTGTGTCTGAAAGAGAGACTGAATTATTAAAAAGAGGGATCTTGAAATTTGTGCTTTAAATTAATTCCTCACTTTGCTCTCACTCGTTCTCGTTAGGCCGATATTGTCATGACGGCCTTTGCTGCTGAACGTCGCCTCATTGAAATCGCTGCTGCATCCAAAAAACCAGATCAAACTACTCTGCAAGGACTTGTAAAGCCACTGATTGATGCTGGTGGCAAGGTCACGGAAATCAAGGACAAGAATCGCGCTTCTCCTTTGATTGCCCTCTTGAGTGAAGTCTCGGAAGGAATCAGTGGGCTTGGATGGGTTGCTGTGGTATGAACGAATGGAACTTGGCTTTTATGTGGAGTCGGGTCATTGAAGGAATCGTTGTTATACTAGGAACCTGCTCCTGCTCCGTTTGTTGGCGAGTACAAGGAGACGGCTCAATTCTGGGCAAACAAGGTTATCAAGGAATGGAGGGACAAGTAAGAAAAGATGAAGGATTCACTAATGAAATGACCTGTTTTGACACGTACTTGTATGATAGAGACAAGTCATACGTTGATTGGGCAAACAGCTTTGTGCAAATCTTGAATGAATTGCAAACCTATGTCAAGAAGTGTCATACCACTGGATTGGTTTGGAATCCCAAGGTAATAGAGTATTGAATCCTATTCTGAAGGTGTGTTGATGACTCATACCTATGATTGTAATTAGGGTGGAGATGCCAAGTCAGCACCTGGTAATTCTCTGAAAAAGTTTTATCTTTTCGTTGGTTCTCATCTGTATAAAAACAGGTTCATCAGCTCCAGTCGTAGCTGCTGCAGCTACAACAGCAGCTGTCGCCGCCGTGACTGGCCCCGCCTTGTTTAGTGAATTGAACAAGGAAGGAAGTGTTACTGCTGGTAAGTTTTTATAGAGTTGATTAAGACGAAGGAGTCGTGAACTCATCGATTGTTCATTCGTAGGTTTGAGGAAGGTTGACAAGTCTGAAATGACGCACAAGAACCCTGATCTTCGAGCTACCAGTGTTGTTCCCGCCGCTGCTGGTATTTGAGATTTTTATAGTGGTGGTTTTCCTCTAGCATGCATTTTGATAGTCCCTTTTTTGTAGTTGTGCCAAAAGCTGCTCCTGTTGCTGCTGCTCCAACCAAACCCGCCAAATTTGCCCTTGAAGGTGCCAAATGGGCTGTGGTATGTTCTCAGATGAAATACAATTTTGTTTGAACCAAAGCATCGCAATGACGTTGTTTTTCACCTTTAAGGAAAACCAAGTGAACAACCCCAACCTCGTCATTGACAACGCAGACATCAAACAATCTGTATATATCTACAATTGTCAAAACTCTACCGTACAAATCAAGGGCAAGATCAAGGCTGTTGTCCTTGGTATGCCCCAAATACGTTGCAAAATTTGCCATTCTGTATAACAGTCTTATCCTTGTCTTTGCTTTTAGACAATTGCAAAAAAGTGGGTGTAGTCATGGACACCATCCTATCAACAGCCGACATTGTGAACTGCAAATCAGTCCAAGTGCAAATCACTGGCACCTGTCCCACCTTGAACATCGACAAGACGGATGGAATTCAAGTCTTTTTGAGCAAAACTGCTCTTGGGGTTGAGATCTTGACTGCCAAGTCATCTGAAATGAATGTATCGTTTGAAGGAGGTGCTGATGGTGACTTTGTTGAAAAGCCGATTGTTGAGCAATTCAAGACTGTCATTAAGAATGGGGTTTTGATTACTCAGAGTGTTGAGCACAGTGGTTGAGAGTATGGAGGAGAGTTGGTATTTCAGAAAGTAATTGTTGTTTTCGGTAAACGTAAATAGAAGGAACAGATCAGTTGAATTTTGGGATGTAATGACGCGTACAAATTACGAGGTTTGAGGGGCTTGTATTCGTGCGATATTTTTGAGCCAAGTCTATATTTTCGCAATTTTCGAATCTTCAAAACGTTCAAAAGAAAAGCAATCTGATGAACGCGTCTGATTTGCCCATAATTGTGTTTATATGCCCCACGTAGGTCTTCCTGCGTCGCCCAAACTGAAACCGACAAATCAGAAATCCAAACCTCAAAAAACAGCGATGACAGACGCAAGAGCGTGTAAAACAACGACGAGAACGACTGAATCAAACACCAGCAGATGCACCGTCTCTCTCTGTCTGAACCATTGAAGGTAATCCTCCAGCACGAATTTGTACAATTACAAACGTTTTTCACACATTCTGTTTATTTGGTGAACTTTAAACTGATTTTACGTTTGTATAGAATTGCAAAGTGATCCTGCTATATTTCCATTTTCTTTGGTGGTAATGTTTGCTAACATTGCCAACGCTTTGATAACATAATGTCGAAGTGAATACTTTTACGAAACGGACTCTACGTGTAATGACACACACGTGGTTTCCGCTATATGATGACGGTGCCACATGTGTTGAGACTGTTTAGACGTTCTGTTCTTTTGGAAACTGGGCTGTTTCGAATTGTTAATTCGTGGAATACTGACCTCCCGCAACGTGTTCGGAGTTTGAATTTGCTGTCAGGGTGGTCAATACATCTCCATTACTGTAGCTGGCGTGAATCACACAGATAAAAACACTTGACCGAAATCGAAATCTCGTTGGAAACACGCACCTTAACTCTTTTTCCATTTGCCACCCTTGACTGCCAGTTGTGCATTCTGAATCTGCGACAAATCCACATCTTATATACGTGACATGATTTGAACTATATGTTAATTTAACTGAAATTTAAACTTGAATGGACTTTGGCCTTGATAAAAATTACAATCGAGTTTTCACCCTCATAAGTTTGCGTCGCGTATCGAGCTTTCGCATCCAACACAGCAACAACAACAAGACAGAGTAGAGCTCCACTGTATTTGTCGTATATATTACCGTGAACACCACTAACGTAAGTGATTCACCTGATACTTTACTCGTAAATGAGCTCCAACTGTGTTTGTCAAACATCACCTGCCTACAGACTCCACGGCTTAAGTTTCATCTAGTTTCCTCGAAGTAGACCCTAACCATCTCTCTCACTCTACATAGGCACATTAAGAGCGTAAATTCTACTTTTGCCAGGTCTAGCTCGCTTGCAAGGAAAACACATTACAATGTCAGTACATCAAAGGTCACATCCACTAAGACTGCGACAATTGGCCTTGGTTTCAAATGATCTCGACAAGTCAGTGAAAATGCTCACAACAGCGCTTGGACTAGAGGTAATAATCACGCAGTGATCGGTGGTCTTCAAAAGTCACTTGTAACGCTCGTCGTGGATCTTACATCTCTTTAACCAAACAGGTCGCCTACCGAGACCCATCAGTAGGAATATTCGGTCTCCACAACGCTCTATTCTGTCTAAATGGCAATTTCCTGGAAGTCGTCGCACCAATCCAAAAAGACACTGCTGCTGAACGCTACTGGAAAAAGAAGGGCGGTGATGCGGGGTATATGGTCATTCTGCACGCTGCGGATGCGAGAGCTGAGAGAGACAGAATTGGAAAGCTGGATGTAAAGACTATCTGGGCGTCTGATATGGCGAGGTAATAATGAAAACGATAATTGCAGGGATTGCCGGTGCACTTCTTATGGTATTTTTTTGTTCTTCTTTAGGACGGACGGCAAGCAAAGCACCAGCTCGACATCAAGCGCATACTTTGGTGCTCATTACGAACCTAAAAAAGTTGGTGGTGGTGTGCTTTTGTCGATTGAATCTGACGCGTAAGTCTTTACCACACACAAAAAAATGCATTGCAAAATTGTCATCTCACGGTCCCGACATTGTTTATAGACCACTACATGCTGATCCAACCGTCGATGAATACTGTGCATGGGCACCGGCAGGAGATGATTCGGAAGCATGGAGGAAGGTCGCTCGGAGAGCGAAGAATATTCAATTGGTGGGTGCTACCTTACAGTGCGAGGATCCGCACGAGACGTGTAAGCGGTGGGGCCAGATTCTTAACTTGGAGGTATGTGTTGACCCTCACACCACATCACAACCATGTCACTAACAACAGCACAAACAGGTTGGACGAAACGCAGCCGGCGAACCAGCAATCTCATTCTCAAATGCTGAACTCCGCTTCGTACACGCTCTGGATGGGCGTGGTGAAGGACTCAGTGTGATGGATTTAGCAGTTGAGGATCCAAATGCTGCGAGAGATAGAGCACTTAAAGCTGGCGCGACACCATCGTTGAATGGGGCAGTGTCTGTTGCGGGATTGTGGGTGAGGTTTGTGTCGTTGGAGGAGAATCCTACGGGGATACGACCTGCGTCTAGGCTCTGAATGGTTGTTGGATGTTATCAATTTTGGTGTATTGAAAATAAATGATTGAAACACGGCTATGCGACATCAGCTGCGAGTTTCGTAAAGCTCGCGTTAATGAAAAGTTCGATGTTGGCTGGTGAAGGTTGTACTTTTGCAAAAGCAAATGACACATGGCTGCTTTTGGGTCAATCTGAGGAGACTCGATTCTCAGGCTGCATGTATAGTCTCGATTGCAAGAAGAATCCATACCTCTTCTCCTGCTTCCACCGCTGGCAAGTTTAAATATTACGATCTAAGTTTGAATGTCAGTTTGAACAAACTTTTGCTGTATCCTACACCTTCATTGACCTAATCAGTCTTTACCATTCTATATTAGAACGATCGAAATACATGGAAATCTATTTTAAAGCTCTCTGCACCGTCTGCTTCTGCCACGTCATCAACATCAACCAATGTTGTTGAAGCGAGTCCGGTTATTCCAGTAGCTCTTTTGAGGGGCGATATTGATTTGGATTTGATTAAGATGGGATCTGAACAGAACATGGACCTGATACCTCCTGCTCCTCCTGAGAATTGCTGCCAGGCAAGTCATTCCATCACAGTTTATGTTTTGTTGTCAACTCTCGGTCGTCACCACTTTTCTTGTTGAGGTGATCTAATCATCTGTTTATCACTTCTCCCAACGTAGTCTGGCTGCGCTCTCTGTGTATGGGACGTATACGCTGACGAGCTCAAAGAGTACCAGGAGAAGCTTCGTAAGAGGAGACAGGAACGCATACAAGCTGGCCATGATCCACTTTTAGAGGAGCCTGAGATCGTTATAGAGGAAGATCCAAGCATGAAGGCGTTTCGTGAAATGGAGAAACGGTTAAAGGAGAAACAGCAGATTGAGAGAACGGATTCTTGAACACTAAACGTATATTGCTGCTATATAATCTGAGACACTTTTTGTACAAACTCTAAGATCTTTTGCATACTCTTATATATATCCACCACCTCATCCATCCATCCGATACATCTCAAACCTTCTTCTTCCCACCACCATGATGGCTGTGATTCTTGTTGTTGCTGGTGTCGTCTTTATGTTCAGCATAATTCCAAACCTCGTCATCGACGCTTCCCTTGCCAGACTCATCACCAATAACACCAAAGTAGTGACCAAAGTCGGGAATCAAGTTGAAGACACCGATATTGTTGAGGAGACGGTATGAGCCAGTCCATACGACGGTGACGTAGGGACGAGTATAGTCGTATAGCGTGCCGACGAGTGGAGATGATGAGATCAAGGATGTGAATTGTGGGATGTCGCTGGAGAAGGAGAGGGGGGTTAGTACAGATCGTTGGATGTAAGGTGAAGAACAAGGGTATGGTACCGATGATAGTAGATTTTGTGTTCTCCTTGAGCAGTCTTCCTCCATTTGACGACAGTAATCAACCTGATGTGGTTGCGAACGACCCCGCATAGTAGCTTTTGAGAAAAGTGCTAGGATGTAGGTAACAAATTGCGTTAAGTGGGTGAATTCCACATTCCCACTTGGAGTTTTTGGCTTACTTGGGTGAATTCTACATTGGCAGTGCATTTTTCTTCGTTGATCCCTGTTGAAGAAGAGGTGGATGTGAATGCAGTCGACCAAAAAGTATATGGAGGGACGAAACTTACAGACACAATGTACAGTAGGTTCAAGGAAGAGGTTTGATCCACTCCACATTTCAAAGATCTATGTCGAAAGTATAGCGCGTGGTAAGCTTGAAAAACAAGCGATTGAAATGGCACATATATGATTTGAGGGTGCTAGGTCGATCACTCCGATGAAACAAACGACTTGAAGGATCTAATCCATTTCATGACTTGTACTCTCATTCACAACCTCCTCTTGACCACTTGCCATCGTACAAATGTGTTGCTAACTCACCTTGAAAGCGTCCTCGCGATTGTAGCTCGTCATGAAGGGATGGATGAGCACCATATCGTCAGTATAGTATTTGTCCAAGGTTCGCCTTACAGCGTTCACATCAGTGGTAACTAGAGAGAGTACCTTGAGCTTGGATCCAAGATTTCCAAACGTCGATGCAACCCAAGATCGGACAACATCGACATACCGATTCCATGAACAATATCAGTCAAGTTCTCTTCATAAATATGAATAGATGGTTTGTCTGTAGAGTGGTTGGCCATGTTGTTGGCGTTTTTGGGTGCCATGAACTTTGATTTTGTTGAAACGTGTGTTGCGGGTGTTGATGAAGGAAGGTACTAGTCGTGGAAACAAGCTCGCGAGGTTCGAGTTTGACAACTTTCACGTGCCAAATTCAATGATTTGACAGATGCACTTGATTATTGCGTTGCAAGGATGGAAAGGGCACATGGTTTTAAATTTCACCGAAATGCGAACCATGTACGCAAAGTGCGAAAGGTGCTCCATTTTTTCAATTGTTGCAATTTTTTTAACGATATCTGCCACTGGTACACGTCGTGATGTATACGGGTCTTGTATGGAGCTTGAGTCTCATATGGATCAAAAGTTGTCGACAACCTTTCTGAGTTTCTCGGTTGTAGACCGACAATCCCATGATGAGCTTGAATTGGACTTGGGCTACCAAAGATATCCAAGGCAAGGAATTGCTGAAGAGCAGCAATCAGTGTCTCACACTTCCCCAAAAGGAGTCTATCAATCTGGGTTTTACATCTCGTAAATGATGTTCTGAGTGAACATCTTCTTGTAACTTGAGAATGTGCAACTTGAGTGAATGGTAATTTGAACAAAATGATCATTAATTCACCTCGAAAAATTCGGGGTTTTCGATTTCGTATAGTTTGCAGTCCAAACGACATATTTCTCGATTCCAGGGTGCCATATATATTGAGAGATTTATAAAACATTGAGCTGAAAGCACACGAGTCGAGAGTGATTCATCAAAGATAAAGAGTCAAGCAACAGAATAACTTCTTTTACAACGCGTTTAGAGAGTAGTCCAAATCTGTTTCGTATGAAACTTCTGTCCTGGTTTGCGTGTTTATTTTTTGAGACAACCCAAACTAAACATCTCGTTTCAAGCTTTTGAATTGGAGACTTGGAGAAACAAACCCCAATTCCAATACTCGACACGAAGCTCATTCATTAATGACGGGGACTTATAATAAACAATTTGTTTAACCATATTCTATAAAAAACTACTCTTCGGTGGTTCGTCCATTCCCCCCATACAATGACATAAACAAATCATCTAAACTCGAATCATACATAAGAGCATCAAAGTCCAGGCCTCCCATGAGCGGAACATCAGATGAGAAAACTTGCATAGCGTCGGTTGGCGGGTCTTGTTCTGACATTGCTTGAGGCTGGTCGCCAGTGTTGACAGATGGAATATTCCAGCCGCCAGGAACAGTAATGCCTGAAAGGAATTGAGTTGCCAGTGTAAGTGTCTTGATATTTAAAGCAAAAAGATTGTTTGAAAGTAAGGAACAAACCTTTTTGCGAGAGAACAGCTTTAATAACAGTCAATATCCTTGAAGCAGTGGATGACACACGAGACATTCGTGTAAATATCTCTTGGACTAAGCGAAGGTGCACTAATACGCTCAGATCACCACTCAGGGCGTCCGATACAAGCGAGGCAAAGGCCACGATTATATAATCTAAGACCGGAGTGTAAAAGGTCATATTAGTTTCCAGTCTCTTTTCCACGTAAACTCAAACGAACCTCACAAGGAAGCATAGGAAAAACCGAGTCATACTCCTCCTCGTTTAGAGGTGCAGGTTTGTGTTTGGATATGATTTCTATAACCGCCTCAGAGCTAGCACGGGTAGTAGCATCCAATCGACCAGCAGAGAAGCGATGAGTCAAGATGGACATCTAGTTGATGTTTGTGGCAAAGTAAGCGAAATGCAAGGGTGAAAACATACAAAATGGAGTCGTTCATACACAATGGTAAGCCGCAACAAGCCCAATCTCAGTAGAGGTGACTGGAACCATAGCAGAGTGCTCATCGAACCACTGGGCTAACTTGTGCTTGACATTCTCGAGCTTCAGATCCCTCGTAGTTTGTGACGAGCGTACAGCATTGGCAACTGAGCTAATTTCACCCATGAGAACACACAGATCTGCTTGTTCTTTGAGAAGACGTAATTCTTCTGTTGGTGGTGGGAATGGAGTGTCTAAAGCGAAAAAAGCGCTGAGATTAAACCAACTTTAAGGATGGCTTTCGTAGATTAGCATGTGCGTCAAACATACCCCAATCGTCGTCATGCAGTGCAAGGGGACGTCCACACCACAAAGACGAGTAACGGTCAACCACATAGCAACAAAAGAACGTGTTCACCATGGACAGCGCTGTAGCTTCGTCGAAATTGAAACGAACCTGATGCTTCTCAGTGTTCCTATGCAACCCCAGTTCTGAAAAAATTGATCGGAACAAAAATCAGTACATCAACCGCCAGCTTGTTCTCGATGAAAACTACATAATCGCGCAAGTAAGCAGTTCATATTTACCAAGAGCAATCCTCATAGCCATTCCTGAATAGACCCAAGCATCAGCATATTCTGTACTGATAATACCAACTAGCGCAATAAAAACCAGTCCTTGAACGATCAGGATATCGCTCTTATCAAGATTTTCTGATAGATATCCTCGTGCTCGTGTCATGCATGCCAATTGGAATGACTTCACATCAGCAATACCGAATGTTGCAGGTGAGAAGATGTTGTCTACAGCTACAACATGTTCCAGCTCCACCTGATGTACATCCGTACTCTCTACAGCTACACCGTGTTTTGATCTACATAGAAACGGTTATATCTCTCGTTGGACCTTTTAAGTAAATACATGAGATTCTTGGACATGACAGCATGACACTTCGTATGCAAAGAGTCAAAATTCTGGCCTACGAGCGACAAATAAAAGATGTCTTCACAACTTCGTATTGACACAATCTTGATCAACCCAAGCACTTCAGCATCCACAGATTCCATGACTATGATGCTAACAGATGTGAAATATTTTACGTGCCAAAGATACAGCGATTTCGTGCAAGAGGTATGATACAAAAAAAAGGAAGTGATGTTGTCCCATATGAAAAGTGGCCATTATCCACCACCACCAATCTTTTCCCTCATTTGACCAGCCTGGCTAGCTTGTGATTGTTGCTGGTACTTATCAAAACAGTCTCTGAAATCCGCCATTTCCTATACAACGAAAAGTCAATATGCGAATGACAAAGGCTTCAAAACCCAAATGTCTCCAACAAAGCTCTTGATTCTAATATCATAACGTACCTGTTTACAAGCTCTCCAATCCTTTTTACCATAGTAGCAGTCCTGCAGCTTTTCATGAAATTCTAGACATCCTGTTTTTTTGATTCGTGATGTGTATTCGTCGTCTTCGTCGTCTGTTGGTTTACGTGAATGCGGGACCGAGATTACGATGTTTGGAGGTGCTGACATTGTAGGTTCAGGCTGGGCTCGTTGTTGTTCGATCTATTGTCTAGCTAACCTTGTTGGAGGGCAAAAAGTTGACACGTCCGACGCAACTGGCCAAAAAAGCAAACCCCGAGTTTACGTGAATGAGATTGTGTGATATATTATATAAACTGAAATTCAGCCACTGATTACTATTACTTGCTGAAAGCTGAAAAAAGAGACAGTATTGATAATGGTTTATCGACGAGTATTACTACTGAACTGGACTGCACCGCCTCTAGCAGAACTTGCACCACCCCGACCTGTTGACCTACCAGCAGATCCACCACTGGCACCGACGAATCGCGGTGGCGGAGGCCTTTCACGTCCACCAGCACTGTTTCCAGAGTTGATACTCATAGCTGGAGATTTGGAGATTGGTACTGGAGGGTATGCTGGTTGAATTACGGTATCAGGGTTTACAGGAGAGGCATCTATTGGCTATGTAATTGCGTAATATGTGTGTTAGAGAAAAGGTTGTCCCACCAAAAAAAATTCCCGTGTAGAATATACAGAAATGCCAGGCGTTCAACCTTACCTCTGGCCAATTCGATGCACTCGGCACAGCCAATGAAGCCACAGAAGCCAAAGCGACATTACTAGGCTTGCGCACAGCAACACTAGAGTCTCCAGACAGTGGCAGATGAATTGCCTTTGTTGGACTGGAAACAGGCACATTTGTACCAGGCTTCACAACAGGCCCATTATAAGAGTGAGCTCTCGTCAAATCTACAGGTTTATTGATACTCGATGCTGGAGTTCCTGATCCGGTCGAAGGGCCAGAGTGACCATCACCAACTACACCAGGTCTACCCATCAATCCATGCGATTCGACTTTTTCCATGACATCTATGCCGCCTTGGCCGGCAGTTATGGGTAGTGCGAGTAATACGGCACTGGCGAATTCGAGTAGAAAGTTGATTGTGAAGTAATACATTTCGGCGCGTACTGCGGGGACAAAGGCAGCACCGAGTCGGTAGCCGGTTACTACAAACAGCATGAGTGATACTAGGACTAGCATCAGAGTTGCCTACGATGATAGCAACGGCGGACGTTTTTTTAGCTGCATTCGATGATAATAAAAAGAGATTGTTCCTCGACTCACTTTGAGATCTGCATCGATATCCTTGACTCGAGCTGCACCATCAAAACGTGGAGCAAAAACACTATATATACAGAGCAGCGACACCAGGAACATGCAAGCACACATAAACACTGCACTAGCTATTGTTACGAGGGGTGGAGATTACGTGTCAGTGATTTGGTTTTCAATTCTTTTCGAATTTGCGGCTGCACGTCAGAAGTTGCATGTAAGAATTATTTAATTGATTTGCAATTTCCAGTGAAACGTCAGATCGATCGTTGAATAGCATTTGCCATTTGCGACCGCCACGTCACAGTTCATGAAATAAACGATCTAGTATCACTGATGCAATGATTGCGAGACCCAAAAAAAAGTCGCAACCAAGCCTGCAACCAAGTCAACAGTATCAAATTTACCTTGCATCATCTGATCCGCTCTCGTCATATAGAAACCAGATGCAAGAGCAGCACCAGCAGCACCCAAAATCATGACTAGGGTGATGATCACACTCCCACCCAATCTTATAACTGATTTCAAAGTAGCTCTCCTGGAATCACCAAATTTCTTTGGTTTACGGTCAAGACTGTTTGAGGGATTTGTTAGAAAGTGTAGGTTTGAGACAAAAAAGCCAGAACCGTTTGTAATGGCACTAGACTTACTTGAAGGTAATCATGACGAGCAAGTATAAGGCTATTATATCTAATGATGCTGCAGCGGCAAAGATTGAACCAGAACTTCTGGCTGAGCCGGCACAGACTGCTCTCATCAAGTAGGATATGCCTTGAACTATGAGATGAGAAGGCCAGAGGTTAGAAGAAACAAGTTGTGTTAAGCTTAAGCTCTCTGCTTTATAGACTGCGTTAAGTTCATTTCTTCCACTCTGGATCTTCAACAGTGCGCATAGAAGTGGGAGTTTGAGCTTCCACTCAAACGAGATTCCAGATGTGCAAGCCTCCATGCTCCACTGTGCATCAAAAAGGTACTCCCATCACCCCTTCTCCCTTGACGTGGAAGGTGCGGTAGATGTCCACACAAACGAACTGAAGCAAGGATAAGACACTATAGCCTGCACATGAATCTTGACTTACATAGAGCGTAGAATAGCAGGGTTATCCTAGTCCATCTGTGGACTGGGGTGGAAAACAAAAAGTAGAATAACGGTACCATTGAGACCAGCATGAAGAGTGCGCAAACAACTGAGGGAGCGACCGTGAAGCCATAGGCGCTTGCCAGATCCTCTCCTAGGTTGGTATCTCCAAAAACCGTTGAATTCGAGGTCATCTCGTCTGTTGCGGTTGCTGTGTGCTGAGATGAGTCTTTTGGTCTCTTTTCTTCGACTACAGACACCACTTCTCTTGTGAGGATCTTGACGTGTTCAGCTCAAACACATGTATTAAAAACTATTCACGCTGTACAATTAGTACTCCCATTACAACGGTCGCTCTGTTTTTTCGCGAAATGCGCGTCGACAAAAAATTGGACAAACGGTTTCCTTCCATAGTAGATAATTGATCCAAGCGTGCCGATGACCTCAATCAACGTGAATTTACAACTTCTGCAAGTCCGTCCTTTATTCAGCAGACATCAATTCTGCCACCTCACTCGTTCAAAAAAAAAGGCCAAGAAAACGATCAATGACGACCATATCCTCCCTAAGCTGGATCCGGAAGGGCATCGCAGCTCCCACTCCCGAGCGCTACAAGCTCACGGATGAGGAATACGAACGAGTCGCTTCTCTAGTCGGTGCTCAACTAGCTGAAGCTCAAATCGCCGACAAGAATGTCGAGCAAGACGATGTAGAGGCTGATGATATCGCTGATGAGAATGAAGATATAGAGGCTGTGGCGGAAAATAAGGAGTATGTACTGCTATCTACAGTGTTTTACATTCCAGCTAATGTTTCTCATTGGACTGATCAACATTTTTTTTTTCCTTTACTGAAATCAGTGATTTGTCGATTTACAAACTAGACACTTATGATGAAGAGCAAGAAGCGGATTTGAAACGAACAGGTACACTTGGATCTGATATTTCCAGTGGATTTCTTTTGTTTTATTTGAATAGATGTCAAAGCTCTATACTGACCCTCTCTGGCCAAACAATTAGATATTCCACTGTTTAGTAATGTCAAAGGATTGGCTTACTATTCCTCAAACAAGGAAGATCCTTATGTCAAGTTTGCTGATGAAGTAAGGCTCGAGCTTGCTAATGTCACAACAAAACAGCCTTCTGACGCTCACCAACCATTCCCTGACAGGACGAAGAAGCAGAAGAAGTAGAGGAACTAGCAATCGCACCAACAGATAACCTAATTCTAGCCGCAAAAACTGAAGACGATATATCCCACGTCGAAATATACCTATACGAAACTGGTGAAGACAACCTATATGTCCATCACGACATCCTACTGCCGTCCTTCCCATTATGTGTCGAATGGGTTGGGTGCAGAATAGGTCGTAAGGCTGCTAAAGAAGGTTTTGGAAATTATGCTGCTATAGGTAGTTTCGAGACTAGTATAGAGATATGGGACTTGGATTTGGTTGATGCTGTTTATCCTGAGGTTATTTTGGGCGAGAGGCCAAAGGATAAGGCGCCTACCAAAAGGAATCGGGTATGTAAAGTCTTTCCTGTTCTGTCGTTTTTGGCTACAATCTGCCTTGAGAGTATGGCAAAAAAACGAAGATAGATTGACACCACATCCCTTTTCAGGCAAACCCAGACAGACACGTCGATGCTGTCTTATCACTAGCATGGAACATGTCTGCACCAGCCTTCCTGGTATCCGGATCCGCAGACCACACAATCAAACTATGGGACCTATCAACCGTCACATCCGCCATATCAACCCCCATAACACCAGAACAACCCGAACCAACAGTCGTAAAAGCTCTCCGCTCCTTCTCCCTCCACACAGCCCCCGTATCATCACTAGCATGGAGCCCCACCACACCAACAATCCTCGCATCAGGCGGCCACGATTCCCGCGTCTTCGTATTCGACGTCCGTGAGCCCCAAAATGCAAAATCATGGAATGTCGGATCAGACGTAGAGTGTATTGCATGGGATAAATCTACCGGGTACCTGATTGTCGGGCTTGAAGATGGCCGTGTGCTGTGTTTTGATGTTGAGAAGGGCGGGAGTGTGGTTAATGCAGAGAGTACTGCTGATTTGAAAAAGGCGGAAAAGAGTAAGAAGAGTGGCAGGAAGGGTGCGTCTGCGCAGGTGCCTGCTAATGGTGGTGTTGGGGCACAGGATACGCCGGTGTGGACTATACATGCTCATGATGGACCTGCTAGTAGTGTAGACATGTCGCAGCTGGTGAATGGGTGCTTGCTTACCGGTGGTGGTGATAAGATGGTCAAGATATGGAGTATCAAGGATAATACTGCGTCGTTAATTACATCAAAGGATCTTGGTGTGGTGAGTTGCCAGTTCCTCCCAATTTCGTTGGTTTTTATTGCTTGCTCTGCTTGAGTATTACTTTGTTTGTGGAGAAAAAAAGCATTGGTTACATCGTCCGAATCGCTTCCAGCCAAGCGTAAATTTTTTTACTAACCAAACACTACCCTCTACTTTACCCACCAGGGCAAAGTATTCGCCTGCAAATTCTGCCCAGACTCTCCACACCTGATTTCAGCTGCCGGATCTAAAGGACGTGTCGTCATTTGGAATCTATCTGATAATTTCGGCATGAAGAGAGCGTTTGGTTCGGTAAGCATTATGCAGAAAAGACGTCTTAAATGCGTCTCTTAATTCATCGTCAAATGATTTAAACAAAACTCTCCATTCGCCTTACAGGTTGCATCTGCAATGAGGAACTCGGAAGCACCTCCAACACCACGTAAAGAAGTCACTTCTATTGACGATGAAGGAGAACCTGATGAAGACGAGGATGAATACGAGGATGATGAGGAAGGTGGTGATGATGGCGAGGAGGGTGTTACGAGTATGGATGTGGATGAGGAGATGGACGAAGATTGATCCTTGTATCGCTTTTAGAGTAGCTCGCATGAAATACAAATTCGCATTTTGACAAAACAAAACCACGTTTCAATGTTTTCGTAGCATCGTTTTGACTGGGCTAGCTGGGCCAGTTCTCTTTCGAAAATGCTTCTTTGTATATACAGCACACCTTGACAACCAAAAGCTTTTGAGCTTGATTTAAGCACTTTTATCTATATGAGAAATGAAGCAAACATCTAAGAGAATATACAACTATAATGTGGCTAGTGGCCAAAAAAGGGCAGGGCAAGATCAGAAAATCCCCAACATCGAGGTTTCTGCACCAATACTATATACGTAATAACAGCTGATATCCATAATTGCTCCATCTCTACCCTCCCAAAAACCAGATAATGCACGTCTAGTACCCCAACACTAACTATAATGCCAAAATCCTAAACTATGTAACCATAATCGTGCAATGACCAAAAAGCAAGGCATTTCGAAATAAACGGCGTCCTGCAAACCAACCTTCATACCGCTACGAATCCTTAAACCTTCATTCCGTTTATGTCAGCAAGGAAGAAACACTCATCTTCCCAGCCCTAGCTTCCTCCACAGCGACAGAAGACGACGACGACATTGTTGATGGCGAAACTGAGACAGTAGATTCAAATTGGGACAGTTTGGCAGCTGCATCCGACAAGAGTTTCAGTGCATCGTGATCATTGTTCCTATTTACTCCCTGTTGTTGCGGCATATCATCATATTCGTGAAATGGCGGAGATGGTAGTGACGAATGAGACGACGACGATGGTTGTGAGTCTGTCTTTATGGATATGGTGTGTGGTGAGTATGGTTGGTGTTGGGTGATACTGTATGTACTGTAATGGTGGCGGTCTGAGGCTAGTGGAGATGATGCTCGTGTTGCGGGTGCTGACGTGTTTTTCCTTGGTCCTTTGTTATTTTTTGTGGGTCGTGATATAGGCGATGAGCGAGATGGTGATGATCTGCCTCGTTTGGCAGGGGATGTTCGTCGTGATTGCGGTTCGGAGTGGTAGTGATGTATTCGCTGTTGTTGGGGGTGGTCTATATAGACGGTTGGACCGTATGGCATTGGATGTATGGTATGCATTTGTTGTTGGGGTGTTGGGATGATTACGCCTATTGGTTTTATTATGTAGGGGTGTGGAGATGATGATGATACTGGAGTTTGTGGTGGTGCTGGTGGACTTGTGACCGATTCTGGTGACTGTTGCTGTTGTGATAGGCATATTTCCAGGTAATGGATGTGGTCGATCGCGCCTTGCAGGATATCGAGTTTGTGAACGTTCAGTTGGTCTCTGATCGATGGTATCAGGTTCTTGAGTTCAGCGATCTAGGAAAGAATAAAGAATGTTTTAGGTTAGAAAAACGATTTGTTTTGGGGATAAGGCCAAAACATCAATATCGAAAAAAAAACTAGTGCATAAATCCATCAACACGTGCAAAGACAATCAACTACCAAACCCCTCAAATCAAAAATTAGAGAAAGAAACGGGAGAGAAGAAGCAGCCAACAATGAATTCTCCTGTCCTCCATAATCCCGATCTTGATCTTTTGATATTTTCCCGTCGGAAGCAATAATATCCACAAATGATGATCCGGTCATTCAGATCAAACACGTATCATGACTCGAAGCAGCCAAACGAATTCGTCCATAACTGTTACGAACAGTATTTCGGGCCCTCCGCAAGCAAAATCACTGCTAAAACTGTAGGATTTACGCACCGAAGTGTTTAATTTTTCTCGTCGTCTTCTTTCTATGGCTGAGTGACTTTCACGCTTCTGCTGCTTTTTATCCATATCAATGGCTGCATGCTCTGCTGCCTTCGACATAGCTTCCTTCGACGTAGCTCCCTTCGACGTAGCTTCGTTCTTCGAGACAGACCAGGCAAAGTGGGAATGTTGCTTTCACGTGGGTCTATCTACATAGTTGAATGTGCGGGCAATTTATAAGCGACAATTAACGAGGGGCCACTCCCACGTTACGAGTCGTTACTAGCGAGATCTCTGAAGTGAGGGCCTGTTCCGTCGAGATGAATGTCTGTCGTTGGGTTCTGACACGTTCCTCGTTCTAACGAAAACCACAAATCTCCAACTCGGCGAACATTTGACAAGCCAGTTCTTCTTTTGCCGAATAACCGCAGACAGATAACAAAAGAAGCAACCATGTGAAGGCACATGTAAATTATTTTGGCATACATAGAGGTCTATTGATGTTCGCTAATTATTTCTATTATCTATTATTATGGTTCTTGTTTGCAGGAGAATGACATCACGACATCACCAACAATCATTGTTGCCACCAAGAAATATTAATCATCGGAGATAGCAGAAGTATAACTTGACAAGTGATGTTGAGGGAGTCGAATTTTGAGCAATAGAGCCCGAAGGAGCACCAGCAGGAGATTGTTAAGTAGTACACACGCCAATTTGACATTGGCTGGTTGCATAGAGTATCTACTGCAAGCGCCAGCATACTCATCATGTTGAATTGGACATTCCAGGTAATTAGGGGTTGACGTTTGGATGTTCTAGGTACTATGTTGGTTGTGTTTAGCGTGTTTGCGTACTTTGTGTTTTGTCAAGTCAAAGGTCACAAAACTCTCACAAACTCAAAAGAGGGACGAATTTCGTGAATCAAGTCCTTTAATAATCGGAACTCGACGTAGCGGAACTCGGCGTAGCTCAATTCCTCACCATCGAAAGCTGAAGTGATTAATACAACACTTTTTGGGAACAACAGAAATACAAATCAATTACCACCGGAATTCACCAAATCTTATTTCCCGTTAGAATTGAATGTCTTACAAGAATTCACTGATTGTTTATTTCTAGCGGCAGTTGTTGCTGATTATTGAACACCCTGTTCCGACAGTACAAGGTAGCCAATATACCAAAAATGGACAAGGTCAAGACCAGCAAGCACATTCAGCAGACCTCGGAATATGTTCAGGTATTCTTTCTTCGCTAGCATTCTTTAACTGGAGAGAGAGATCTGAACTTTGAGCACGAGATGGTGAAGAGGGGAACTGGAGCAATTGAGGCGTGTTTTAGCGTGTTTCAAGAATTTAGCATTATCGAGAGAAAAAACCGCTGGGGGTTTGAGTCCTTCTGAACACGTCTCTCTAAAAGTTGGGATGTTGCATTGAAGGGCGGAATTTGACTCTTGCCTATTTAAACAAGCAACATCTCATTCCTGCAATCAGTCCCAACACGTTTGGATCGAATCCGTACAGAAGACGAGAGGAGTTGCTTTGCGTGGTATGTATTCAATTGTATGCGTCAATGCTTTGATTGTATTTGGCCCAGATCTAAAGATAGTGCTAATGTTAATCAGCCCAAAGCATCTTTGTAGGAGTTGCGGACAATTGCAGCAGAACAAGTGGTCGAGGAGGGTCTTTTCATACCTTGGAAAAATTTAGCAATGGAGGCAGTCTTAACTCACCTGTGCTGCGCCCTTCATGACCTCGTCATCAACATTTGCTTTTGGTATGGATTCACAGTTTTCCATATTATAATCTATCATTTACAAAGTTGCATTTGAATTTGACACTGTCTATTCCTCTATTCTGCAAGTGCAGAAGCCCTTTCAATACCAAGATGCCAAGACATCCCGGGTGTGGTTACTCCAATGATCCTCTCAGGTCGGGCGTCAGCGGAATCGGTCCCACAGGGAATCTGTTGAACAACCGAGAGGTAGGAAATGTGAAACCTGTTGGGCCTGGACGGGAGGTTTCGTCTCTTCAACTGCTGCCAAAAAACCGGGTGGTTCCATGATTGTCTGGTCTTTCCTGTTTGATCAACGACTGTGATAGACTATGGTTTGCTTTCAGCCCTATAGGTGGATATCAAGATGCTGCCGCTCTGTTGGATGCCAGACAAAAGCATTCTTTTTCAGTAAAAGGTCTTTGGAAATCAGTTTATTGAAATTGAGACGATAAACGCCTCGTCTCTTCAATTGCCCTCGCTGTAGTCTCTCTTGGTGGCAGCAGAAAAACGGACTCTGTGGATCTGCTACGGTTTTGAAGCAATGGACACTTAATACACACCGCTCTTGTCATTGGGTTGCTAGAAATTGCACGAACGTTTGAGTGGTTGGGCATTTGTAAACCTGGAACAATATTCAATAGATTTTAGGACTTGCGTGGTCGATTTGCTCCTGCATTGAAAGGTGTTTTCCTCGTCAAGTCTTCCAAATTGTTCCAGCTATTATAGCACAACATCAAAGATGACCGTTAAGCTTGGAATCGCTTGTTGGTAGGAACACTAGTAACAATCATGGGCGCACATTGCAACAAACGATTACCAGTGGAGGAGGACGATGATGTTATACTTGTTTCTGAAACGAAACGACCAAAACAGGAGTGAGCGCATACAGTCCAACCAAAGAATCATGAGATTCGATGAATAATCCTAATATGTTTCGCCTGTTTTAGACGCGTTTATTGTCCCATTTCCCCGCAATCTGTGACATTGGAGGTGAATTTCTCAGTGACTGACGGAACTTGATGAAGCCAGAGCGAATCTGACCCTTCATCCATATGGCGCATAGAAAATCAACGATCATTTGGATCTAGCTCATTCCAATATCGACGCAGACCCAACTGAACCTTTTGATACACCATCTTCGTCATCATCATACTCTACTGCTCAGAGCAACAACTCATTGGACGAGGCTGTGGCAGATTCAGGGCTTCGTTTACTACGTATCCAGAATCTCTCGGACAGGAAGAACAGAGCCTGTCCATCTCTCGAAGAGATTCTATCCATGAATGGACCATTGGAGAGGATGTTGCAACTCACCTTCAATATTGAACTTGATTGGTTCATGAAACAAATCCCGGCTGACTCTAAAGATGTGCCAGTTGATATCATTTATGGCTCGAAAGATGGTAATGGTAATCCCCATCGTTGGAAGAACTTGAAGCTTGTACAGATTTACAGGGAATCATGGGGTAGGCTCACTTTTAACAAAATCCACTTTCACGGAGTCCAGCTCTCGATTACCTTTTGCTTACACTCATCGCTCTGCTCTGTTTTTGACCAGGTTGTCATCACACCAAAATGATGATTTTGCATTTCCAAGATGACACCCTTCGTCTTGTCATCCATTCTGCAAATTTGTCTTGTAGAGAATGGAATAATACGAATCAGGGGCTATGGATCAGTCCACCACTCAGTCGAAAGACTTTTGGACAAGAAGCTTCTCGATTTGGTATGATGATCTGGCACGCTAGGAACGGAAACCTGGGGCGCTGATCGTTTTCATTCACGTAGAAAATGATCTGTCTGCATATCTACAAGCGTACTTCCAAATCGAACATGCACCCTCGCGTTTACAAGCGAAACATTATCTAAAATGGCTCGAGGAATGGGTTAAGATTATTCAATTATATGACTTGAGCCCATGTCGTGCTGTTATCATCGCCAGTATCCCCGGTAAACACACAGACGACGATTTGGAGGATTGGGGCATTATGAGGATGGCAAAAGTGCTTCAAGAGGTCAAGTGAGTCCTACTATTCTCCCAGTTGCCCAGCTTGCGAGTGTTGAAACCAATTCCTTGGACAAGGTGTGAAGCAAAAGGAACCATCATTTGCCAATTTTCTTCATTGGGTGGAGGTGAAGATGCCACCTGGACGACTGACATATTCCATAAGGCTATGTCACAATCTACCAAATTGAGATGTGGTCTTACAGCAATGCCAGATTCTCGACTTCCAGATTTAGCATTGGTTTATCCTACTGAGAGTGAAATCAAACAATGGTGAGCCCGTCGTGATTTGATTGAAGTCCAAAATCTCATTTACATCCCATAAATAGTTTCAAGGTTCAAAAGATTGAAAGGTTTCAACCCAGCTTTACATGGAAGGCAAGATTGTCATGATGTGTCTTGATCAGAGCAAGACACTTACGTTCAACTTTTCAGAATTGGCTGCATCAGAAATATTACCTTCACCCAATATTGCATCGTTGGCAGTCCAGAGACCAAGGCCGACAATCTGCCTTGCCGCATATCAAAACGTACACACGAATCAACAGCTTTGGTAGTATCGACTGGCACTATGTAGGCTCCCACAACTTTTCTCACAATGCATGGGGCACTTTGAAGAACGGAAAGCTTAGTATAGCTAGTTATGAATTAGGAGTCCTTGTGTATCCTGCGCTCTTCGAAGTAAGGAGTGCTGTGCATTTCACGATGAAAAAACATTAAATCAGGCCTGTTCTAAAACTTAGGAGGCATCCATGGGCATCAATCATGTAACGATGGTTACTACGACTCCTGAAGATCTCCCTGACTCATTGTCTTCGGTGGTGCCAAACTATCAAACATACAAATGTCGTTCATCTGCCATTGAGATTCCAATAAGGCTGAGCTATGATTTACCTTTGGTCAAATATAAAGGTCTCGATGTACCTTTCCACCGTCATGAGTTCTCAAATTACTAGTAGTCTTGAAGAATTGTGTTACTTGTGCAAATAGATGTAACTATTGACTATTTTGCTTTAAAGTCTTATCATCTTTCACGTTTACACACTGAGAACATCGACACCGCCAATCTTGATCAGGCATTTGTACATATGGCTGGCCAAATTCATATGAAGTATGTATTCATCAACTTGATTAATTGTTATCATTGTCGTTGATTTGATCAGAAGATTGACATCAAGAATACCCCAAGAGTAATTGTGGCCATCACGAGATGCAAATAATCGACCATGACAACAGCATCACTTGATGATGACGAAGATTTAGTACCGTTGGGATCTCCAACAGTAGACCCCGAAGCAGCAGCAGTAAATTGCTGAGTAGTACACCTGCCACTTTGGCATTGGCCGTTTGCATAAAAATATCTATTGCAAACGCCAGCATACTCATCACGTTGAGCAGGACATTCCAGGTAATTAGTGGTTGACATTTGGATGCTCAAGGTACTATATTGGATGTGAAAAGCTTTCTTGCGTACTTTGTGTTGGTTTAACACGGTCAAGGTTGAATTTACTTACCGACCATCTCTCACAAATCCAAAACAGGGGCGTATTTCATGAATCAAGTCAGCAAGTACTCGGAACTTGACATAGCTTAGTTCTTCACCAGCTGAGATTGTAACAATTCGGGGTATGTGTTTTTGTTGTCAGAATCGAATTTGTTAAACCACGCAGCAAGCATACGAATCACTCACCAACAGCGTTCAACAAGTAATACTTTCCATTCGAATTGAAAAGATCTGGTGATGCAGATGTCCTCACAAGAAGATTATTCTTTATGGTATACGTAACATCATTCGTATCAACACATGCAAGATCTGCAGGTTGGCTTCCTGATCCATCACCATCATTATCGTCATCATCGGTTGCAATACTCAACAACGATGACGTTGATAATGTACTGTTGCTGTGGTGACGAGTTGAAGTGGTAGTAGTGTTGGATCGAGTAGTACCAGTACGACGAGGAATTGCCGAGAATGCAGATTGATGAGCGTGTTCCATGATCTAGTGTTGAGAAGGATGATGTTGAGATGATTTCTGAGATTTATTCGTGTGGAGATTCGTCTTTTTTTCACCTTCCAAGTGCCTTGCAAGTCTGCAAAAGAGATCTTTCGACCAGTTGGATCGGAGACCGTGATATGCACAATTGCAAGAGTGAGAAAGAGAATAAAGATTGATTTCATCATGAGTGCCTTCTTTGGGTTGGTGTGTTATGGTTGTGTTGTTGACGGTTTTGACTCGAGAGCCTGACACCTGTGCGAGCTTATTTGCTGTTGCATCACCCTCTATCTGTCAAAGTCAAAATCAAAGCGCAATCAGCAGAGAATTGACATTTTAAATTCAAGCCAGAAGAGATCGCACGTCCCGATGATTTCACTGAATGTTGAATCTATTTTCTAACACAACATAACATACCAACAACTTTCATTGAAAATACAGATAAATGAGGAGAATGTTAATAACTTTAACATGACTTCGTTTTGACAATGAGAGACCTTCACTAAAAATGACATTCCTTTTTTACATTGGAGCATGAGAAGCTAAAACATCATCAATAAGTTGATGAACCAGCTTCTTGGCAGTAGCGTCATTCAAATCAACATCAAGACGTTCTTGTACTAGTTTTCTGATTTGCTTCTTGTTCAAATGAGAAGTAGCGGGATGATTCAATATAGCTTCGATTTCGTATCTGCATCGTTCGAGTATTTGGACGTCGTCAGGAGAAATTCCAGGGTTTGAGCCGACAGATATGGCATACATGGTGGATGGTGGTGCTACTTGTTGTTGTTGCTGCTCAAATGGTTGTTGATGGTTTGAGACTGCAGACATGGCATACATAGTGGATTGTGGTCCCAGTTGCTGCTGTTGCTGATATTGCACAGCATCACCGTAAGCTGAACCAGCATATGTTGATGGTGGAAGCATCATGCCAGGAGGAATAGAATATACACTTTCAGCGTTTGGTGCGTATTCTCTTCCAGCGACTGAGCCATAGACAAGCTGGGACTCAAAGCTAGCGTACTTTTGCATAGGGACGACGGATGGGTCAAACTGTAGGGTTTGGAGTAAGTTAAAGGCGCTTCCAGCGAAGAAAAAACTACCCTCAGTGTCTGGAGAATGCAGCAGAATAAACTGTTGCTCCAACATTAACAGATACGTGACTTTGGCCAAACTTCATACCTCTTCAACATCCATCTCGTATATGACCTTGCCTTCATCCATGACGATACGAGTATTACCTATGATTCAGCGAAAACATGCATTTTAACGACGACATTTACGAGATTTCTCAATCTCCAACAAAGCATCAATTCAACAGGCACTCACCCATGAAAAGTCATCAAAGTGCCACCAAGCATACAGGTCTAAATAGGCAAACACAGGACTGGCAAGAATATAGATAATCATCCATCCAATGTGCTGATATTCCTGTTTGAGGATGAAGATGACGACTTGGAGACCATAGACAGCTGCCAACATAATCAATGTGATCTAAAACTCAACAAAGATTGAGATTGGCTATGTCGCTATCTGTCGCTTTTCTTGGGTGCGAGGTGAGTCTGAAACAAACATGGATCCTACCGTAGGAACTCCAAGTTCAGGATCGATAATGGCAGTCACAATGATATAAATGATGTAGAAAATAGCAGCAGGTTGAAGAAGAGTTGCGATCAAGTCGAGAAAGACGACAAATCTCATTGAGAAACAGCAAACTCCACAGAGTTGTTTGACCCATAAGAGTTCAAGTAGATTGTGGACTGTAGAATTGATCCATCGACCTGTGAAAACATTTGTATGTGTTACGTGTAGGTGACATCGGCCTTGTTTCCGACCTTCAAGCAAAAAAAAGCAAACATTTACAGTCATAATACTCACGTCGTTGAGATAAGAAGACAGCCCAAGTATCAGGAGCAGCTGTTTTACACTTGGCATCATTCGTGAAGGTAAGCTTGTATCCACCAAAGTTTTTAAGAACGAGAGTGGTCTAAATTTGGTTTCGGGTAAGAAAACACCATCCAAAGCCGTAGACAGTACCTCCTTTTTTGGTTGTACATACTAAGTAACGATCTTCGCCAAGATGCAAGAGATTCTTCATATGCAGAGTTTCAACTCGGTTCGTCGAATACTCGCTGATGATAGAGGGTGCAATGATGAGCGGCACGTTCTTGGCAGTCCTAGAGCAAAAGAGCGTGAATTGTCAGAAAGAGCACGAAACAACTGTGCCAGATTTACCTGATTCGATACATTGAGAAACAACCAGGAAGACAAGTTACTGAACCAAACATGGATTCAAAGGCCTAAATGCGGCGATGTTAGAAGTTAGATAAATCTTGCGAGAGGCAGAATAAATGCGATCATCATCCAATGCAATACCTTGGCCAAGTTATGAGAAATGAAATATTCATAAACTTGAAGGGATGTGACCCAAGAGTCACGTTCATTTGCAATGGTGGTCTCACCACACAAACCAATGACCTGACGAAAACGGATGTGTCAGGAAACAACACAAAGAAGTTCATTTGGACATATACAAATCACTCACTTTGCTGTCGTTAACCATACATGAAACCAATCGATTCAAAGCATCGGGATAGACTTCAGTATCACTGTCAACAAAGAGCACGTATTCAAAGAAGGATGGGTGAACCCCAATAACGTTCTTCATTTGATGGTAGATCTCGAGGTCAAGTGGAGTCATTTCAGAGTTGAAGTGGACATGAGAAAGGAATCTCATCAACATTATTTGAGAGTCACGTTTACCACTACAACAGTATTCAAATTTAGAATGTTACGAGCAGAAAAAAGGTACTTCGGAGTATCAGGACATCGACGTACCGATTTCCTGGACGACTGACTTCTCCTTCACTACCACACTTGACAATGACAATAAACGGAGCAGCTCGACCCTGTACTTCATACAGTCCACTATACACTTTAGCTCGATTCAATTGACGTCTTCCTTCACCAAGTGCCACATATGCTTTAGGTTCAGGATCAACATCGGCACCGACACCCAATATATCGAGCACGATTCGTGGAGTCGGACGATCGTTACCACTACCCATGACCATTCCATCAGCAACGATAAAGAGGAGTTTCCGTTTGTCATCGTAGCTTGTTTGGACGAGAGCTTCCAGGGTTTTCGTTAGCGAGTCAGCTCCTTCGGTATAACAAGGGATGTTGACTAGGACGAATTTGTCGTATTTGACAGGATCACGTCTAGAACCGCATTGTAAGGCACTAGAGAGGGTGGTTTTGAGATTTTGTTGAGCGTATTGGAGTCGCAACAAAATCAACGACTATGGAAGCAATGACTTGTCTGTTCTAATTCACAAATATCGCTACTTACGCAACAAACTTGAATCCAATAACTGCAACTAGCAAGATAGAAGCACCAAGTAAAATCCAGTTTGATATCACACATTTGGCATCCTGAGATAGTCAAACATAGCATTAAACAACTATTCTCGACAAAAAAAAGGACATTATCAAGCAAGCATTTTCGTACCAAACGATGATCAACGACACCCTGATAAAACAGTCCATCCATACAAGACATATATCGAGCCCAAGCCTGTGGACTTTCAACAGACTTAATTTGCTCCAAGTATTGAGTAACATCAACCCCTTGTTTCCCAAATGTCGAAAAGATGCTTTGCATGTTGGATCCAAGGAAATTGTTGGTGTTTTGTCCATTAAAGTATTGACTGACATCATATACTTTGTCGTATGCGACTATAATGTAGTTGTTTGCGGTGTCTGCGGCGAGAGTCTGCGCTATCCAGGAAGAGTCTCGAGCGAGGTCACCCTTCTGGTCCTTTCTCAAGGCTTGGAAGTAATCTACGGCGGCACCGCCGACTGAGTTCGCGCTTGAGGAGGCAGTAGAATGGATGTACCAGACCCTGTTGAAGGAGGCGGGTTCAGTTACTTAGAAATGTGAGAGACCGCAAGAGAATTTGGCGACAATGCTGTGCATTATAATATATCTTGATTCGAGTTTTGCTTTTTGCCTCAAACTCACCTCTGGAAGGCAAGAGGAATATTACGAGCAATATTGTCCCATCCAGAAGGTTGTGTCAAGTTTGGGCAAATAGCATTCCATCGATCAGTGGGTCTAAACATGGAACTGATATCTGCGGAAATAAAGGACTGAAAGTATTAGCATTTTTAGCAACGGAAAACAGAAGATAATAATTGTGCTTACCTCGACCAAGGACAGTCTGTTCAAGAGCGACAGCTGACACCCAACCATTCGAGTTGACATGAGAGTTTACGATATCAGGAATACGATAATACTTGCCATACATTGACACGTAGGGATCGTTGATGTGAGTTCGACCATCAAGTTCACCTTGAGACAGGACTGCACGACGAGGACACAAGATTGCACCAAATCCGATAATGAAGAAGAGCATGGCAGCACAGAGTGCAAGAATCATTATGAAGATTGCGACTTTTTCTCGCCAAGCAATCTAAAATTGATAAAAAACATTATTAAGCAAGAAAAAAACGTTGATATACGACTGGTTATAAAAGAAGAATCTTTACCTGAATATCACGACGTTTCATCCGACCACAGAATGACAAAAATATAGATGGAATATACCATGTCAAGCTCCAAGTAAGACACAACCAAGCTCGACGAGACGGACTCAAATGTTCTTCTCGTTCAACACGTACTAATTTAGGCTTCTTTTCATTCGCAGAAGGCAAGAGATCGATTTGAACTGGCAACGGCTCAGTCTCGCCAGGTCGTAATTTAGAATCGTAATCGACATCGTCACCAAATTCAGACATGGCAACAATAGGTTGTTGTTGAGCCTTTTCGAAATTCTCCTTGAAATTATTATGAGTAGCTTCACTCAAATCAGCTTCGAGTTCCTGCCATGCGATATCAGATATGTACAGTCGTGTCTTGCCAACAATTACATCATCCTGACTCCATTCACGAGTAGCTACAAACTTGGCCATTCGTTGTTGTGGATTGCCCAATGTTGCATCTCCGAGAGCTGGATGAGCAGCTGCATATCGACCAACAAACTCTTCAAAAGAGTAGTCGGTAAAGTATACAGCAGCTGGAGACGATGCCAGAGCACCAAGACCATATGCAATAGCCTGAGTAGATATAAATTCGAGATCAAATTTTGAGCGAGTGGAAGATGGAGTGGTGCTAAAGCATAGAGCGACCCAGATTGAGGTCTCTTGTAATGCTTCAACCAGCAAGTCCAAGTCAGAGTAGAGACGAGTCAAAGCCGTTTCGAATTTTACATTACGATTCGATACGGTTCCTTTACGTGTCAGCGGACTGCTTGCTTCACGTCCATCTCGTCCATTGACGGACTTTGAGCGGGCAACAGTTTTCGATCGCGCAAGAGTCTCGGCAGCTTGTAATTGAGCAGCAGCGATTACAGGTTGGAAGAATGTAGCTCCAAGTGTACCATCACTTGAAAACAAGCCAACCAGTTCGTTTGATGTTGTTTCAACACCACTACGCCAATCGTGCAAGTCATATTCAACCATTCCGTGGGAATGCGAGATGATGAATGACTTTTGGTTTGACTTTGATGGCGTTACGTTTGCGGTGTTGATGATGCTTGAAATCATACTGCCGTCCGTTGATGGTGGTTGATTGATTTGGTTGTTGATTAGGTATACTAGGCCACGCTCTGGAGAGCCAAGAAGTGACAAAGTAGCAACATTGGATGGTTTGAATTCAGAAGCTTCACAGCCCTGTATAGAATGGAAAGAATTTTGAGTCAAGGGCAAAGTTTGTTTCTGGTAGATGGTTCAAAAAAGTGGGACTATGTGATGCAATATACCTCTTGACGAAGAATGCGAACCAACCCAGACCCAATCTTCCCATCAGCAAACTCCCACATACGTTCGGCACCCACATTACCCATAAGAGCATGCAGACTCATACCACCACCAAGTCGAGATGGGAAATCAACAACAGATATAAACGACGTCCATTCTGATTCATTACGACACAAGTGCGTATTACACTTGTCCACAACGAAATCAAACAGAGTCGAATACATTGCTCTAGCGACGGCAGCAGTTTGAGCCATAGCGCCTTCACCATTCAGGTCAACAGAGTATACATCATGTCCAACTCGTGCCGTCTTGTTGGTGAGTGTAGTCAAGAGCTTTTCAGGCGATACTTCTAATATTTCAGCGACCTCGTCAAGCATATCGTGAGATTTGAGCCTGGCAAACCCTGATTGAGGATCATCTGTAAAATGTAGTCGGCCAAGGTGGAGTATTCCAGCTAGGAGTTTCATGACTGCTCCCTGTTGTGGTTTGGTGATTTTGAGATAGGAGAAGTAGTCAAATAGCTCCGGGAGAGTCATGGATGCACCACTCAACAAGACAGTCTTTGGTACTGAGTGGAGGTATGAACAAGACGATACAATATCAGCTGGTAGAAGTAAAGCAGCTCGTTCGTCTGGAGTCAAGGATGATAAGAAGACGGAGATGATATTAAAGCTGCGACATCCTTTGGGAGCATCAGTTAATCGAGTCCTAAAACGGAGCAAAAAAATCATTCAGCTAGTGATAATCTTCACAGGCCTGAAGCTAGGTCTCAGCATAGCTCACGAGTTCAATAGATAAGTCAAGAATTTAGCACCAACAATACGACCAGTTTCATCAAATTGGAATTCTGTGACCCTGCTATACATTTGCTCTTCGACTCCATTGAGACCTCGAGCATTTCCGAAGACAGCTAAAACTTGTTCAGCTCGAAGAATAGCAGATTGAGTCTTTGACTTTTTCTGAGACGACTTCGACAAATCACAAAGGTGCCTACGAGTATGGAAAGTAGTTCAGGCAGACTTTACACGTTGTTCCAAGTTTAGCATGAGAGGCATTACCTAGTAATCATATGATGACTTGTCGGGGTTGAATGGCCACTAGATTAGAAGTAGCCAATGAGCAAAAAGAGGCATGCAATTATTCAGAATGGTAATCGTCAACCAAATTCAATCACAACAATGAGCAATAGATACCTGATGATGATAGACTGATCCTTTTGTGTCCTCAGCAGATTCAGAAATGCACTCCCGACAACATCGTACAAGTGAATGGGCAGCTCCGCTTCCGATTCAGCAAGGCCACGAAAACGGGCAGCATACAGTTTACTATTAGCTTCTTCAGATTTGCTAGCATTAGCTTGACTGGCAGCATCATCTAAACCAACCACGATACGAGCTAAAACCAATAAATAAATAAATAAAAAATGGCTCGAAACACTGAATTACATATTTTGTTGAAGCTGGTAAGCTAGATCATACATACCACCAATGCGAGTGTAATGTTCATCACGAGCAGCCCGGACAGCGAGACATGCAGCAGCAGAAGTGTCTGATATTGGCTGAGGAAGTAGCGATAAATCAGGTTGAATATCGGCTTCCGTTAACTTTGGTAGCGAAGTCGAGGTTGTAGCAGCATTATTGTTTCGTCCCGGTTTGGCGACCATCAGAGCGGATAAGTAGAGATGGAATGCTTCAATTAGATGTTATCTTTATGATGCTTAATTCTATATTCCTTTTGATAACCGATCGATTAATTTTACTTTGAGCTATTGTTGAAGTTTGGGCTTAGCGAGGTTTGTGATTGAAGACGCAAACTTTTACGTTACAAAGATTTCAAACCTCGCGATCGAATTTGGCATTTCTGCAAGGCATACCTAAAGAATTTGACGTGCATCGTGTGTATTCACGTGTTTACCGAACGTTGCTGTAAAATACTCTGTATTTGATTCTCGACTCTACTAGTTTACCAAACATTATATTATAATATAACTTTAGTTGCTGCCAGTTGCCCAGCGTTCCTTCCTTCGTTTAGATTTAGGTGCTTCAACAATGGGGCAGTGACATCCAAGGAATGAAACATGTCCTCCAGGACTTCCTTCACGATGTACAGGCCCATCATTGTAAATCAAGTCGAATCCACCAACTTTAGTTCGTGGCCCCTTGTGTGAGACATGTCTGTATCAAGACATTATATCTGTTAGTTTCAGTGTTTTGGTAGAAATTTATGCTGGCTGATACTTTTCAATCAAAGCGCAAACTCACTCTCGTTCCAGATCAACAATATCAAACATGTCGTTTAGCACGGCATGCTTGAGATCATAGTCCCATGGTGTCTCAGCCGATAGCGAAGGTGATGCATTCACTTCTAGGAGCCATCTGTAAGGGGGGAACGTGTAAGCGACTTTCCAAATGACTATGCACGCTTCATAGCTTACGGCTTGAGATTATCATCGACCAGAATATCATATCCATAAAGCTCAAAACAGTGCTTGTCATTAATCATCACTTTCTGAACACTCAGCAAACTCCTGACCACCAGCTGCTCCATTTGTGAAAACAGAGTCTCGGCCGCTTCTTCTCCGCGGTGAGTTCCAATGTATCGTTTAAGAGAGCGGAGTAACCATTTACATCCTTTCGATGGTGAGTAATTTGGTGCGGTTTTTTGGATGGCGACATTTGTGGCATGTATATCTGAGAATACAGTCTGTAAGACACATTTTCGCCGGGTTGTGCTGCCACGGCAATTGCAACTTACATAAATTAGAAATGTCCCGAGCATTCATTGAAAATTGAGTATTACTGAAGCGACAGAAACCATTTCGATGCAAGTAGGCAGTCAACGGCGTATACGAAGTCACCAGGACATACGCTCTGATATCAAACTTTTTGCCTAAGTTGGAAAAAGAAATATCAGTAGGAAGCAAAAAAGAGCAGCAAAATCAGATCTTTACCTCCAATTAGGTAGGGATTCGCGATATAGCGTTGCACGATATAAGCTTCAACACCATCCTCCTCTTCTTGATCCAAAGCAGTCGTACTCTTTGATCCTTTAGAGTCTCTCCCATCCCGTTTACTAGCCAAAGACGACGAACTAGCCGTAATCCTCTTCTTATCAGCCCCAGCGCGTTTCCATCCATTAGCCTGACTCAATTTATTAATCAAGAAGATCCCTCGTCCCTGAGCACGACCAGCAGGTTTCATAATCCACACAGCACCAGGAGTTCTCTTGAACTCTTCTGAAAAGAGAGCATGTTCCGATGGTAGTGAAAATGATTGCGACACAAAATCAAATTTGGAGGCTGCTTCAGCACCATGCTCTCGTTCGACGGCTCGTAAAGTCCGCTTGAGATTCTTGACTAGCAAGTCCTTTCGTGTGAGCTCGTAGTGATTTCGGAAGTGGTTTAGACGTTGGAATTCTGAAAAGTAGGACTTGTCAAAGAATTCGTGGAGCCAGTGTACGTCTGCCCAGAAAAAGTCCCAGTCAGTATCACTATAGGCAGAAATATGAAGGAGAGATTCGTTGAGAATGAGCGTTTGATGTGAAAAAATGAATTGGACGCAGAGAGACAATTCATGAAGCTCATCCACTCCTATTACCTATCAGTCTCCTTCCATCCACGATCGCGCATCACATCACATATGGTATTCCTTAAACTAGATCGAAAGCGTATCACATCCTTCCTTGGTCCATCATCTCTGTGGCAAATATGTGTGGCTTTTGAGATATAGCAAGAGACAAAAGATCCATATATAAAATTACCTATTTTCGTGCTCTCTAACACGGAGAGGAGCGCATAATGGTCCACTGGGAGCAGAACTATATGTATTTCGAACGACGGATGCATTAATCGATTGTGAAGAACTCATGGTGTCGGTGGGGATTGTTGATATGGACGAGCGATCACTGAATCGTGAGGATTGAGAGGAATCACGTAGATTTGACATGGCGACTTCCCTTTCTGGACTCTTGGGTGCTGGATGTGTGTGTTTGAACTCGCGCAGTGAGTCGACAGAAAGTTGGAAAAAATTGGCCGAACATGCTGGTCGTTGGCCATAACCGTTGAATCTAGAGTCGCAGAGTCGCATGATATAAAGACACGTCGACGTGACTTAGATTGGATCTCCTTCTATGCGATACCCGCCCGGAACGTGATTTTCTTCCAAGCTTCAAACAAATTTGGAGCAAGTTGCGAGAGAGCTGAAGATGTCAAAAACATTTCTTCCATGGTGTAGTAGACATGTATTATTATGTTGTGAGAGGTTTATAGTAGTATGTGGTTGACTTTCATGATTTACGAAAAAAGTGAATAAAGTGAAGTTATAGTTGTTGTCCGAGCTGATAGATATTACAGTCTTAGATCGTAAGATTGTCCAAGCTAGAGTATTGGTTTAAATCTTGATGCTAGCGGTATCTAGCATGATAGAGTGTGATCCAGCAGAGCCCACTGAGAGGGTCAAAGACCAGCTACTGAGGTCATTTCTACACTTTGTCTCAAAATCGATTTGTTAACACAGTCAAAACATCAAAATTTAAGTCGCTATGCATTTTTGTGTTACTAACGTTATTGCTCTAATGTCGCTAGCTATCGTTCTAACTTTCAGGCGTGCTATTCTATTATCTTAAGAGACGCAACGGCAAGCAGTTCAAAAGAACATCAAGAATGTGGATTCCCGGACACCATATAATGAGGTATGGCTCACTCGAAAGCTGAGTTCTCTATCGAAAAGGAATCCAAGAAAGAAGGTCGGAATAAGGTCTCATATTGAATTTTGAGTTGCGTCTGAGAGGGTCATTTGATGGGCGCAAATCTGGACGATATATGAAGAGTTTCCAGTTGATGTTGGAGGTATTTTAAGTACTTTGACCGATCTAAGAAAAAAAGACTGCGTCTCCCTTATTGCAACTTCAATTTTTGGAGGAGATTCGAACGCTTCGCTAGTTTCGCTAAACCATTTCAGAGCAGAGATGTCCAGGACGTTTGTTCTCCTATTCCTAGGGCAGTTCACCTCATTAATCGGAACTGAGATCGCTCAGCATGCACTTCGACTATTTACATATGCGACAACAAACAGTACCGGTAAGCTCTATGCTTTCGTTATACAGATGCAACCGTGTTCTGGCCATTTGCCTATTTTCTTTCTTATTAGGTCAATTGGCTGGTATAACATTCTTCTCTGAGGCTCCTGGCATCATACTTGGACCATTAGCTGTAATTAGAGCATTTGATGTCTATGGCGATACAATCCAGTAGAAGCACTAATGTTGCCTCAAAATCGTAATTTTAGGGAGCGTATATTGACCGTTTTGACCGCAAAACGGTGATAATAGTAGCTGACTCGTTAGCATTCAGTGCAACTTTGGCTCTTTTTGGTCTATGGAGATTTGGTGAGTTAGTGAAGTTTGATATTGCATACAGCAAACAGCACTATGAACATGTGCTGGTTGCATGCGGCAGGAAGCCTTGGCATATGTTGATATGTTGCAACCAACACTCTCGCTTAACACAGATGCTTTGTCAATATGGCACATCTATCTCGCAACCAGCATACAATCAGTCGCAAATGCTGTACAATGGCCCTCCTTCCTAGCAAGCGTCTCGCTCCTCGTCGAGAAAAAGGAAGACTTGCCCAAAGTCAATGGATACACACAGGCAGCTAATGGACTCAGTATGATGTTTGCTCCCATGATATCAGGCTGGATCATGTCGTCGGCATCGTCCTCATCAATGGGCCTAGATGCACAATCGGCTGTTAGGGGATTAGGGATTTGTTTTCTTGTTGAGACGTCCACTTTTATAGCAGCCACAGTCGTGACGCTTGGTACGAGGATACCTAATCCGCCACGGAAGGCGATGAAGGATGCGGCTGCAGATGGGATATCGGAGCGGATTAAGGAGACGCTTGAAGCGTGGAATTATATAGTGAAGCAGCCGGGTTTGCTTGCTTTACTCCTGTTTTTGACGCAGTCGCTAGTGTCTTCTGGGGCTGTGCAGATATTGATGACTCCGGTGGTATTGTCGTTTGCATCTCCAGTAGCCTTGGGTAACGTGCTTACATTCTCGGGACTGGGAGCATTAGTCGGGTTTGCTATTCCAGCAGTATTGTTTAAGAACAATCCAAAAGTACGGCTAGCTCCAGTAGTATTAACGTGTGCTGCACTGCAGGCACTGTTGTTGGGAAGTATTGGATTGGCCAATGGAATATACTGGGTTCTGGCTGTGGCATTCTTGGTAAGAGACTTTCGGACACTCACTTCCCTTTTGTTTGCCGGACTGTATGCTGTTTTGAATTCTAACTCTAATGCTACATTCAACGCATCTACCAACCAGTTCATGCTCCTACTCCCAACAAACAAGAGCGCCCGAGAATCCATCTTCCAACGCAAAACACACCCAAGCATGCAGGGTCGTGTTTTCGCTTTATCTCAAAGCATATCCCGACTAGCATTCCCACTAGCAGCACTCGTAGCAGGGCCCTTAGCAGATATACTCGACAACCTACTCAAAAACCCTGTATTCAAACCACTGGTGGACATCATCCCGACCCAAGCGAAAGGAGCAGCTGCTCTTTTCATGCTTTTAGGAATAACGAACTTTGGATGTGCATTGATTGGATTTACGTATCAGCCGCTTGTGAATATTGATATGTTGATGCCGGATTGGGATGAGTCTAAAAAGGAGAAATCTAAGAAGGCTGAATAGAGTGCATTTGTAATTTCAGGGGCATCTAAAATCGTTCCCATTTTATTTCCAAGCGCTCCATTTTTTCATATTCAAGTGACAAACTACAAGTTGACAGCACGCATTCCATCTGCCGTGTATCGTTCACCAACTGTCTTGGACAAAATGGCTCGAATCTTGGCGTCGTCCTCTTTAGTGAAGTTAACTTTCAAGGAGCTCAAGTTTTCAAGTAATGCCTATAAGGGAATGGTTAGACAACGCCAGCGAGTAAGGAGGAAAGGAGTGTCATCCATACCTTTTCACGTCGGGTACCGGGAATAGGGATCTACCAGGTTGGATACATTAGATATTGAATATGTCAACTTCGGAACTAGCTTTCGAATTTACCATATCAGGACCTTGGAAGAACACCCACGCCAAGCAAAGTGCGGATGCAGTGGTTCTGTAAATTGAGGCGAAAAAACGAGTCAGTTCGCAAACTTTGACAGAAATCCATCTTCGGCTCCAAACCCCACAGACTAACCCTTTCGCTTTCGCCATGCTTTCAAAAGCCTTAACCAGCTCCAAATTGGTCTTGAATGCCTCACCACGGAATCGAGGGAGTGTTTTTCTAAAGTCTCCTTTGGGGATATCGTCAGGCGACTTGATTTCGCCAGAGAGGAAGCCGCGGCCCAGCTATGAGTGTGGGGTGTTGGGAATGTGACACATTATGGATGTGAGAAGAGCTTGTAGAACTTACGGGAGAATATGGGACGATGGCGATGCCTAGCTCGCGACATGTGGCTAGAATGCCGTTCTGTTCAATATCGAGGCACCTGCAATGAAGGAAATGAGTCCATCGTATACTGCCAGATCTGGATTTTTTGTGTGTCTCACCAGGGACTGTACTCCATTTGAACACACGATATAGGATGGACCTTATGAGCTCGTCGTAGAGTAGCAGCAGAGCATTCACTTAGACCCAAGTATCGAACTTTGCCTTCCTAAATCCAAAGAAATATAATATAGTTAGGCTAGCACACCAAAGCCGCACAAAAGAGCCTGAGAACCAGGATCAAGTTTTCATAGATGAATGTAATTACCTTGACCAACTCCTTCATGGCACCAACTGTAACTTCAATAGGCGTGTTTGGATCAACTCGATGCTGATAGTACAAGTCAATGGTACTGATTCCCAGACGTTTCAAGGACGCATCACAGGCTTCCTTGACGTACGCAGCGTCACCGCGAATTTGCCGGGGACCATTCTTTCCAACGACGATTGCGAATTTGGTAGCGAGAAAGATCTCGTTTCTGCGAGTGGCTAGGACTCGAGAGAGGAGTTTTTCGTTGTGGCCGACACCTGAAGTGGGGGTTTGTTAGAATCTCGTGACGGAATCCAGATCAGCAGTATCGTAACAAGGATGAATCCATTAGAGTATTACCATAGAGATCACTGGTATCCCAAAAAGTGCATCCAAGGTCGATAGCCTTGTTTAGGAGCTTGACGCTGACCTCGTCGTCAGCAGATCCATATGTGCCCGACAGGCCCTTTGATTTTGAGGTTCAAACAGTTAGGAAATGTGAGAATCACGGCGAGAAGTTGTGAGATTCATTGTGTTGAATGTCAGGTCCAATACGGAATTGTGGGGCCAGCTTCAAGATGTATAAGCAGAAGTTCAACCACAGTGACATTTACCATTGCTCCGTATCCCTGTAAAAGCAAGAAAACAGTTAAAACTTGAGGTCTACCGTGTGTGTTGGCAAGACACCATTAAACCAAGCTCCACGTCTCAACCAGCTTGATCATCACTCAACGTACAAGTGCAGACACCATGGGGCCATTCCTGCCCAACTGACGTAGTGGAATTTTGGTATTGGACATGATCTGTATATATGTGATGTGCAAGCTGTAGACACGTCTGACACGTCACGGAATGTGATACAATTTGCAGTGAAGGGATGCATGTGCAATTGGCAATAAAAATGAAGTGACGCGTCATTCAATTTTTTCCATCACTGCTATGATGCTATAGACGAGTTATGGTGTCCGACTGTCGCAAAACCCGAACGACCAAAAATGAGCTTTGCAATTCGTCCAGTTCAAACATCACCTGCTAACGCGTATATATAGGACCAAAGCATTGAGAATGAGTACATAAACGCATTCTCCGCTGTGCCCTTGTTCTGTTTTGCACACCTTGCGCCATCTATCCGTGCCAGAACATGTTTTGCTCAAGTTTCTTATCAGTGGATCGTCTTGCCTGGACTGCTTGCCATGGTCGTCCCGATCAAGTTTCTCCAGACGAGAGAGCAGAGGATCAGCTTGGCTGTGGGCGTGGGTGTCTTATGGCTGCTCTGTAGTCTCTACTCTTTCTGTACAGCTACATACAAACACATCCCCGGCGCAACAGAACTAGCTTCAAAATCATATCCAAGGTAAGCGCAATCTCTCATATCACATCCATTCGTCGTGATCTGCCCTGATCATCGCAATCCATCATGTCATGCTCATTCTTGGCGAAAATTTCACATTCATTAGGGACAAGATACTGATTCTGTCTTACTATTCTGAGGGAAACCCGGAACTAGAGGAATATTACAGACTCACCTGGCCAAATAAAGTCGAATATGCTGCTAGGCATGGGTATGCACTCCTTCGTTCATCACCCACCTTCCTTGTTCGGCAGGCTCAAACAACCCTGTCTCTCAAACACATTAGTTATTCAATTGCAGAAGCAAACGAGTTCCCTGCTGTACGGAATGTACAAGATATTAATCCTCGTAAGTAACATCTTGATCACGAAGGAATGACGCACTGGATCGAACAACCTCATATACACTCACACACACCACACAACACAGGTTATGTCAAGGTCTTGGCCATCCTGTCTGCATTAACATCGGCCAGAGCCCCTGAATGGATTATGTGGATTGACGCAGACGCATTCTTTCTAAACCATACGAGAACATTGGAAGAAAACTTGGACGATCACTACGACTTGATTCTTCCTACTGCCGGAAAGGTACATTATGGACTTCACAATAACATGTTTTTCTATTATTCACACATATTCGCTCGTTACTCTTAGCCACCAACAGACAAATACATGATCAACAATGGTGTCTACTTCATCAAAAATACCCCTTGGAGTCAATACTTTTATAGAACAATGTGGGAATGGGTCGTCGAGAACAAGAAGTCACACGAATGTCCAAGGGATCGTTATGGAAAGCTTATTGATATAACGAAAAATCATAGTGGGGTATGATAAAGCAAAGATATCCTGGTTTTTTCCTAGTCGTTAAATAATTGACCCTTCAATTGAATAGGCATGGTATGTTGGATCCAAAAAGGTGCCGCTATGTGGTGGTCATGCTCAGTGGAAGGTATGTTCCTTGTTTTGCTCAGCTAAAAACCATCGAGTCTTGAAATCTCACATCTGTCACTTAGGATCAAGCATTACTGATGATTACACTGGCAAACCCACCATCAAATATGGCATGGACTGAGCCGTCACCCGACAATTTATACTGTCATGTAAAATATGTTGCATTTAGAGACTTTAATTCGGCACCTCCACGATGGTTGCCCGGAGGTATGTTGGAACTTGGATGGTTGACCAATTAGCACCATCAATCCTAATATCAACGCATCATACCATAGATCTGGTGGTGCATATACCCGGCAGATATCACGATGGCAGAATGCTCATGATGAGAGAATTCTTTCGACTAGCTGACTTTGAAACAGGCACAGTTCGATGGGAAGACTCGTACTTCATCAAAGTTGGTATGTGTGGATATAAGAATCGATTATATTGGAAATGATTGCTAATGATTGCTCACTAGACTTTGAAAAACAAGCTCATCTTTCAACTCCTTCAGTGGCAACACCAGCAGACCTCACACTGTTTCAGTACGAAGGCAGGCACGGCTGGGACTTCAATATACCGTGTCCTAAGATTTAATTGACCTAATTATTTTGCCTTTACCTATTTACTTCGCATCTCGCACAAACAAATAGAATACAGCTAAATAGACACCCTCACAACGGATGAATCATTTTTATTGAGTGGCGAACTGGAGACCAACCAAGAATTCTTACACCCGTAGGATATTTGTTACCCAACGCCAAGATGGCGCTCCGAGAGTTTTCCCAAAGCTGACCCCTTATTTCCTGTGTTTTAAACTTTGTCAACGACACGAATGCCTCTTAACCGTATATAGCAAGATGAAGACCACGGAAGCTCCAGGAGACATTCCCACACACCACAAAAACCATCTTATATCCAAGATTGTGCTTCTCCTGCTCCCAGTGCTGGTTGCAATCACATCCGTGAATGGCATTATTCTGTATCTGACGCTAAACAAGACTACGGTCGATCCAATGCCTGTCCCAGTGACTTATTATGTCTGTCGGCCTAATCAGACTGTGGATTCGAGGTATGTGATTTTATTTTGGTTGGTTTGGGGTGCATCGATCCTGCTGTGCAATTGCAACAAACACATGTTTTTTGGGTTTTTAGGATTCAGCAGTATGGTGACTCGAATCCGTCAAATGTCACGATCGTGTCGCTATATTTTGTTGGAGACAATGATGAACAGGCACAGCTCAGGAAGTGGACGTGGCATTCCCGAGAGGCGTACGCAAGTCGATGGGGGTGAGAACTATTGTGTTGGGCTTGGCACAAGGAAACAACGGAATCTCATCCACTGGCATTCTAGACACCGTGTGGTGGACGCAACGACATATCCTCTCATCCATACCTTTCCTGGAGTCGATCCGAGTATGTCGTCTTGGAAGGCAGTGCTGTTCAAGTACATTCGGGAAACTAATCATACCACTTTATAGAGTATCTCAAGATTCTAGCAATGATCTTGACAATGGAGGATCGCAGTGTGAATCGCCCGCAATGGGTCATGTGGATGGATTCCGATGCGTTTTTCTTGAATCATTCGAAACCGTTGGAGGAGCATTTGGATGCGCGTTATGATTTGATACTCAGTTCAGCGGGCAAGCCGCCGAGGGATTTGTATGCTATCAATAATGGCATTTTCTTTGTGAGGAATACGAGGTGGGTGTGGGAAACAGCGCGGGGTTTGGATGCTTGAGGCTCTAGTGCACACACCTTTACATGCGTTTTGATCGCTTCTTTATTGTAATAGGTGGTCGAGGAATTTCTTCAGAGAGCAGTGGAATTTCGTACTTGAAAACCAGCAGACAGGTGTGCGCTTGCAGAGCTGGTGTTATCAAATACTACCATAATGACCATTGGTTTTATCTCTTTTAGGTCTCTGTCCAAGAGACGAATACGGAAAACTTCTAGATGACAACAATCCCAACGTACGAAGCTTCACACAGTGTTCTCATAACAATTAACTCATCTCTAATTTTTTTCTCCCTCCTCAAACAGACATATTACAATGGGTACTTCAAGCTATGCGGTACCAACGTCCCATGGAAGGACCAAGCACTAATGATGCTAACACTCGCAAACCCATCATCGTCACTCGTGTGGCGAGAAAAGAGATCAGAGCTTTCCGGAACAACAAAGACAACGCTGCATTGTCATGTAAAATATACCGCTGTGAGTAAAACCAACGTCACGTATTTGGAGTGTTGGGCCATCCATGCATTCGCTTGATCAATCCCATTTTTCCCGCTAGTTACGAGACTTCAACTCGGTCCCACCCTGGTACAAGCCCGGCGACCTCGTCGTGCACCTCCCGGGCCTAACCGCAAAACAGCGGATCACCATAATATCGGAATTCGCACGCATATCCGATTTCAACACAGGTGTTGTCAGACACAACGAGACGAGAATGACGATACTCAAGCCATCGTTCGCGAAATGGCCGCATCCTGGTACACCGACTGTCAGTGAGCCTGCTGATGCGACGGACGAGTATCCGGGCAAGGGAGGGTGGTATTATAATGAGGCGTGTCAGGCTAGTTGAGGGCAGCGCTTATAGAGGACATGGGAGGACAGTGGTGTTGTAATTTTTTCTGCACAGAGCGAACTTCAGCTGCTATAGTACTAGTTACAGTGCTAGTTAACACAAACTCAGTAAAAATTCGAACAAAAACAATACAGTGTATTTGATTTCTTCTCCTCATAACAACGATTTGGGATATCGTGAACTCATCGGCTCTCATTGGGCGCGCTTTCAGTTTGGAGCTCTTTTTGCGATTGTTGTATTTTAAAGCGACACTACTAAGTAGACGTAGTTGAGATAGACACTTTGATCAACTCTTCTCCACGAAGCAGCAACGGGCAAAACCGAAGCAGAAGCCAGCACCTGTAATCACAGCACAAAGTACCAGCAATTGAAACATTGCAGTTGGTGACAAATCTAATCTGAATTGTAAAAAGTCAAATCCATTTCGGCTAGAGTATCAAACAAATCCATCGTTTCCTGGTGACAATGAAGAAGTTTGATGTTGCCTTAAGTAGGGAGACTAAGTTGGTCAACACTTTATTCTTTTCTGACTGAATTCCTATACTGAAAAGCTGGTTAGTAACACCGACAAAGAAAGATACTCAATGAAGCAAATAAGCTATCAAAGCCTTGACAAGCTTCTGCAATGTAACAAGAGCATGTTTTTATTGAGCGTCTCTCCTCATCAATTCCTTGTCGTCAACCAAGACAGCCGCAATCATAGTAGAGTTTGAAGCATCCCCGTATGCGGAGCCAGCAATACCTGATAGTGAAGCATCATTCCAGGAGGCATGCGAGTGTTCGACTATTCGGCGACAAACAAAAGCGATAGTCATTGGAAGCAAGATGCATTTGTGCCTTCAACAAATGTTTGATCCTCGAGTACATCAATTGCGATTCGTCGGTATATGGCCGCCAATCCTTCAATGACGAGACTTGGGGGATTATCTCAAGACAAGCCAGATTGTTCATCCCACAAACAAAACGATGCATTTGATGAAGGATGCATACTCTGTCTGTATGTTACAATTACAGAGGATGATCGTTCCACGTACACCTCTTTTTGAATGATTTAAATTGACAGCAAGTATGGCGTTGTCCACCAATCATTAGAGACCGTGAGAGCTGAGAAGATACCAGAAACTGTGTTTCTTTGTCAGATAGGAGGAGTGGCAATGTCTTAATTGACCGTCACGTTTCAGGAGCACATAGGTTGGAGAAAGCGATGGCGTAGGCTCTACTTGGTAGCAGTCACAGTCGTCCTTCGAGAGATGAGAGTGTGAGGAGATGCTAATGTGTGTGGTCTTTTCGCACACACAAGACATTCATGACAAAGATGTGGAAATAATCACATCATATTGAGGTAGAATTTTTTTTCATTATTGTTGTATTCCCAAAGGAGAAACTCGATACACTTAGATTAAACGACTTTGAATCAGCTCTTTTCCTTGGAAGCAGTAACAGGCAGCACAGAAGCAGAAGCAGCACCTCCAACCGAAGCAGAGAGTACGAGCGACTGAGCATCCTGTGTTATTTGTGACAAGTCGAGTATGAACTGTCCAATTCGATCCATTTGGATTAGAGTGTCGGATGTTCCATTTAATCGGCCATTGAGGTGCTGTCTGACGAGATTGAAAAGGTTTGATGTTGCCCTACATAGCAGAGAGAGAAGTCAAGCAACTGGTTGATTGTTCGATAAAATTCGATGTTTTTTGTTGTCCGAGAGGAACTTACAATTTCACTTGACCCAACACAAGAGATTTCTCAGTTGCTCCTCTCATTGCATGATCTAGTTCAGCTTGCCACCTTGCAGTCTTTCTCTGAGCATCTTCGAATCTTGCTTGTAGTTTGGCGATTTCGTTGTTGCAACTTAGCATTGTATTGTTTCTTGTCTAAAGAAAAAAAAAACCCCCAAATAAGTTCAGCATTAAACAAATCTGCTTTTCGAAAACACCACTGCATTTTGAAATCTATACCTCGCAAGATTTAGCAAAAGCAGCACGCTCCTTTTCAGAATCTTCTTGAGCTGCATGAGCACGTTCAGCTAATTCCGTATTTGTGGCCATAAGTGTGTCGAAACGAACAATAATGTCTCTGACTTCTCCAAATTCGGGAAAGGCTTCTTGAACACTTTCAAGATATCGTTGATATGTCACATCTAAACGGAATTCAGTAAGCAAAACAAATCGTGAATCGTTTCTCGGAGGGCATCCATGTAACTATCTCACTTGTCTCCACAGCTTTAGCTTGACGACCTCTCTTGGTAGTTAACGTTGCAACCGATTCCTTCAATTGAGATATTTCAACCTCTTTCGCATGTCGAGTACCTCTCTCATCAAGTGATTTTTTCAGTGCTCGTATTCGTTTTTGATCGGATTCCTACATCAAAGTCGGTCAACATGGAAGACAAAAAACGCAACACCACTTTGCGGACGAATGGGTTTCTACCTTGATGAACTTTTCAAATTTAACTAATGATTCCTTCAATTGAGCCTCTCTCCTCCTCAATTCCTCCTTGTGAACCAATAGAGCAGCCATTTTGGTAGCGTGTTCCTGTTTTTGTTGAACCAATCCGGCTTCAACCTCCATCATTTGACGACGCGTTTCCAATAATCGTGTTGCTGGAGTGAGTTCGAAGTCTTCTGGGTCTGGTGGTTTGCTAACATATAGCGACAAAGAGGAATAATTAGGTTGATCCATGTTTGAAGAACGACTAAAAGACACTCTTACACATAGATTTTACGTTCCACATTAGCTCTGAAATATTTCTCAAGAGTTCCATCGTTTAGTCCAGACGTCATGGTGGGCAGTCTAGCTGTGTTCTAAAACTAGCAAAAATCTGTGAGCGATCAGTGGATTTCGGGGATTAATAACGAGTGCCATATGGTGAAGATTGGATTCAATCTATAAAATTTGCAGGCTGGAAGCATGGACGTCTGATTTCTGGTGCTCTCAGGCACATACAGCACGAGTGGAGGGATGCAAGAAAGTTGAAAGACGAAAGAAGTAAATCACCTAGTCGCAAGAATTGCCGAAGATTTGTAAGTGAACATCTGCTAATTTCGAGATGTGTGGTATTCCTGATATTATAGCGCGTCGCAGAGTCTAGGGGAACATAGACACGTCAAAGACAACAGACTGCGTGACCATACTGGAATGCAACAACTGTTTTTTTCCTCCATTGGTTCCAAGCCCTCGTTTTCATACTGTATTCCAGCTCGTCTCTGATAGCGACTGCCGATGAACGTTTATTAAGATGCGGTCATCGTCAACCATTGTGACGTTTGGTGATCGTCTTCGCTCGACCTATCAGAAGGCTTCCTGCAGAGCCATTCATGAATATCGACATTCTGTATCAGGCCATCGGCATCTCGACACTTTAAGCCCATGTTGGATTCGAATGTGGCTCATGTTCAAGAATTTAGGCAATGTAATGATGTTCGTCCTGAAGTATCCACACTTTTGCATCGGAATGGCACGTCATTCAAAACCATTTGCTTGGCTTCTTGGGTAAGAGTATCAATACTATATTGTTTTGTGGTGGTTTGTCAAAACAATTGACAAAATTTCTCGCGATATAATCTACTTTTCGATTTCAGGAATCAATAGTTTCTAAAGTAAGAGTGCGTTAGCTTGTATTTAGATGCACTGTCCTGGATGATGCAGTGGTAGGAATGTCCTTCACACATCCACCATCATCATCAAATGTCCAAGTCATCGTTGTCCACATACGTTTTCACCCTGCTTTCCGGCCGTCCATTTAGCCATCTTCAAGTACTGTTCTTCTCTCTTGAGAGCCTGGACTTTGAATTCATCTTTTAGCACTGAGCGAAGGGCTCTTGCTGTGATGTTTGCATATTGCAAGTAGCTAATGAGAGTGTTGGATGAGTATGGATGTATACATGATATAGCAATAGCATAGCATCCACAGGGTACGTACGTCATGCCTACTTCTCTCCAGTAAAAGGACATTGTTATAAGTAGCTGTCAGGTCTTTCGTTGTTGACTCGCAAACGAATTTTTTGTGAAGTCGGAGAGAGAACTTATCGCAACCAACAAGCGCTAATAACGTGTATTGGCGCGCTTATATTCAAATCCGTATATAGAATGGCTACTACCGATGTCGTCGAGGACTGGTTTCCGTTAGAAGATCTAGCTAAATCGCTAGGAACAAATCACAATCATCCAAACCCACTTCTTCTTAACGATTGGTTGACTATCGGTGACAATCTTGCTGATAACGTATTGAATTCATATCCTAATGCATCTCCTCCTGACGATATCGTTGGTGATTTGCTCGCCAATGGTCCAACATCTGAGGCTGCTAAACTGTTTTGGGATTCTGTGAATCAAGTTCCTGAGTGGGTCGATCACGAATTGCTTGAGTTGGGACAGCTGACATTCTGGAGGTACTTTTGCCTGTTTGATCTGTATTCTGTGTGCTGATTGTGATGATGTGGCAACTGTGTATACCACCGTATGCTGACACATACCACTTGTATACTATACAGGCATGCTCCTGCTATTCAAATCATACTACTCTTTGGTACTCTGGCTGGGGGATTTTCCAACCCACGCATCAACCGGGTGCTGATTCGTACTGTATGTGGTTGTCATGCTGGATCACACACATGTTGAAACAGATCGCATATGTTACAACTCTCATTCATGTAATAGGGATACCTGGCAAACCCAACAAAGATCTACAGACGCTTGCTCGAGACTGCTCAGATGGTGAATGAAGTAATGCTACCAGGATCACTTAAACCTGGTTCTTCTGGCTGGGAATCAATTCTACGAGTCAGGTTTCTCCACTCTGCAGTCAGGCTACGACAAGCTAGAGCCACAGCCAACAAGTCAAAGTCGTCAAAACTGCTATCTCATGAACTAGCTATAAATCAAACAGACCAAATAGGCACAATACTAGGATTCCAATGTACTGTCATCACAGGTCTGACGTATTTTGGTATACACCTAACAGTAAAGGAACGGGAAGCCTATACGCATTTGTGGAGGCTGGTTGGATACTATATGGGTGTAGATGACGAGTGCAATCCATGTAACCAAGGATTTGAAACTAGCACAGCCATATTACGAGATTATTTAAGACTGTATTTCAGGCCCGACGATGATGGATCGAGGTTATCAAATGGCGTGTTGAAGGCTGTTAGTGAGAGGCCACCTTCAAATATTCCCATCGAGTACTCGTAAGACGCATCGGGTTTAGTGTTTCACACAGCCGTTATTCTAACGAAATATCCCCTCTAGTGCCGCAATGTCACGAGTGCTCATATCTAAAAAACTAGCCGATGCTCTCAAAATCCCACAAACCTCGTTTGGATGGACTCTACTTGCCCGGTTCTCCTTCTTCTCCATCCGACTATTCAACGCTTATGCATACCTGCCAGGTCGTGGTGATCGATACGTGCAAGCTCGTCGTGAACGATTCCCAATGATGCTGAAACGTGAGATTGGACGAACGATGTTTAGCTTGAAGGTCGCTGCAGAGAATCAAGGTGATGATGAGACTGTATGTGTAGAACTGGTTCAAAGTAAACGCAGTGCTGCTGTGTATTTTGGAGGTGGTGTTGTGTGGATTGTACGTGGGATGTTTGTTAGATGGGTTGACTCGGTTGTGTCGTTGTTTTATAGTGTCAAGAAGAGCACATAGTTAGAATCGGAGGGAGCTTCTGCTGCATATTCGATGTAAATTACATTGTGCTTGTTTATTTTTTGAATATACTAGTAAGTATCATATCACACCCCTTGGGGCCTCAGGTTCTGCCCTTCACACTGCAGGTTCTGACTTTACGGCAAAAGCTAGTGACCAACCAGTGAGCTCTGGTGATTCTAATTTGCCAGTGGGTGCGTTAACTAATGTTCCTGTGCTTGATTATGTGCTGTAGGGATTTTCATGAATCCACACCAAAATAGCAGTTCGGAGCTTACACCACAGAAACGAATTGTCTCCATTTGGTCAATCGTATATACTCTCAGTTCCTTATTTGCCTGTCGGGTTTAAAAAAGCTCCACGACCCAAACAAAAGACAACATGGGCTACCTTGCTCCAGACGCTGAGCAAATCAACATAATTTCCAGAATCAATGCTGACCTGCCTCCGGATCGTTTGTTTGTGAAGTGCTATTACTAAGATGTTTGGGTCTCAGTATGTTACGAATGTTGAGAGTGACAAGAGTGCTCTAAGTTTTAAGTTTAGTGCCGCTCAACATGTCCTATCAATCCATTATATCTACACATTAATCACAATTCATTTCATCCAATAGTTTGTCCCAAGTTACTCTTCTATATGCCATCGGTGATATCAGCTTCGTATGTAGCCATCCGTGCTCTTGTATCTGGAACTTAAAGCGAAGGATGTCGGTATGCAGAATTTAAACACCACAGAAGAATTTAATAAACCAAATACGTCAAAACTCACTTGTAACACATTAATCTCGCCTACCAAACAGCTCGTCATGCCTTTCTCCCTGCATGTGTGGAAGGACATCTATTGTGATTTAACTCCCAAGATAGGCAACAGGCGCAAATGTGCTCCAGGAACATGCCAATGCATAGCTGGAGCTGGATCTGAATGTGCTGCTGTCAAGGTTGACATATGTGCCAAATGTGGTGGATGTTGTCAATGTCCCGCTGGATTTTGTCATTGCGGAACCAAGTTATATGTCAGGTATGTCTATAAAACAGCAGCCAATCTGTGTCCAAGAAAACCGTTTTCAAAATGAAGACATTGTTCCTGCCAATCAATTGCAGCGGAAGGCCATGAAGCGTCCTGAGCTGCAACCAATTTATCCCGGCACTGAGATGCGTAAGATTGCTATGTGTTTACAATGACGGCTTTCAAACCTGATTTGAATGGCCATCATCAATTAAACTGGGTAACTGGGTTTTAAAAATTGTAACCTTAGAAGACGAGTTCGTTGCATAGGCCCAACACCTTTTCAGTGATTCATCTACTGAGAATCTACCCATTTGAGATGATTGAGATGGAGTATCGTCTCTCTTGATGAGAGCATGATGTTCAATATTGAGTATCTGCGCTGATGATACCAATGAGTTTGCTTTGACATCGAGACTATTCGGTAGTGTCTTGTAAGGGGTATGAGGGATATCCTTAGCGTGACTTATCACGAGCAATGATATAAAGAGCGTGATGAATACTGTTATGCCCTCCATCTTTGGTGCAGTCAAGTTTTTTTTCCCCGACGTCTCAAGATACACAGGCTGAATGTACATAGGCTGACTCTTCTCAAAAGTCGGGAGAATCAAGTCAGGTTCACTACGCGTCAACTTCAAATAACAATAACATGTTCAACACCAATTTTGGTTCGGTTTCCGTTATGCGATCGGTTAGCTCTCAATAATGAAACCACACTTTCTATGTCAGTTTAAGTCATTCAACTTTACATCATTGCCGAATACTGCACCTCTTGTCGACGAAATGAGACTTGAAAATCTCACCTGCACAACTTTGTTGTTTTTGGCTCCAGGATGCTCAAATGAAGACCCCTATCTCTTGCACTAATGAACACACCTATTTATAGTACCAGATAGTGTCATATTAGCCCCTTCCCAACCGCGTGAATGATGTTTGCGCCAAAATTGGCATATCTTGAAAATAATATACTCTTTGACGTTCCCAGATATCAGAGAGCTGTGATACTATGATTGAAAGCTTCTGATCCTCGTGTCAGAGGCTCTATAAAGTTGCGTTGACGGCGAGTTGCTTACATCAGCAATAGTGAGTTCTACAACCCACAACAAAACATCAAGCGCAACAGTCAGGGAAGCTATACGGTTGACATAAGCACTTTCAAGCCTTCGGTTCACTCTGAGAACGTTTGTATCTTGCCAAGGTATGGGTTCGCCTTATGCTTTTTCGTGGGGAAACTTGTATGTTGGTGTTGTATGAGAAGATGATAGACGATCCACATGTGGCCACGCACTGTATATATTTTGGTTGGAGCCTTTGCTACTCCTTTTCGTCCATTCACCACTTTGCTTGTGCTTCAAATAGTAATCAATGCAACTTTTACTAGATTCAAGCACCTAATCCGCTCATCTCTCTTGGAAAGTCGCACTAAAACATGCTAGACCTACCATATCCCATACTGGACTTGGTATTTGCCTATTCTCACGAAAGCGACCGAGACTGGAAAACTTTGATGTCTGCTGCCCTGGTTTGCAAGGACTGGAATGCTGCAGCTGTTCGTAAATTATACAGGAGACTTGCGCCTTACGAGGAGTGCTTCTTCAAGTCTTTTAGCTGGATGCTCAAAGGAATTTGCCCGAAAGGCATGTACGAGCAACATCCACTAAAGGCGGTAAAAGAGCTCGACACCCAACATTACCCAACTATGATTGATCATTTCTTTCATCGCCAGTTTTTTGAAAATAGCCTAGTATTAGCATGCTCCAATCTTCAAAGTCTAAGTCTTGGAAATAATCTCCACATACTTCATAGTGCGCCGTCGACACTTGTCGAATTAACTATAGGGTCACTGTATATGATGCCACTCGAAGGATCTTGGGACTTTTCGCACCATGACTGGTCGTATGCCGTATTATCACATCCAAATATTCGCACTCTTGTGATTGAAGCTGCCGGAATTACTGTTGGCTTAAAAGAGGCAATGGCAGGCTGGAAGCTGCGGACATTCAAAACGCACGATAGCGTAGATGATGCTATATGGAACGGTCTATTGAAGGGCAGTAAAGATTCGCTTCGCACTATCTCTATCTCGAGCCCTCAACCGCACACCATCAACTCTTGTGCAGCACTTGGAGCATTCACCACTATTATAAACGTAACTGTCGCAGGTAGTGGGTTGCCGTCGGGATTTTTGAAGTCTCTGGAAGGTTGTAAGCTAGAAACGCTCGAGCTTAATGTCGCCGCCATTCAGGACATCCCAGGTAACTATGTATTTCTCTGTCTTGCCGATACACGTAGCTGATTCGAGATTTCCAAAACAGCGCTTGAAGCCTTGGTGCTGAAGAATTTCCGTACCTTGACAATACTGAACGCTAGGGATTCGGATATGTTTAGTCTTTTTACCAAAGCCATCCTTATCCAAGACTTTACAGTTTTGAGAAACTTGCAAATAAACGAGAAGGACTTGCGAGCTTGCCAGCTACTCGATAGAATACTGCCCTTGAAATCTATAACCACGCTGAGTGTCTACGGAAGCGAGAAGATTGAAATCAACTATGACAGTCTACCGCTAGTGCTACCAAATCTACAAGAATTTGAACACCACTCGTTTAGAACTCGCCCGAAGTTGACGGAGGCAACCTTAAGTATGATTATAGCAAAGCAGCAATGCCTAAAACGGATGTACTATTACATGGAGTACTTCACTGGCGGGGAACTGCATATTTTGTCTGGCAACGCAGTCATGGCCGCCGCAATGCAACGACCACCATCATATCCGAACCTAATACTTGATGGGCACGGAAATCTGGGGTTTATTGGGAAGATTGTGGAGGGTTTACAACCGGATGGAACGGAATATTATGCTTATCAAGTAAAGCAACGAGTTTATGTCGCCTCGAGATGTCGACTGAAACTTGGTGATGGCTGGGACTTGCACGCGCAGTTTCTTTGAGGTTGGAAAATATTCGACTCACTCAATCACGCCATTAACTCATCGTGCAAACTCAAAACCTAGATCGTGACCGGAAAAGTCAAAACAGTCCAAGAGAACAGAGTAGTTCACAAGACACATTGAAATATGTTGTTAAATATATTGGAGAAAGCATAATTTTTTTTTCTTGTCGTTGATACATAATTTCACCAGCGTTTCACCAGCAGTCCTTTGAAGATATAAACAATTTCAAACAATTCAATTTTAAACGTCACCATGTCAAACTTCCGATTCGGTGCCCTCCCCATCGATGGACTTGATGGTCTTCAACACTTTGACTGCTCGAGTAGCAGTGCTGCCACGCTGGCTGGACACATTTTTTGCATGTGGTAAAGATTTTCCCAACAGATAGTCGACAATCATGATGGCTGGATAGAAGCATTCCATAGTTGCTACGAATCGATCCATTTGCGAGCCTACGTTTGATGACTGCGCCCCTTGTGCCTTAAAGTAGAACAGGAAGGTGGAAGCTCTCGCAATACCGAGAAAGACGAGACAAGCCAGTCGTAGTTCAGCGGACTTGTAAAATTGTGCGAGAAAGGCAGAGTTCAGTTTCACACCCGTTGTTCCACCGAGCTTATCGAGAAGGAATACTGAGTTGGTGGTCTCAAGCGCCTACAGAGGTGGTCCGTATATTAGTCTCACTGAAAAGAAATGACTCGGACGCTGTTACCAAACCATTACCACAATTGCTAAGAAGTATCCAATGTGGAGGTAATTTACAGTTATTGTCCAGTAGGCAAGAACATCGGGGTTGCCATTATTGTCGTTTCCGTACAGAATCATAGCACGAAGGATAATAATGGTAAGGCGAATAATGGCTCCCACCGCAAAGAAGCCCCAATAGATACTGAAGTAGCGGGTCTTTTTCTCGCCAGACAAAATCTAAGCAGTGTGATTTGTGAGAAATTTAACACCAAAACTGTACGACACTCGCGACGATCCAATGCCCTACTTTGATCAGGATCTGATAAGAATATTGAGACAAGCCGCCTTCCTGCAAATACCA